ATTACGTATATACTACTCAACTACTCTAGAATATTCTAGAGTAGTTAAATAAAGTATTAAATAGAATATAAGTAGTAAGAAATTTATTTGAGTAGAATATAAGTAGGGCCCACTACTCTACTCTACTTTACTTATTTCCCATACTAGCTATTTCTTATATTATATATATTTATATAGGATTTAATAATATTATTTTCCTTAAATATATCCGGATTATAGGTATATAGAATAGTTACTATAGTAATTATAAGTGGCTAGATTATATTATAAGCTATTACTAGAAAAGAAATAATAGTAGTAATAGAGAGATTAGTATAGGAAGTTATAAAGGATATAGTAGATATAGTAGATATAGTAGATATAGTAGATATAGTAGATATAGTAGATATAGTAGATATAGTAGATATAGTAGTATAGTGATATAGTAGATATTAGTAGATATTAGTAGATATTAGTAGATATAGGATTATAGTAGATATTAGTTAGATATAGTAGAATTATATAGTAGATATAGTAGATATAGTAGAGTAGATATAGTAGATATAGTAGATATAGTAGATATAGTAGATATAGTAGGTATAGTAGATATAGCAGATATAGTAGATATAGTAGATATAGTAGAAGTAGTAGGGATAGCTATATAAAGTAAGAATGAATTATATAATATAGTATAATAAGAAAGACTTCTCGTAATAATAGAGTTACTTGTAGTAGTACTATGGCTTAATAAAGGCCTTTCTGAGGTTATATAATGGTTTTTAGCCTCTTAATAGCATAATTAATGGAAGTCTTTGCAAAATAACGAGAATCTATAGGGATTAGCTTGCTTAGGAACGATTAGAACGTTCTATTACCGCCTGTTCCAGATCCCTGGAACGAATCGGCAGAAACCGATTGGTCCGGAATATTGCCAAGCCTGTTCCAGCCCCGTGAGGAAGCACTGACTGTCTCACCCTTGTGAATGTGTAATGCTAACTTCATGCGGTATAGGTCACACGTTTGAATTAAGTCTGCTAAGAATTAAGGCAGAGAAGCGAAGGCTTTCTTAAGAACGAAGAGAGCATACTCGGCCGTTCAGACAACAACGTATATATACGGAATTTCGAGAAATTATGGATAACCTTTCGGGGGTTGTTTGGGGCCAGGGTTTGGAATGTTGGGGACACAGGTGAGGATCGGTTCGGGACCACAGTTCCGCGAATGCGAGACCTTAACAGCGAGATCCCATCCATTGAAGACATCCGGTCTCTGGCGATCGACGTTCTCCCCTTCAGTTCGAGTGCCGAAGGTACCAGCATTGTTACCCGTGACACACGTGCAAGGGCATCTGCCCAATATTAGACGCATTCAAAGACTTAAAAGAATTCAAGTAGGAGTTAAACTTGGGATAATTTACGAGGTGTTGAAATTGGTACGCTACCATAGCTAGCCTACCAGTCCTTCCAGCACCAGGTTCAACCACTAATTTAGGGTTCTCCACTCTCATTTGTCATGCGTCACTCGCCAAGCTTACCAAGCTTACTAGTATATCGTCATTTTGATTACTTTTGATTTATCAGCTGATTAATAATGTATCGGAGAAAGCGGGCTCGGCATCACCGGTATCGCCGAAGGGTAATGGGAATAAATCCCTTACTTTGGACACTTTTCCTCTGTTTTTACACTTCACTCTCCTGTATCTAGTCATTCTACAGATTGTCAAACTCCAATATATCGATTTTCCATCAATAAATCGATTACTTTTCAATACGAGGCCGTCCAAGAAGCCAAGAGAGCTGCTCTTGGGAACCGTGGATATCTGGGCAGGTGCTGGAGTTCCAGGAGGAATGCTCGATTCTGGCTGGCAACTCGAGCATAGGGACCTGGCAAATAACTACACGGAGGCGATGTGCAACTGCCATGATTTGAGAGAGGTCTTGAAGCGTGATGGGTATGGGTGTAAGTTTCTCACTGTTCCTGAACCTGGCATTCAGCGCGGCAGTTGGAGGAACGCGATTTGGGGTATATCAGATATTGGGCTGAAGCTCATGGACGAAGCGGACTGGAGACGCTCAAGTCTACAGATATATACATATGGATGTTTGTAAAATCTCCCGGTAAAGATTTTACAATGGGAGAAGCCCCAAGAAATAAGCTACCGGCACCAAACCGAACAGACCTGAAGAGGATGCTCTAACTGGCTTGTCATCGGTGGAATGTGGACGAGGAGATATCGGCTCGACGTTTTAAATGAATAGAGGGCTCTGGTATTGCATGGAACTCGATACAATATAGTAGATAAACAGACCAAGTCGCCTAAAATTCCAGATCTATACACCATTTCAACTTCTCCTACTGTGATTGGTTGCTTGTCTTCTGTGTACGATCAGAATTTAGATAGTATGCCACCATACGTGGACTCAAAGATAAACTCTTTTCCAGGTGGCTTATTTATTGCCATTATATCTAGATCTATAACACCGTTCCTCATCTGCTCCTCCACGCATTCACTTATAGTTCTCGGAGTATATTGGGTTGACGAGACGTTTTGAGAGAGGTACTGTTAGTGCAGGTTAGCTAAAGGCCATAATAGAAGAGAAGAAGACTTGAATACGAACCTTCAAGGTAAATTCTAGCTTGAAAAGGCACACACGCGCATCGAGGACTCGACCAAGAAATTGATCTGCCCCCACGGCAAGACAGAACCACTGCCGGAGAAGTGGTCGAGAGAGAGCAGAGAAAGACAACTATGGCTGCTCATATAGTCGCCTTCGGCGGATAACCGAAGCTGGTGTTGCCTGTGGCGGAGAGCAAGCTCTGAGAATACTAGTTGATTCTCGAGGTGACCTGGCCGGATCGGTCGTCGCTCACTCCAGCCAGCGGAGCTGACTTTCACCACCGGGATATCCTCTGCGGTATCTGTTACTTGAACCTCTCTCTTCTGGCAGTCGCTGTGCGACCTCCGAGTGCTTCAGAGCTCGAACCGGTTGTTGGCTATCGACGAGCACGGCGTCTGTCTGGAACGGACCGAGACCATGGCCGAGTTTGGAAGTGCTCTTGTGCTATCGAGGTATTATGTACTAGAGATCTCCTCGCTATTAGAGGTGTGATTCTGTGAACAAGGACGCTCTGGATGCATTTACACCTTTCTTCACTTCTTTCCCCTTGAGCCTTAGCAACTCAGGGGTAAGCCTTGGCATCTATTATTAATATAACCTGCGCCGAATATTGGCCTCACCAAAGTCCACTTCCGTCTTTAGCCCTAAGTAGTCGCTGCTCTAACCTGAGCCAAGGCCAGGGACCTGAGCACAATGATGGGTCAGCTGGATCATGCTAGGGGATCTTCTTCTGGCCCCCTTAGGAATCGGCTACAGTTTCCATGTTGTCTATACATATAATTTTATAGATACCTATTGCCTATACAACACAACCACTCTTTGAAGCTGCCAAGATATCGTGATAGTATCCGTCCACATTCTCCTGTTAAGCCCACAAGGGTTCCTGCCAGAGCTAATTTGGATCCCCCTCAGCGGAGAAAGAGTCTTGTCGGGTACGAAGATCTGCTATGGGAGCGACTTGTCGATTTCGTTCCCTAAATTGGATATAGTTTGCTTATATGTCGATCGGTATCGAAAAGAATACTCCTGAAAATGAGGGTTTGAATCCTGTTTTCTCAGGAGTTTCGTTTTGTGCTACTCGGACCAATACATGAGAATTGCCTCTCCAAAATGCAAAGCAATGAGAATACATGATACTTTTGGGAAGCAGCAGGCCTCGTGCCCTGTATATCTACTTTTTGGAATTGGTTGCTTCTCCGCGCTTCGAGGTCTGACTCTGAGAGTTCTTTCGGCCTCCCGACTCCCGAGCATATAAAAGTGGCTTGTACTTAACAGGTTGGGCGCTGAGTACACGAATACTTGAATATCAAGAGGTTGATTTGAATGGTTTGTACTTAAATAGCGGTGGCAGGCTACAGTATACTCAATATGTACCGCCTCAGTAATCGGCATTCTTCTCCAACTAAACCTATGTCCATTAAACGAAACAATGCCCCTCCCATTCGTCCACCCCCTTCGCCTCTTCATCATCCCCTCAAAACCCACTAATCTTCCTCTCAAGAGCCCTAATCTTCTTTCCCATAGTCGCTGTCCTCTTTTTCCTTTCATTCTTTCCATTCCTCTTGCTGGTGTCGAGCAGATCCATACAACGCCGTAGTGGAGCAGCTTCAATGAAAAGTGCAGCTCCGCAGCCAGCAGGTTCTTTGAGGTAACGCTGGAGCTGATAGCTACCTTTTCCTCTGTAAGAAATTGGCTCATGCGCTGCTTTATCTGTCACATGCTTTGCCTTGTGAGAGAAGGCCGAGCTTTCGTCTAGGTGCTTTTTGACTTGAGCAGACGAATTGTTAGTCGATGTGCGACGTGAGATTTTGTCTTCATGTTTGTTCGGGGCCGTTCTGAGTTGGTGACAAAGACAGCACCTGCGAATGATTAGTTAGTTGAGAGATCTGTTTGATCGACATTTTGCCTTTCGAAGTTTTATTGTGATGTGAATGAATGGGTGGTGGATAATGCTTACAGAGGCAAGTGCCCATGCTTGCAGACTTCCGGGAAAGCCTCAGCACAATTCATCTTCACCATAATATAGTTTCAATCTCATACGCAAGTCTGAGAGCGAAGAGAGAAAAGGGAAACAAGGAGGGTTGAGTATTGATTGTGTTGAAAAGTCGTTGAAAATAAAGGGGAGACACAAACACCGGACAGAATTGTGGGTATGGGGTTCAAACCAGTGATTGGACTCTGAAGGGCTGAAAAAGCCACATCTGATTTGAAACTGCTTGTTCGTTGTACGAGGAATTTTCCAAAGTACATTGCATTCATTTGTCAGGATAGGGATATCATTGGCTCTCGCATTGCGACGCAGCCACACTGCGACGCGCTGCGATTGGACACAAAAAGTAGATGTTCGCTTACAAACAAAATAATATTGTCTACTATTGATGCTACCCAGGAAGTAAGTATCTCCTCTATTTCACACATGATGTCAAACAGAAACATACTATCAATACATTGCTATGTAGCTGCTTAGAAAGATGATCCCATTAGAAAGTTTCTTACTTCTTCTGAAATACTTGATAACCTCAACCACTTCCTAAGGTGCCTTCAAATCCTCATGTTTTCCGAGCTTGCTCTCGATTGGAAAAAACTTTTAGAGTTGCTACTTTTGCTGAAATGGCCGATGAGTACTATGTGATCACCATATTCGCAAAGTCTTGACACAGAAAAGAAACCATCTCATCGAATGGATCGAACGTATTACCAGCCATCGAAAGCAATTTGTGGACCTGGTCTATGCCAAGATTTGCAGCGAGAGCAAGCGCTCTATACATGCTGGCCCCTGGAAGCCATTTGATATGTATTATGTGATTCGTGTTGCCGCCATGAATGACCTCGTGGTTTGATTTTAAGAGCAAGTAAATGGCTTCTTTGATGGAAATTGGTGCAGCAATCGCATCTAACATATTGTGAGATGTATTGCGCGATGTCTTCGTTATCTAACTTTGAAGTTAGTTCCTGCTATCATTCTCGGTTTGTTGCTGATCAAACTAATTACATCCTGTTGAAGCACGGCGAGATGGATAGGAAGACAAAGACTATAAAAACTTACAATGAAGGAAGTTTTACTTTGCCCACAAACAGAACACTGTTTTGAGATATCAGGATCTAATCTCAATTCCACCATAGACCCAGCGGCTCGAGCCGCAGCAGCAGCAGCAGGCTCCCTTTTGAGCAGTAATTGCACCACTTCATGATTGGCGCTCGCAATTGCATGGGAAAGGGGCGTATCACCTAATTTGCAAAGAGAGTTTACATCGGCTCCGTAATCAATAAGAAGTTTTACCAAGCGGGTGTGACCCCCCATAGCAGCCAAGTGGAGTGAGTTTTCAGGAAAGCCGCTGACTATATGGTCCGTTGCCCCCATGTCGAGTTCCAATTTTGCCAGTTCGTAAAAACCAAGAGAAGCACCGACTCGTAGAAACATATTGATTGTGTCTAGAGATATTGGTTCCAACCGAGCAATTTCGATATCCAGCAGAGTTTTAGGAGTCTCGGAATCCAGCTTAGAAATATCTTGTGGCTTTGTTTTCTTGGAAGGGATTATCTCCCTCAAAGTCTCGTGAAGCACGCCCGATATAGACGTACTTTTAGGCTCAGCAAGGAGATAATGGTGTATCCAGTATTTCTCGGCATATATTCCCAGTGTCTGTAACGGCTTTGGTTTGATATTTATAGCGTAATCATCAAACAATACATGATCTACTCTTTGTAGAATGAGTTTAGGATTCAACGCTCTCAAACAAGCCCGAGCAATCATTTCGTGTGGGCCTTGGGGAAATGAGCTCCGAATGATGGTCGTCAAATGGTCTCGTAGACTCAGATGAACTAAGTTCACTGTTCGAGTCCTGCTCATTGTAAGAAGACCCATGGTGGATTTCTCGACTTCTGTATCCAGGTAAGATGTGCCAAGTTCTGAATTTACTACGTCAAGCAGCTCCCATGAATACATCGGTCGAGCCGCGTGCAGGACCCAACTCAACATGCAGAATGCGAACCGGTGGTGAACGTCGAGGATTGATTGAGACATGTGTTTGTATATGTTACTTGGGCTTTTGATGCCTTCGTCGTCTGTGATGCCGAGTACCCATTTATTGATCCCGTCAGAAGCTGGTTCATTGGATAAAATAGATAGCAGGAGCCTCATACAGAGAAATCGGCCCTGTGACTTCTCTGTAATCTTCTGAATTCGAATCACTGTCTCAGCATCGCAGGTCGTCGGCAGACCTTTGGACAGAATACTGTTGGTATAATCCTCCATATCGTGTGCGATGGAAGTTTGGGAGTCCAGGTCTATCTGAAATGGTGTTTGGATACCGCTCTTTGTGGCAAATGCTTTTCTGCAAGATATAAAGATCTTGATACGGTGCTTTTTATCGTGTTGGTTTGTCAGAGTCAACAGTTCCTGGACTAAATCGTGTCCCATCTTAACATCATCCAGACCATCCAAGACCAGAATCAAGGCTTCTCCCTCCTCCAAATTGTGCTTGATAGTCTGAAACACACTTCTGAGTGAAGCTCGCGACAGGCGTTCATGGGCGCTATCCAGCTCCGTCGCGTCTCCCATGAGTCTTGCTACCATAGCATCACCTGTCCTTCGGGCTTGCAGTTCTGCCAACCAGACTTCCATTATTTGCAGAACGGTATCTGAGCTTTCATACCGTCCATCGCAGCAGTAGAAAGTAACTACTTCTCCCTCCCTTTTTTCTCCTTCTTCGAGATGTCTGATAACAGCTGAAGTTAATATGGACTTTCCGCTTCCTGAAGATCCACATAGCCAGAAGAATGGGTGCTCATGGAGGCTGCGCCATTTCTGAAATTCGTCCCTCATCCATATCCATTCTCCAGTTGACCTCAACAGCAGCTTGCTTCTAGACGCATGGAGTGCTCTAGAGACACATCGGAGCCGAATTTGCTCTCCGGATGTCAATGGCAGAATGCCGGAGCAAGAGCATTGCCCGAAAGCAGTATCTGTGACTACTGCAGGGCAATCATCCGGGAATGTCATTGCTATCTCTTTTGAGCTTCCAGATCCCTCCAATATGGTGGTGTTCATGCTTGGTTTAGCTATGCAGGTTGTGTTCCACGCATAGCCTGGGTAGTATCGGGTCGTCTCTGTAGTGGTTCTGTCAACACAACGTTTCCATATCGAGTTAAATGCAACAACGCACCATGCTTAATTATGTCTCGCGGAGTCTTGCTCTCCACATTGAAAACATGAAGAGGGACTTCTGAGGTGTTATCCCCTCGCCGAAAGTGTGCTCCAACATGATCCGCTCTTTCATCCCAGTGGGTAAATTTCGCGCCACAAAAACCGCATTCCTTGGGCCAACTGCTCTCAATGGGACATGAGCACATTGCACTTTGAAGGTCAAAATACTTAATATCGTGCCCAGTGCGAAGGTGAGTGCACAAATCGTCATAGCTTGCGAACTTTTGTAATCGTTCTCGTGCCAGCTCACACTGCAGGATGTGACTACCTGCCACGTCGACAGTGAAATGTGAATCGAACCTATGAGAGCACCAAATGCAAATTTGATCTTCTGTCGAATCTTGCCTGACGGTGGCGCAAAACAGACATATATAGCATGTTGGTGCCCAGTGTCCCTCCTCATGCATTTTCCACTCGTTCGTCGACCCGAAATTTGAGCCACATCTTGGAAATGTACACCGGTATGGCCTCTCCACAACGAAGGGCTTATCATTCAGTGGGATTTTCAAGCTTTCATCGGGAGAGAGGCTCATTTTAGAATCCGAATTGTTGGTTTCGCTCCTAGGACTCCGATCACCAGACCGTGAGACCATACTGGAAAAGTCTTTAGTAAGGACACTAAAACATTGCTGGAAGAACGTACTTCTTAGATACTCTGCTAAGCTCTTTTCCTAGATACGACGATGCCATTTTTAAGGATCACAGCTGTGGGTGTGCAAAGTGACCAAGATATGAAGGATGCCAGCTTGAGCCTCTCTGGACAGGGCTGGAGGATAGTTGAAGTAAGATCATCTCTGTCTGCCTCGCCACGATGAAGCGAGTGAGCAACTTATCATAGTGTTAGAAAGTCAAGGCGTCAAAACACGACAGTGAGGCAATTACATTGTAACAGTGGTCTGCGCAAGCGGCTGGGCGCTATCCCTGCAACATAGGGCCGACCACTTTCGCCTCTTCTATGGAGGCGGTGACGGGCGGTTACTGCCAAACGTCGATTGCTGACAAGGTTTCTAGAACCACGATTTTTTGGAATTCTAAAGAAGCAGAGTAGACAAGCCCCTTTCTCTCCCCTTGACCAGCTCTTGGATTGTGGCTGCAAAAGCACCTACCATCCGAATTCGATTTTTCACTGTTCCTCGCCTCGGCTATTCACCCCTTGAGGAGTCAAGGGTAGGCGAACATAGGGGCGCCACATCACAGTATATCGTCGCAGTGGAGCCTCGTGCACTGCGACCATCGCAATGCGACAACCACACCAGACGATAGTGTGGCGTTGCCTGTCTGCCTCGACGGTCGAACCACAAGGCAAACTACGGCCGTCCAAATAGCCCAGTCAACGGAACCATGTCTTTCTGCAGGAGTTACGACCACCGTCGAGCAGGCGGGAAAACGACAAGCACGCGGCGACGTGCTTCTCGAAATATGGATGATGGAACACTGCATCAAGAATTGAGAGACACCCTTCAATTGTTGTTCCCGAGACTTGAGCAAACTCAACGGCGATCATGCCAAATGCGAGGAAATGTCAGGACTGCAGGAGCTCGAAAAAGGGGGTAAGCGCACCCTCCTCTCATGAGATGTTTTGAACCATCGAAACTGACATGACAACCCTCTTTAGTGCTTAAGAGACGGCGGTGACTGGAATGAGCGAGATCCTCAAACGAGATGCAGCCGCTGCAGGAGTCGGGACCTTTGTTGCGGACCCGACGAGTACAAAGACGAGGACGACCAAGGGGAACGTGAAGTGATAGTTGGCATGGGACAACGAGCTGGCGCGGCAAGCAATCGAGGGGTCCAGCCGCTAGCTCCAGCTCCATATACAGAGGCATACCTGCGAGAAAGGTGAGCTATATCTGCCTGACCATTGTGTGTACTTATCCTAAGAAGGAATCAGGTTGCGCGAGCTGTCCAACTCGGAATCATTTTGCACCACTCGACAGAACATCACGAGCCTTCAACATGGGGACCAGAGCTTTGCAGTCGGGGAAGACCTCTCTCGCACGTTGGAAGACATCGAGGAGTTGGCGTGGCTAGCTTATAACTCAAATGACCTGTCAATTGCCGAAGTGGCTTTTATCACATTGATCGAGTGGTATGATGCCTTGGGACTGGAATTCCAGCAGCGCCGGGAAGGATTGTTGATGAAAGTAGGTGGCATCTTCGAAGCAACTAAGTGGAAAGATCGTGCAGAGGAGTACTCGTTGAAAATCTTCGATTATCTTATGGTGGAAGATCCAGACATTAACGCCCGATTCCACCACGCCATCCGGAACTTCAAGAAGCAAGGTCCAGTCGGTCACGATGCTCTTATGCGTATCATCCGTTGCTGCCCGCTATGTCGGTTCAAGTTCAGAAATAAAGATGGGCAAACACCACTGTTGTTAGCAGTGTCCATCAATGAAGAAGAGGTTGTTGTTGCCATGATTAAGCGACTTAGAGATCCTTGGCGACAGTTCTTGATTGACCCGATCATTCTCGACGCCAGAGATCACCGAGGGTGGACCATACTTACACTTGCTGTAATGGTAGGGTGTCATCTTCGTTTGATTGACGCGCTCATTCAGTGTGGCTCCGCCGTTAATCCTCAGAGATTGCCGAATGGCTCTTTGACTCCGCTTCAGGCAGCTTCGTGCCCTGGATTCGAACGCCCTGATGTCGCCTGGTTGTTGCTTCAGCATAAAGCTAATCCAAGCGACGTCTTTCCTGGCAGCGAGATTGCGGTTCTGTTGGCCGAGGGACTGCTGCCAAAACCTGCATTTGTCTCCTTGCTTCTAGAGCTGGATCAACAACCCTGATACAACCCTGATATACAAAACAATGACTGGATACAGCACTGGTGTCCGACAAAGAGACAGCACACCAATAAGCATATCGCCCACAGCACGCCACAGCCGATTTGAATGTTGAGGCTTTGCTCCTGCAGCCGCAACCCCCGGTAGGGCCCTGGATGCCCAAAGTTCTTTATTGGCTAAAGAGCGCACCGCGCCTCCATCCTCGATCTGCGATAAAGGTTGAAGTGCTGCTGCCTAGCCTTGATAATAGACAGATGACAAGCTGGCACCGCTGGTCGCGGAGGGATCGGCTCGCAACCTCTTCAAGCTTGGTAATAGCATTATAGATATGCTTTCGAAGAGACGGTACGTTGTTTGCGAGCTGCACGGTAATACTTGCAAAGAACTTGCCGGCATGGCTCACCTCTCCGCCTCCTGTTGAGAAGAAGAAGCTGGTGGCAGTTGCCATGCACGTGATTCTCCTCATTAGGTTAGCTCAGCTGCAGAGGCATAAAGATACTCCCGTTGTCTAGTTTTAATTAGTCTGTTTTGAGAATTCTGCTGATGGTGGGGCAAACCGCTCCCTTTGGTTGCACACCAGGGGAAGCCAGTTTTGCTAGCGACGGTGCTGTAATTACCTAAGCAAAACACTTCAAAAAGGGGAGTTATTGATAACAACAACACTCATCTAACACTTAAAAATAACTAGATGCTTACTGCCTTACATTAATCTCTTTCTCTGCTCAGTTTGAGCAATTGCACTTCTTTGTTTGTCTCTTGGCACAGAGCTTCGAGTAGTTTAGGGGGTCTTGGCAATCCTGCTTGGCTTTATTGAAGTAACCGAATCTTCACCTGAAGTTCCGTTGTCTTGCCATAACCAAACATTATCGATAAGAACTCAATTTCGTGAAAGTCACGCTTTCCTTAGTCCCGGTGTTGAGAAAATCCGTCCGGTAGTTTCGCACAACTGATCTAATTTTGAAAAATATCCGCCTCTATTCAGAGATCCTCCAAAACCACACAAAAACCATCACTCATTGCACTCTCCATAAGATCTTTGCACCATCGCTGTTCTATGCACTAAGATTATCGTCATGGACTCCCTATCCACAAGCGAGGTGATGAACGGCCTGCCCCTTGGCACAACTACTTCGTTGACAGACACTGTTGCGCCGGTTGAGGAGCTCAAGGAATTTACTATCTTCCCTAAGTTGATAGTTGAACTTCAACTCGATATATGGACCAGGGTATTAGAAATAGGACGAGTTATCACGATTGACGACAAGTTGAGACCGAAGGACCGGCTTGTTGAACTCTTTGTTGCCGAAAGTGGAGCGCCTGCGACGACTGAGAAGAACAACCTCAAGCAGTCGAAGTTCAGGAAGTTGTTATCGAAGGCCGGACGCATTCTCAGAATCAATGGCAAATCACTACCGGACAACAAGGTATTCATCAAGGAGAATGGAGTGGTCTCGACTGGAAGAAGGCTCACCCAAGCGAACGAGAGATACCTCACCCAAGCCCTCTTTGGTGTTTGCCAATTAACTCGGGAACTTGCTTTGAAGACTCTCAATGCCCACGTCGACGTCATTGAGCCTAATGGAACAACCAATCGCATTCGATTCAACTCAAACGATGTAGTTTACTTCAACATCTTCAAGGCAGCAGCTCTTCCCCTATTCCATCCGTTTCTGACTTCAGGACAATGTTCTATGACCTTTAACCTCAGGCACCTTGCTGTTCACGAACGGAACGTGTACTCGATCCACCTCCCCAATGCCGACAAAGAGTTCGTTTCAGCACTTGCTTGACTTCCCCAGCTCGAGACCCTTACCATCGTAACGTCCAACACGATGGAAGCTCGTCATCTCACGGCCGATACTAAACTGATTGAATGTAGGTGCTAGGGGAGAAGCATTTCTTACCTTGCGCGGCCTCATGGAACTCACCAAAGACTTTGTCCCAGTCTCACCTCAGCAATGTGTCAAGCAAATACTAACTCCTTCGCTACGCAGGGCTTAGAGAAGACTTGTTCCAGCGAGGCAGACCCGGCAACCCTCCCGGAACAATGTCTCACCCCCAAGCCAATCAGAGATGTCTCATGGCGTGGTCCACGGTTCCGGTCTCCATCAACGAGTTCCTCAAGCCTTTCAAGAAACATTTGAAAAACAACCCAGGATGGAAGGTCCCAAAGATCAAGATTATGCACACCATCTCTCCCAAGAATTATCCGTCCAGCTACATGATTCGAGGTTTCGAGGTCTACGACATGGAGGCTAAACAGAAGGATGACTTGGCAATATTTGCCAAAACCTCCAATTTGAGCGAGATTGTTGAGCTAGAATCGGATGGCCGCAGACCTTTCCTTGACGAAGATCTTGCATGTGACGCATGTTGCCTGTGAGTAGCCTTTGCTTCAGCCTTCCCCTTGCTAACAATCATCCCCCAGCTACAGCCACTTCATGCGTCCCAGTTGTTTTCCATCCCCTCTCTCGCGATCGGACAATCCACTCTGTTATCGCTGTCAACTCACGTCAACCCCCTGTACCCTCGAGCGTCGAAAGGCAATGAGGATCTTGGAGCTCAAGGCTAAGGATCGCGAGGAGAAGCTGAAGTTGCTGAACGAGTCCGAGAGAGAGTCATTCAATTATTGGGCATTGAAGGAGGAAACAGCAAATACAGAACGACAGGAGGAACGAGAGGAAAGCCTGGAAGCGCTGCTGGACGAAATGGAGACACTTCAAACAGCCGCTAGAAAAAAGCAACACCAGTTGTTTGGTCAGGAAATCACTGTTAACGGCTGGATCTTTGAGGATTCTACTGACGGTGAAGACGATGATTGAGGCACCTGGCTTTACTCAAGTGGCTTTCTCTTTCGTCTTTGGAACGGGTTTTCTACTAAAGTGTATCTGAGATGCGATTGCCACGGTGAGTAAGGCACCTACCTAGCTTTGCTTAAGTGGTGGTCTCACTCTTTTCATCGGGGAAGAAAGTCTATTGGAGTGTATTCCAGATGCGATTGATACTCCTATTGTCTCATAGCAAAAATCAAGTTTCTGACTTGCGTGGCTATGGCTTTGGTCTCCTCCAAATGGGGAATTGCTACCAGTGCAATCATCCAGCCATGATCTCGATTCCCGTTATATTGTCATTGTGCAAGAGGTTCTTGCCCTCAATCAACACTCCTGCATCTCTCCTAGCCCTCTGCTATTGCCATGCCAATATGTGCCATATATCTTCATTTGAATTGTGGAAAGTAGAATGAGAGTCAAGTGTTCTAGAAGCCGTCAGAAGCATCCCAAAACTCTTGATCTTAACTTGCCTTCATCCCACTCAATGCTGTGTCTGCGAGCCGACAACATGCAAGATGAGATGCAATTGCATAGCCTCAAGAGTCCCTGTAGAAGCAATTTTTTTGGATTGTATTGCCTGCGAACGTTCTACTTCGGTCGAGAATCAGATCCGTTTAGCAGGCCAGCCTTTCGCCATGATCTTGGTTTCAGGGATCTTCAGGTCGACATGCTCATTCTTAAGCTTCCAGTCATTCATCAGCTCTTTGTACAACAGCTGAGAAGATATTGCTGCCATCAATAAGCGAGACTGCGGCGAGTTCAGTGCGCTGGGATCGAAATTGGTTGCATAGTTGAGGAAGCAATCTTTTTTAACTGAAGCCGAGCGGTTGCGCCTCTCGCAACAGAACACCAGGGTCTGTAAGCTTTTCAAAACCTGAAGAGAGTCTTGAAAAATAGCATCACGCTCCACAAGATCCATAAAATTTTCCAGATCATCACCGAAAGAAGAATGTGAGAAGATCACCAGGGCGGGGATTTGGCTGATTGAGGGATGAATGTTGAATCCGTGGCTGTGAGCAATACACATGTCCTCCAAAAAACGCTCGAGATTTTGAACAGCGAGGACATCATGGAGTCCGAGTCGGATTTCTTTCTTCGGGTCTCTCGAGGGAAGTCGAATGGGAAGCATCTTAATCGCGACATGACGAGACTCTTTGCAAGCTCGGAGCATTCCGGGATCCTCATTCTCGCCAGAGAAACCAAGCTTAAATTTGTATTTGTATTTGATGCGGAATGTGTCAATGCGATCGCTGCTTAATGTCGTAGTGGCTCTGATGATGGAGTTTCCCGCATCGACTGTGACGATTCTGGGACCTAGAGAGACAGTGATTAGTGTGTCACCTTTGAAGCAAATTGGCAGCTCCAACTAATTCCATGAAAGCGCCGAGATGCAAAGTATCGTACAAGAACCTTTCGGTGACCCAGATTCTTCGAACTTACCGGGAACTGCGAACTTCCAGACCCTGTCTCTCAACTCTGGAGGCAGCTTTGGGAACAAGGTGAACTTGATGGGGCGAGAAGGCCTCAGCTTTCGAGAAGTGGTTGACTTGTCTTCCCTCATGATTTTTGGGAGATATTCCGTCGGGGCTTGGTCCGCAGGAGGAACTTTGGGAAGAGATAACAAATCGCCAGCCGCAGGAGTTGGAGAGGTTGGCCTGGTCGCGGGTGACTCTGTGCTGAGATGTTTTAGTGCTGAGGGAGGTTTCGATTGTGAAGGATACACGGAGAAGTTCTGGGATGGGAGCAGAAGGAGGTTGTGGCAGGAAGGATGGTGGTTGAAGTTGGCAAGCGAGATTCAGACCACCTCACTTTTGGTGAATTGGGAGAAATTTCAAATCTTTATCAATGAAGAAGTTGCAGTTTCTGGGAAATGCTAGAATTCCCTTGCTATGTACTCCTTGCATGATGATCTACGACCTAAGTTGCACATCACTGCAGCTCTATTGTCCTAATGCTCCGCGGAACAATGTCCAGGGTACTGCTAGAAGCATTATCCCGAGCCAGAATGTCCAAACTTCCAAGAGCTCTCGAAGTTGCTATTTGAAAGCATCAGCTTGCGTCAACGGCCAACCCCCTAGTCATAATCTTGACCTCCGATGTTTTGATATCTCTGTACAGTACTTCTCATCTTGCTTCAGGTCCTACATACTTTCTGGGTATCGGTGTCGCGAATGCAAAAACTGGGTGAGTGTTTGAAGGTGATCAGGGCTGAGTGATTTTGATCAAAGCTAGTGGAGTCGTGGTGAATTCTGTGAAAGAGTTATCAACATCAATGCTATTTACCAGCGGAATGAGGCCAAGCACAAATATATCCAAGCCCGAGAAAATTTCGATGAAGTCGCAAAAGGCATTTTGCTCAGCCACGAAATATCGGAAACAGCACATCTCTCCGCCCAACCCGACGAGACAAAGATTCCCAGCTTGGTGACTTTGCCAAAGACCGAAGGAATCTGGAGATGGGCTCCCTCAAAGGTTACGAGTAGCTTGTAGTAGACGAGGTTTTGCAGTCCCTTTATCCAGAGAGTATCATCTGAGCTGAACCGAATTTCTTCAGGAGCCTTAGAGCGAAGACGCAGTGGGATTCTGCTGACCATAATGTTACGCGATTCGCTGCAGGCACGAAGCAAGCCATGACAACCACTTCCTCTTTTGGCAGAGAAGACGAACTTGTATTCGATACCGTGGATGGTTCCGACGGTGCTGTTTCCGAGTTTCTCTTTTCTCTTGATTCAGCGCGTACAAAACACACACACACACACATATATATATATATTTTTTTTACAGAAGTGAGAATAGGATCTGAAAACTCTTAGCACGCGCAGCAACAATAATCAAGAATAATCTGATAATGCTTACCAGCAGGAATTTTAAACTTCCAGATCTTGTCTCTCAACTACGGAGGTAGCTTTGGGAAGGTGAACTCGGTACAACCACCAGAAGAGGCGAACTTGGCCTCACCCAGGGGAGCTGCACATGAGTGCGGCCGTTACTTGATTTCTTGGGGCATTGGACGATGCCTGTCGTTGCGAGGAAGAATGGTCGATGCGAGGGAGGACAGTGAAGTTGGCAGGTGGAGGAGTTCGGCTCCAGGAGTCCAGGCAACAAGTCGCAGACCCGAGTGGATAAGCGAATGAGGAAGAGGTAGCGAAAATTTACCAAAATTCTAAAAGCACAAATGTGAAATGGAATTGCCTTCTCAAAAGCCTCACATCATAGTATGGTCTTCGAGCAGCGAATCTCTTGCAACTTAATATGCAGTATATCAAGCTGCTTATCGTTTCTGGTACTGAGATCTTTGATCGAGAATCGTTTAGCCAAAAGAATCGCCTTCTTAAAAGCAGTTCAATGAAATTATTTGCACTGTATTGCACCATTGTGCAGAAAATCTCAGCTCGGATAGTATGGCACATTGGTGGTATACGGATTCGCCAGATCCTATTTCCCAGCACCTTTTTCCCAGCCCCCAGCTTAAGTTTCCAGTAACTGCTGCTCTACGAATTCTTTTGCAAGCATATATCGTGCGTTCCCGGCTCCTCATTTTTAAACACAAATTCTCCTTCCTTCAAGTATCGAGACGTGCACCATGATCTTGATCTCCAGAGTCTCGAGCCTATTATCCTTCAGTTTCTCTCTCTCAACTTGAATCGTGCTCTCGATGACTTCCTTGAAGTTCATTGCCTTCTCCACAAATCCTTTGTCTCCGCCTTTACGGCCGATGAGTGAGAGATCTGAGGCGTATCCAGAAAGGGAATTGTCCAGAACTTTTTCGGGGTAATGACTAGATAAGCAAATGGAAACTGTTCGCAGGTTTTTGCAATAGGGTGCGAAAGCGAGTACGGATTTCAGTCGCATCTTAATTTTCAGTCGGCATGCACCTAAAGGGTACTTTGCAAAAATTGCCAGTCGGTGTAGGTGTGAGAGAGCGGAGAGAGCTTCTGGAATCTTGATCCCATTCTTAACTGCATACTTCAAGTTGGATTCTAGGACATGAGGTTTGTCGATTACAAGTATGTCGCTTTGGCCGAAACGGATTTTCTTGTTCAGGATCGCCGATGGGAGAAATATCGGGAATCGTTCAACAATGACCTGACGAGACTCTGTACAAGTTCGATAAAGAGAACAGCCCTCGTCCCCGGAATGAAATTGGAGTCTGAAACGTTCTGTTGTAACGACAGCGAAACCACTGCCGTCCTCATCGATAATTTGTTCCTGAATTCTGGTCCAACCTTCTTAGGCTTCAACTCGAATAACTTGTGGACCTACCTACAGAATGTTAGTCTCTGAGGCGATAAACCCAACATTCAAGCATGGGATCTAAACAAGTGTGCATACCAGGGATTGCATATCCCCATATCTCGAGGCTCGAGAGGCAGCGTTGGAAACAGCTTAAACTTCTTCTAAGGTGCGAAGGTGAGGGTTTTCTCAAAATCAAAAGTTGTATCTGCATCCCGAATCGTGTTTGCTGGCAAAGTAGTGTCAGAGGAGATATAGGGGGCCATGATGCTCTTAGATCTGTTGATGAACCGGCGAAATTTGTGCCAAAGTGAAACAGCGGTCTAATGTTCTGTATTGAAGTTCAAGCTTTAATAAACGGTTGGTTCGGAGTGGTGATTGACACTTGTGGTGTTCGAAGACGTGCAGTCGGTAGAGAGGTTGGGTTTGGACTGGAAAGACGAGCCACTACTTCGTACTTGTTCTACTCCCAGAAGACTCAATAAGCTCTGTGATCGTCGTCGATGGTACCAAAGCATAAGAAAGCAATAACCAGCTTTATTGTGGTTTCCTGTAGATGTTGTGGCAATTTTGGTGCAGAACGGCTTGGAGAATGGACTGAGGAAGGCGAAGGTGACGAGAGTCCTAAAAAGTAAGCATGAGTATCCGTTCTTCAAATTCACCAGCATCAAGTACCATCCACACACCAGCATAATAGAAAAGCTAAGAAGTTGAGGCTTCGCTTACAGTGTAGCAAAATGTTTCTCCAAGCTGCTTTTGACTTTCATTACGTAACTTGTTCTCCTCGAGCATCCATTTCGCTCCATATTTTGCACACCAAACAATCACAATACTCGCCACAACGATTGAGAGCTAAGGAAGCAACGGCTACTTTTTGTGCTGAGCATCTCTCGTATCTTCCTCCTGGACACAATCTGCAACATTCCCAAGTACGCTTATGTTCCTTGCCGCAATTGTAGTACCAGACTGAGAGTTTGCACATGGTGTTTCTGTTCCGGATAATGTTTAGTGATGGGGGGGTTTGGGTAAATTTTTGAGAAAGCGGTGCAAAAAGCAGGGTATTTTATAAAGAGGCAGCTTCTTTGACTTTGTTGTGTGATTGTTTCATTGCAACCTATGAATCACAAAGAGCCAGGAAGTTTCGAGTTTAATTCTGACTCGGAACAAATGAATGCAGCTTGATATTGGAAAATGCCGGGCAAAGATGTATTATGCAGCAAACGGAACTGAGCTAAAATGGGATGCTGGCCAGATCTTTAATTTTGGGATGTCGCAGCCCGCGGTAATTGAAGGATAGGATAGAATTTAGAATATAAATCTTTCCACGAAGACCAACAAGTGCCTCATGAATCCCATAACGCTCCTAGTTATGTCCCCAGTTTCCTTGTCTAGCAGCAGTCTTCAAGAAGGTCTAGCCTAGCGTTGACCATGGCGGCGAGTCCGTCTGAATGCCTCCATGGACCGGCCTGCACTACGAAGACAACGGCATAAAGTATCGGGAATACAGGGCATTTTGACCCTCAGCGCTCTACAGGGTGTGAATTTAGGGCAGAAGCTCGCTACAAGCCCCTATAACTCTAGGTAGTGCCCCCTAAATCTACGTAAAGATGCGCTATAAGACATTCGCATGGGGTAAGTAGATCTTCTAGGGTTATAGCGCTGTTGGTGGAGTAATCACAGTGCTCGGACGCTAAACAAGCAACTATTATAGGCCCCTTTAGCGAAGGCTCCCTTGTAAGTACAGGGAAGAAGCCCTGAAAAGGTGTGGTAGCCCTTGTCGAAGGCGTAAATGTGCTTTTAGGGGAAGAACCTGGAAATATAGGGCCTTGTAGCGAGTTTGCTACCTTGATCTGTACGCTGGAGAGCTTGAAAGTCTCCCAATGCCCTGTATTCCCGATACTTTATGCCGTTGTCTTCGTATAGAGCCTCGAGTTCTCGAAACTCTTCTTCAGTCTCTATGCGAGTTTCCATATCCCACCAAGAGAATCTCCCATTCGCTTAAAAGGTGCCACCTATTCCCAAAACCTGGAGTCAGCAGAATTCTTTGATATATTCAATTGAGTAGAATGTTCCAGCAGCTATTGAGCACTGTGTCCCTCAGCTGTTAGACATTTGCTCAAAAGGAGCTAAGTTGGGACTTGCCTGATCGCCGCGGTTGGTGAACTCGACCAAGCCTGCGGGATAGTCTGTGGTTCGCGAAGTGACACCACTGTAATCTTTGATGAGCAAATGAGTCTTTAGGCTGGTGAAAATGGAAAACCAATTTGGAAGCCCATCTGACGCGATGCACATCTGAAGCTAGAGGTCTTCGAAAGCGCAGTCGCTGTCGTCACCAATACCGCTCTCAACAATGGCGAGGATGTGAATCTTCTCGAAAATGGACGGAATTGGAACGCTACCCCTCGATGCTGCGATCATTGCATTGCAAATTCGAGGTGGGGTTTGAATTTCGATCTTGGCACAGCTTCATCACGTGACAAGGGGGTTTAAGCGAGGCTGCAAAAGGGGGGACTTGAATTCGAATGAATTCGAGCATGGACTTTCTTCCTTCGCAACATCTTCGTAGCATACTCAGAGCGGAGAGATTTGAATTCGTCGCTTCCTCTTTTCGCCGTACTCGAAAAGAGCAAGTCGCTACCCTGCATAAGACGCAGACAGCAGCAATCATCATTCAATTTCAGACCGCTGAAGAACTTCATGGTCAGCTTCTCTCCTGACATCAATCTCAGGATGAATCTCGACCCACTCTGAGTCTCAAGTATCTCTTCTTCTGGGAGCAAAGAACCGATCACCTCGCCACTGATCGAGTTTCAACTCTTCACCATACTTCCTCCCGAGCTGCGCATGAAGGTCTGGAGAATGGCCATCCCCAATCTATCAATAATGATCGTCGGGCTGGGCCTTTCTAACTTTGAAATCCGCTTCCAGACCCAGGAGAAGTTGGCGGGTATTCTCGGAATTTGCAAAGAATCAAGGCGAATCACCAAATCAGAAAGGCCATACCGCCTCAGAACCTGTCAACCCGTCTACGAGATACGCTTCCATCCGGATACTGTGATATACGTCCCAAACCTCGTGGGCTTGGTCAGCTATATGGAAACATGGATGGGGTCGCCATTGGGCTATGGAAATGCTTTTTGACGAAATCAGGCCACTGCCGATCTCGGAAGACTATCATGACATCTGGTGTCCCCTGCGCCACTGGGCTCGCCTTTTTCGTTTGGGGCGTGACCTGAAAACCGTCATTTTGATTGAGTGTAATCATCAGCATTTGGCGGGCAAGGAAGAGAGGTACAGTAATGTCACGTGCTGCGCACAGGCGTACATATAGCTTCTTCACCGCCCTTAGGGCACCATCATTCATTACAATATACACAAACACACCCACATTCCACTTCCACAGCTTGTCCAGGCCGTGACAAGTAATCTCTTGGGCATACAAGCATCCTTGAAACCTTCTGAGGATGAGCAAGAGGGAGACGCTGGAAAGGCGAAATTCATCTGGGTTGAATCCTTGCACACCATTGAGAAGTAGTCGCATGGAGGGTCGACATGAACTTGGTTTCCGTATTTATTTCTTCAGCTCAGTCATAAAGTGCTGGCAACAGAAGTCGCCTGTCAGGAATTCAGACTCTCAAATAGTTCAACACAAATATTCTCATTACATTACGAAGGGGGATGCATATGATCCACAATATCCGCCATCTTCTTCTCAGCCAGTTTATTCTTCCTCAGATCAATGATCGATCTATCTCTTTCCACATATGCCGGTCCCCCTGCCCTTCGGCTTGTCGCCCAATCACGTAAGTATGTGAAGGACCGACAAGTGTGCACTTGATCGGAGTCGATGTAGTTGCGTTGAGCACCCTCGCGGAACTTGGTTGGTACGAGAGTTGTGATGCCAGCGCATTGTATATATTGGCGGATTGCGTCGAGGCAGTGATCTAAGATCGAGAAGTAAGTGACTGCTCTCAGAATTCTTGGGACTGGGTATTTGAGGGGCCATACCGACGTGGGGAATGTTATTGTGGGATGTTCCATTGTAGTAGTTTTTGTGTAAAGCCATTCGGACAGCATTTACACAATGCAGCGTGTGAAAAACATCGAGTCTTCAGATTTGTGTCAGCATTTCAATAGCCTTAAAAGAAGTGCGCTTACCCAGCAGTGTATCCTCCTTGAAGCTGGTCTATGTAGTCGTTGTAGTTGTCTGGCCATACACTCTTTGCTTCCTCTTCTGAAATCGAGAAGTATCGCATTCCGATTAAGTTCTTCCAGTTCTCATCAATTTCAGGGCTGGGTTCTCCGAAGTAAGGAACATTCTCAGGCCAAGGTGTTTTTTCATCCCAAGGTTTATGATGCATTAACCCTTCTGCATCAAATTCAGGGCTCCCAGTGAACCTCACTTGTTCGAGAGGAATTGTTGCAGGATCAACTACGAACCATAAGCCAATTTTCAGGAGGCTTCAGTCTATTCTTAAAAGACTTACTGAAATCATTTATGTATCCTTGCCCAAGCTTGCTCCTCGGTTGTTGAAAGAGGAGAAACGCCAGTACGGCTGATGTTGTTGCGAATATAGCACTTAGAATCCACGGAAACGAGCACCTTAGCCTTGATATTTGTACAGGTTGTCTTGTCTCAAGGAATGGTTCATCTTCCGAGTTGTGATCTGAGTATGGTACATCTGTATCCTTCCCATCAAGGGACGGCGGACTGATAGGGTCATATTGATGATGCTTTGATGAAGGCATATTGTGTTGTGCGCTTTAGCTTTTGCAAACGATAAACGAAAGGAACCTGCAGATGACAAGAGAACTTGGAAGTTTTGGGGGGGCAACCCTAAGAGTCGGTAAACGACGCTGCACTCCGGTGATGGCAGGGAAACCCCAGAAGCCAAGGGACCTTTTCTTGAGCTGATCTGAGACAGGTACTGCGGTGCGAGCGCACAAAATCAGCTGAATGCATGATGCCGCTATTCGTGTTGGCGTGGTCACTTGATGTGCGAGCCTTCGGGTTTATAACTTCTTGGCAGCCGCCCAACCACGGGAAGCGTGCCGAACACGGATTCTGTTATATTTGGGTGCATAAAAAAACAAAAAGGACCCTTGGCAAACCGTATCTCATAAGGTTGTGGTTAGGATTACACAAGACAATATGGAAAATGCGTGGATTAGAGAAGTTAAATTTTGGTAACACGCATGGTCAAATCATGTTTTCTTTAATTTACTTTTCACAGAGTGTAGCTCGAGACGCAAATTGAATTACATCGGCGTATTTAAACATGCTGTTTTGTGCAATTTCATTCAGTAAATGGATGGCAAGTTGTATAATTAGCCTTTATTCCCGAAGGCTAGCAACCATACCTCAGGTTTTCCTAATATTAATAAAACATACGATTATAGTGAGCAGTATTCAAGTGAGCGTGCCCCGCATCAAAATGTTAACAGTTCAGCCCGTCACTCGCAGTCATCCCGCCGTTTTCACATTATTGAATCTGCACCTAAACGGTCCAGGGACGCTCAGTGGTGGGGTGCCTGTGCAAAGCTTGATCCTCGTCAGAACTAGCTGGAAGCTACCGGAGGGGGGTCCAGTCGCATTTCAACATTTGGCGGAAGGAGGAGGCTGAATCTCGTGGCGAGATCAGATTCGATAAGTACTTTTCAATTTCTGCTGTCATAAGAATGGAGTGCCCCCTATCCTGAGTGGTATGGTTTTCAGGGCTGAGTTTTCGGTCCCGCATTGCGATCCTGCGGGGACGCCACCGAAAATCCCTGTTCGGCGAAACGCGGGGAACGACTGGATGAGATTATACCGCCTGCGCGGGAGCTGTAAGGGGCGCAGACGGTTGGACCTGATCTTTCCGGATCTGGCCGTGAGCCTAAAGACTGGGCATTGCCAAGCGTTCGGCCCCTTGTCTTTGCAGGCTCCAAAAGAAGCCCTTCCTGCAGGAAATCTTCTGACCAAACAGACACATCGCATTAGTTACTTCTGAGCTTGCACTGGCCAATGACTTTCTCGGCATCGGGAGCACGTCTGTTGTTCCGATTAAGTTTTCCAATGGCGCCATACACGTGTTACACAGGAATACCCGACTCTCTCCCCGGCAAAGCAGATCTCTGACTGGTCAGCACGGGAAGCAACTTTTCAATAGTCTGAAAAGCAGTCGTAACTCCGAAGCTGAATTGGGAGCATGGGAGAACTCACGAGTACGACAATGCGTCGGTTGACTATGCGACATCTTCTAAGCTATGGCCATTGGCTCGTCACGCAGTGACCGAGTTCGAAAACCACAGGAAAGACCAAGCGGGAGGGGAAACCTCCTCAGAGGCGTGAACAAACAATCACTTCTGGCATTTTCAAACGAGAATGGTGGAAGCTAGGCAATGAACGGGATATACCGTGATTTGCGGATGGTATGAGGGATCAAGTGATGAAGCTCGTGGCTTTCCTGGTGCTTGGCTGCTTCAAGGCTGAGCTGAGGACGTGTATCTCCGGAGCAGCGGGTTGTGACGAAGTTGCTGTATTGTGGAAAAGTTACTTAAAGAGCGTGAAATCCTGCCCTGAAAGTCGTGCTCCACCCTCGTTATTCCATCATCATCTTCCAATCCCGAAGCAGACACTTTCAAAGTCCAAACCCACAGAAAATATCTCGTCAACATGAAGCTCAACTTCTTCCTCATCATTCCCTTCACTGCGGTTCTGGGTGGTGTCTTTGAGCGCAGCGGCAAACCTGGCTGTGACTCTGACAACTGCGCAAGAGCAGTCACTGGTACCCGCCTGGGCCCCGTAACAGCCGCCAGCCATGTCGCCGACTGTGTGAGTTTCCAGCAAGTGACGACTTACTACGGCCTGTAAGTAAAAGATTCTTGCTTTCGGTTGTGCTGCGATTGACTCTTGCTGTAGGGGATCCGTTGCTAGCCCAACTGCCACTCCGACATACGCTACCGCTTGTACCGGCGCAGGAGACAGCTATGGCAGTGCTTGCTCCTGCTGGGGATACCCAGTCCAGACATACACTGTCTATCCTTACTCTGATGATGGTGGATTGGATGATGCCGTTATCATCTAAAGTACATGGAGGGCTGAAAGACTTCTTGTGTTGGGACTTTTGGGGGTTTGGGGACTTGGGGGCATCAGAGGCATCGGACTAGGACATGGGGTTTTGGAAAGCCTTCTACAGGCATGAGTGCTCATGAATAAATACCAGCAATTCTGCTAATATGTCACTTGACGAAAACATAGCTTAATAAAAGATGGATCTATCAACAATCTGCAGCCATGATGACACAAATCCCTGGGCTTTGCGATTCCTGTAACCAATGATGAGATACTTGACAATAGAAAACGCACAATTAACGCGAGAAGTGGCGTAGCCAGAACGGAAGCGGTGGAAGACTTCCAGACCGAGCCTCCGAGACACGGAATTTCCCCAGAAGCAAGCATAGTAGGAATCCGTTCTACGCGAGATGAGACCAATTTCCCGCATGGCAGTCTTCCATATCACCAAGGAATTGCTAAACAAATACTCATATGATGCGAGAGTGCCTTGCGATGAGCTCCAGTGCCGCACTCATTTGAATGCCACCAGTCAAAGCTCTACATGGACTTGAACACGGAGAGGGAGGGACAATAGTTTTTTACAATCTCAAATATCGGAAATGGAAATACTCTTAATATATACAATAAAGCAAGGCAAACGTCGGGGACGAAGAAGTAGTTGGCCAACTTGTGTTGGGGACATTGAGAATTCTGCGCCACTTTTTGTCCACTGTGTGCCTATCGGAAATGTGTGACAAGTGATCTCGTACTCAAACCTCCTAGTCTGACGCTAATCCACAGATAACAGCCGCAATCTCTGCCCTCCTATCCACACCATATTCCGTGCCCGGAACACTTACTCTAACCTATTCGCTGATGTAAAGCTCCTCCCTGGGAAGCTGTCAATTTCCACTTGTACTTCCAAGTATCGCAGTAGTTACCCGCGCTCTTCTCCTTCTGCGAATGGCTCCTTAATGTCATTGGTTTCTGAGTTTTCTTCATCCTCGCTCATGCCATCGTCCCTGATTTGACATTCTTCACAAGGACATTCCTCATCCAGGGTGTGAACACCGCCTTCTGGCTCCACGATCTCCTCATCTGTCGGGTCTTGAACATCTTCCTCCTACTTCTCGCTGAATTCATCTGAATCACAGTTATCTTCAACTCTGAGAAGTTCATCCCATCTATGCTGGGGGCGCCCCTTTGGTTTGGACGAATCTCTTAGCCAAGGTTCCGGATTGGGCTGCTTCAAATTCCCTCTATAAGCTCCTCACAAGCGGACTTGGACCTTCGGGTGCTGCAGCCTTGCTGACCTCTCACCACGTTAACGTCTCTAGTCCATTCCAAGGGTTTCAGTGACCTCGTAGACCCCACCCTGAATTCGAAAAGGCAAGAATCGTAGCAGCAGTCTCCTGGCATGCTTGCAAAACTTTTTAACTCTCCCTCAGCGTTTGTCTCGGGAAATTCTACAGGTCCTGTATGGGACGATTTGGACGTGGCAAAAGAAGATTACGAGGAACTCTATCTTGAATGAGTAGCTGTGTTTTCGCTCGGGAAAATGTAGACACAGCCAGAACAGTATAGAAACAGTCTACGTTATTCCAGAAACCTGAGGAAGATGCTGGGGTTGTGTATGTGGGCCGTTGAGGGATGTCAAGTCGAGCCAAAGAGACAGAAGGCGCGACTTGAGGCACAATTTGAGGAGTGGACAAAATACTCCTGCTTTCCATGAGCGGAACACCTAGGAACAATTTTCTTCTTGGCTGGTCTCTTCTGCCATTTAGACATAGCAAATAAAAAGCTTGCCCAATAAGAAAGTCTCAAACGAGCATGGAATCCCTTCTTGGTGTTTACTTACTATACTTCAAGACAACCGAACTGGTTGGTCTCACCGTCACTGATAGACACCCAAAAAGCTCAAGAGTTTGAAACAACAAAAAGACTGATGACTATACAGATAGAAACGAACTTGTTCCGCGAATATTGAATTTTGTTAGACTGATGTAAAGCGGATTTGAATCTAAATATAGGAAGCGTTTAAATGTTAAGGTGTTCGGCACTCAAAATAGGAATAGGAAAGTATTTATCCCCTAAAAGCTACAAGTATTTATTATTTTCGCTGCTGCACGGTGCTGCTGCTCGTTGAAAGTGTGGCCAATCAATCGGTCTCCTGGTGGGCTAAAGAGGCACTGTAGCACTGAATTGTCAGTGTCCCAAGCCAAGCTGGATCATTTTGGCTACCGTTACAGTGCTGGTGTTCATCTATTGTGAACGTTCGACTCGTTCTCCTTCCGAGTTCAAAATGTGCACTTCAGGCAGGTCGTCGTCAGCCCAATGCAAAGCTCCCTTCAATAATGCATGTACCTCCTCTCTTATGTTCAACGCAGCATCAATAAATCGCTCAGCACTGTTCTCCTCGAAACGATAGTAGAGACCAGTATCCCAAACCAAGCCCAAAACACCGACACCCTCGAACTTCGACAAGAACATCAAGTCCATGCGGGCAAAGAACTTGCTTATCGCTTCGAAGACTGGTCGAGCATGTGTTCCACGTATGGTGTCGACGTCAAAAATGGTCTGGATTGGTATAGCAAGTTTCGGGGTGATGATTTTTTTGGCAATCAATGCCCAATCCAATTAAGGAGTAGGTGATCTCGTTGAAATTGGCTTCAGGGCAAGTGCGTTAGTACTGAATGTTCCTGGAGACTGAGAGCGAGCCAGCAGCTTACTGAAATGGATGATATCATCCTTTGCAAAGCGAATCAAGCCCTCCCTCTTGGCGATAAGTGTGTACGGACTGCGCGTCAAGAACACAGCTCGCGACTCCGTGCAAGAACGAGACAAAGCGAGGTCTTTTAAGGTGTGCTCGTCGGAGTTTCGCTCAAGGGTGAATTCGATATAAGCTTTGGGGTTTGGCTCGGGCTTGCTCTTGGATTCCTTTGCAGAGGAGCTCCTGCGCCGACCCGACATGATGATGGTTCCATAAACCTTCAGCACTCGGTAGCCTCGAGAACCAGAAGGAAGAGCATCTTTGAAAATCTTCTGCCGAAGCTCCGGAGGAAGGGTAGGGAAGACCGTGAACTCGGTGAGTGGCCGATTCAAGGCAGTCGGGTCGATAGCTTGCTCGTGAGTATTCATAGTAGTACTGTTCGTCCTGTCGTCCGTCATGTTTGTCGACGTTGTTCAAGAAACTGTTGCGTTTTCTCCGCGTGAGTAGTGGAGGATTTGGAAGGTGACAAACGGAATCGGGAAGGAGCCCGCCGGAAGTGCTCTAGTTTCGTGGAATTCCAAGGAGATTTGTGTTGTTTGCTTATGGTCGGGGAAGTGATGGAGAGTTGGAAGACGTCAAGTTGAGAGGTTGGTAGTCGCTTTGCCGAGTTGAGCGTAAAGGTGCGAAGAGATTCACTCGGGAGTTGGATAAAGTTGAAGGTGAGCAGGAGCACTGCTTCGTCCTTGCCGTCATGCGACCAAAAATCGAAAACAAACGCTGGCTTACCTACTCTCGGTCTTCAACACCACTCTTCGTCCCTCCTACCCTTCAAAAAACACAATGCGCCGGACCCCCACTGGTATAATGAATCCTCCTGAGCAAGCTATGGACTCACCGACTTCCCGTAGCTCTCTACTCACCGACTTCCCCCTCTTTCCCAAACTACCTCTCGAACTCCGCCTCAAAGTTTGGAAACACGCCCTACCAATTGGACCCCACGATCTCCGCATGATAAAAGTAACCGTCAGTACAATAGTAACTACCTCCACTACTACAACCAGCATACAACGCAAAGGATCGGAACAGCCCCCGAAATCAAAAATTAAGGAGACGAAGGCCTCATCCTCCCTCACCTTCTGCCTGCTGGAGCATAAGCATAATGACTATCTGAGGGATTTGGGGATGTTGAGAGCTTGCTCTGAGTACGTATATCCTGGATGTTCCACGAATCCAAGTACAATCAATTTCTAACAACGTCCAGGTCACGCAACATCTATCTGAAGCACTTCACGCAAAGCTTGAGATCTGGGGAGGAAGGATTGATTCGATTCGCAGGGGAAGATATTGTGTATATTTGTAAGGGTAGCTATAGTAGACAGAGGGGTTTCAGAGGCTAACACGATTCTCAGCTAATATGGACGAGCTTTCCTGCGTTGGCAAATTCCGCAATATCTTGAAGCCTGGGGATGTCTTTGAAGGGATCCCGTGCCAAAAGCTGGCCATCGAAATCTGCTGGTTTAGTCGTTGGCGGCTGCTTTACTGGTTGCCTGTTTCTGCTACTCGAACGCTTTTCCCCACGCACGATGGAGTGGTGCTGGCCATGATAACTCACTGCAAGGAACTCAGGGAGATAGGTGTGGTACTTGATTACCGGAAAGAGAGTCGCGTGCACACGCTAGATGGGAGAGATGACCTTCGTCGCAGGTGGAAGGCTTGCGAGGAACTGCAAGGTCAGAAAATGCCGGAGCTCCGTGTTTGGGACGCGGAAGGCAACAAGGTTGAACGTCTTGACCGCAAGTAGTTCTGGGCAGCAATAATAGCCTCCTTTCCGGCTCTTGACTGTCAAGTCTCACTTCAATCACCCTGAATTCTCAATGTCCAAGGCCAAGATGGAACATTCTAGCAAGACTCCCAGCAAATATGCCCATCCCTGCGGCAACACCAAGGGTTCCTTCCATCACCGATAGTCTCAGACATCCCGCTGTGTAATATTCGTCCTTCTCAAAGCCAGCCAAATGTAGGGACTCGGCTTGGGACATTGAAAAGGAGTGCTGTTTTTCTCGTCCAGCGCAAGACGGGATATGTGGCCGTCCTCTCGACCAAGCACAGGTAGAGCTAACATTGGTGATAGTTCAGCAACCCTCGACGCCGCGGAACAAGACCCATGCCTTCGAGCCGGAAGCTGAGCCCTATGATCGCTAAAGCTATCCCCTACTATCAATTAGCGCAATACCCTTGTATTTTCCATGGTAGTAATTAGCTTTGTGCATCTGTTCGACCCTAAGATACTTATTTTTCTAAAAGAACAGTACCCCTCTCTTCTATCGCCCTCCTCTATCCCCGACCTCCCCCCATTGGCCCACCAGGCATGCTCCTAGCATATGCTCGACATATACTAACCCTAACCCGCAGGGCCTTTACGTTCTAATATATCCCAATACGGGGGGCTCTCACATAAGCCCTAACCCCTAATCCTAAGCCCCCTCGCAAGTTCGGAACTACTTCTAATCCTTACCTTCCTAGGCCGTGCATATGCAGAGCATAAGGAGAGCATATACTGAACCATAGTAGGGATCAGCTAACCTCCCCCACGCCTTCAATTCTCTTAGCATAGCACAAGTCAGCAAGCTTAGAAACCAAATTAAGAGGCAAACCCTAGATCACCCATTCATATATACGTGGCCCAAATGCTCTGCTATTTCCAAACCCATACCTACAGTACATCCAAATACCTCCCTCCGAGAACCGAATGCCATGATGTTTCACTTCCCAGAAGTGGAGACAGCAAAAAACCCAAAAAAAATCCGAACGCCGATGCTATGCCAGATGTTCTCCCTTCATGCACAAGAATTGCTTCCTTTCCCTTCAATTTACAACCTACCCAAAGCGCCTAAACCCCTCCACCCCAAGCGTCGGAACCTCAACCCACTTGAGTCCCGGGACTCCCTCCGCCCTCCTCCTCTCTACAAAGTTGTTACACTCCCCGACCACCAATCCCCACTCCGCCAACGCCCTCCCCGCATACTTTGCCCTTTTCCCCCTCTCCACGCCCCCATATCCCAGCTTCGGATCCCTGGCCCTAATCTCCTTCCCAACCCCGGGCACCGTGGCATTAATCCACGACTGTGCCGGGGCCGGGAGACGCGGCGGACAGAGCCGGCGTTCTGGAGAGGAGGGGAGGCCGCGTGAGTGCTCGCCACTGCCACTTCCACTTCCACTTCCGGCGCTTGACGACATCTTTGACGGTCTCTCGAAGTGCTGCGCCCATTCGAGGGAGAATTTGAAGCTGAAGGCGCGGTGTGTGGATGTTGTGGGCGGCGTCTCCGAGTCGGTGGATGAGGTTTTGGCGTGTAGTGGGGGTCGGGAGCGTGCGAGTGCTGTCTCGCGACGAGCTTCTTCAAGGGTTTTGGTGGGGCTGGTTGTGCGTGGTGGCGAGGTGGTTGGTGATTCGGGGGAGAAGGTTGAGGGTAGGATTTTGCCCATGAATGTCCAGCGTTTCTTGTTTGGTGTGCTGGACGGGGAGGGCGTGTCTGAAGTTAGTTTCGGGATGTTGATGTCTGCTGTTGTGCCGAGTTTGAGTGAAGAGTGCCGTTTGTAGGCTGTTGGTTGTGTGGTTCCTGGGGTTTGGGCGGGGGTGACGATACCGTCGAAGCCGAGGTAGAGATTCGCGGTGGGTATTTGATTATCATTACGTATGATGAGTAGACGACGGCCTGGTGCTGGATAGCAAGGTGCAGTCGAGGGAGGGAGAACTCGGTTTCTCTCCGCTGATTGTTTCAGGTATTGGTAGTGTGCCCAGTTCGACTTTACTCGTGCAGAGATTGTACAGAAGATTTTGCTGAAACAATTAGTCGAGGCACGTTAGAAATATCAGAGAACTCACGTGTCAAGCTCACTGGAATCTCCGTCATCTCGACAGAGACGCCAACACAATAGTCGCATGTAATATGCTCTGACCATTGGACACCAGTGATTGAAAAACTTGTCAAATGTATCTTCTGTCAACAGCCACTCCAGGCACATGACCTCCTTTCTGCACTCGTTGTTGGTGATCACATTCCATGCTCCATAAATGAAAGCAAATACGCGAATCTCGGACATGCTGTTCTCGCTCTCAAGCATCTTCTTGCACACATCCAGCCAGAAATACCAATCGATGAAATCTGATTCGAGAGCATGAGCGTGGTGGAAGCGAACGAAGATCGTCAAGGCCTCCTCCATAAAATCACAGAGTACAAAGCATGCATTGTGATCGAACAAAGAGGTTTTTCGTGCTACAGCTTGCATCGTTTTACTGAACGTTTCGGCAAAGGTCATCCGGGCTGAATGGAAATCCGAAGGCCGTTCCGATATAAAGTCCCGCAGCAACATGATCAGTCGATTCTCGGCCATCAGCCTCGCAGAATTGTTCGAGGGCAATGGCAGAGCTGCTGCATTTGCATCAGCTCCTGCCAGAATATCGTCAAATGTGTTCGGTAAGGGATCCGCTGTGGGTTGTCGGTGGATTGTGGAATCCAGAGCGGTCAGAACTTGTGCTTGCACAAGTATAAATCCTGCTGCACGTCAGCCACGGCTCTCACGTCATGTATGTAGGCTTACCTGGCGAGCGAGCTTTCTCAGTAAGCGAAAGCTCTGAAGGCAAGAACTCCTCCGCTAGAATGTAGTAATGCTTCACAAACACGAAGAACAGATCGCTGTCCCGTCCACTCCATCTCGAGACCCAAGGACCATACCAAGGTATTTTGGCAGCCAGAATCGGCAGATAAGCCTCCTGACGAAGCAGATTCGTTATAGATGTCACCGAAGTCCAACCCAGAGAATGTATATGTGCTGGAAAAGGGGCCAAGACCTCATCCAAATCGAGCTTGTTAGCCCGCCTGGGCATTCCAAGTTCATCTGCTACCCTTCGAAGTATGTCCGCCGGCAATTTCCATATTCTGACCAATACGTCTGCTACTCCTGGTACGAAAAAGAAGGCATATGCGGCTGCTTTACCACAGAAAGTCACCAGACTTGCAGGTGTATGTCTTAGTGACATCTTATCCACCACAAAGTTCATTTGGGAGAGTAGATTCTGTATGAACAAGTTCCTCGCATTATGGTAGACGGATTCGGTCAAGAATTGGGAGGCTGAGGAGTTCAGCGAGGCAGAGGACTTTTGGCTTGGCGCGCGGCGTTCAGGGGACTGATTCCGGTAGTTTGCAGATCGCTCCGATAGAGGGGCAAAATTCGAAGGTGCCATCCGCCATTCAGGTCTTGTCATGATTGCATAGCATGCTTCTAACAATATTGGGCGATCCACCCCACTAACTGTTTGATTCTGTCGTCCGTCAAGAACCTCCAGAAGCCCATTCCACCACTTGCTAAATATAGTTATCCGTCGATCGAGGTCTTCGGGGCGGAGGTGCTTATTCGAGGGATGTGAAGCGTGGTTTCGAAGAAATGGTAATAGCGATGATCTGACTACATTCGTCTTCAACGACCAACTCTTGGCTTGAAATTTCGAAAAGTCGTTTTCCAGAGATCGAAAAGCCGACCATAATTCGTCTCGCCGCCGAGGTATCTCGGGAGCTTGACCTTGGACATTTTCGTAGGATGAGATTTTTGGCAGAGCCGGTACTTTCTCCTGGGACGTTCTCGGCGTCGATCTATTATCCAAAGAACTTCTGGGCAGGCTACTCGACGAGGAGTTATTGGAATTGAAAGTTGTAAAATTCATGAGCACGCTCGTAGGTCTCTGTTTTAACTTTCGAGTGGTCGTAGGAGCTCGCAGAAGCCCTTTTGGAGGGCTGTCGGAGGATTTGGGAGGAGGGGGATTGTCGAACTTCGTGGGAGGGACGACAGGCCGGCTGGACGATGTTATTTGGCTGCCCGTCATCTTCGAAGAGGAGCCCGCATGCTGTCCATCATCGTCTGTCTGTTGATCTTTGATTCGATTCGGAGATGGAGATCTTGAAGAGGTAATCCATGACCTCCGGGCAAATGTTGCAAACGACTCTGACACGGTCTTTGTTTTGTTATCCCGAACAGCCTTGGAAATTTGAGGTACTGGAGGGGCGCCGCTTGGTGTTGTATTTCCGGACTCAGCAGAGTCCTGCCGCTCCGGGGAGCCCCCCTTCACTCTCGAGATCCACGACTTTGGGCGGTTGACCAGGGATTTCCTCCTTCCCACTCGTTCGAGCTTCGGTCTCTCCTCCTTCGACAGCCCGTTTCCGGTCTTGCCATCCTGAACCCCCTTCGTCTGCGGCGGTGTTGAGGGCCTCGCTGGGAGACCCAAAGACACCCTTTGAGGCTCTTTGTCCGGCCTGGAGGGGGCCTGGAGTATTTGCAGGTTGCTGAAACTTGCGGACCTGGGGAGCTCCTCATCCTGCTGTTCCGTCACTCGTATGTAGTCGAGATTGGCCAGGTCGGGGATGTTCGAGGAGGAGTGCGAGCGAGGGAACGAGGCATTGTCGTTGAACATCGAGGACATGGTCAACATTTGACCATGCATGGGGCAGCTTCGGCTGCAGCGGAGCTATCTAAGCACACATTGCAGGTGTAATCGAGGCGCAGATGAGCAGACAAACGGGTCGTCCCTGGCCGGCAGAACAGTATGAGGCTGAACGAATGGATGTGAAGCTTCCCAATGGGGTTGGAGAAGGCAGGCTGCTCGAGGTCAGGAAGGAGGCTCGTTTGCTCGGGATGTGGACGGAGATTCCCTGCGATTAGCAGATAAGCGCACTTTTTAAATTGTCGCAGATAGATGATCCCGAGTGACACAATAATGACAATGATTTGGGTGCAATGACTATGCAAACGAGTGTGGGGCGACCATAGGATTCACGACAATACAGTACCGGTAGTGCAATACGAAGACGAGGCCAAAAATACGACGAGCGAAGGAAGCGCCACGCAATTGCTGCCCGCTCAGCACTAGTAGCGGCAGTGACATGATGGCGCTGCGCAAGCGTTGGGGGCTACGTACAGTACTACCAATAAGTACTGATAAGTATGTTCTTGGGCCCACCGTTCGCCCACAACACCAAGACCAAGGCCAAGACCAACAAATCCCATCCCGCCCCATCTTTGCGTGCGGCATTCGCAGGTATTATTTTTAACCCTGTCCGATGCCCTGCCGATGAATTCCCCAATTCCCTATCAAGCCCCTGCATCCGTGCAAGTACCAAGTAGATCACCAAGTACCGCCGCCACCGCGCGGATCTCTCACAGCATGCCCCCGAATGCCGCAGCGGAAGACAGTGCTCGAACTGCAAATCTTGATGCTGATCTGACTGATCTGGCGGATCCGATACTCTGGCATGTGGATCGGAGAATTTGGTTTAGACCTGCTCACCATTAAAAGATTCAAATAAGAAGTTCTGCCCGCCTTCTAAAATGCTAAAACGTTATCAAAGTCTCAACTGAGGTCCACGCCTTGTCAAACTTCGGTGAGGTCTGGCACTGCCCCTCTCACCGCCACCGCCGCTCCTCTTCTCGATGTCCTTACCCGCAGCGACTCCACCACGAAAACGAAAACAGAGAAAAAGATAGGGATTCAATATTGCGCTGCAGCCATGCCCAACCAGCATCTCAACCCTTCGGCCTATACACCTCATTCATGCCGCCCTGATGCCCACCACTTCATCTTGTTTTGGGTGCAGTCACGGGATTCACGATGTGGTGTCGCTCAGCTCGGTGGGTATGTCATCTCTGCAGCCTGAATGGCTCTTTTTTTGCTCTTCTCATGCAGAATTCGCTGTCCGTCGCTACTTCAAGACAATCCGGGTGCTGTTGCAAGACCGAGAGAAATGTTCATATTTGAGCCTTTTATAAGGCAGTGACGTTTGCTCATTTATTCAGGTTGCGGAGCATCCAAGGTTTGAGAGTGAGATTTCCAACGGAAACCGGGCACAGAGTTCCGACTTCCGAAAAGATCCTTGGATATGGAGAAAATGTAGGAATTCCCCAACGGATCTATATTGGCTCGACGTCGTGAATCGAAGCCGAGTTGCTATCATGAGACTTCCAGACGGTGAGCCACCCCCTATTAATCTCCCTAGGTCGGGTACCCAATCGGGATATGTCACGTGAGGATATCTCGAGCTCAACGGCTGACTTACGTCTCATGCGCCTCATATTGGGGATGATATATTTGCTTGGTAGTTTGAAAAGCTAGTCTCCCTTTCAGTAGGGCCGAGCAAGGTCAGCTGAGCCTCCTCATTCGTTTCGCTCTTTTCGATGACGGCTGGACGGATTGAAGTTTTGCCGTCTCCCCCAAGAGCAGTCCTTTGTGTTTGGCTTTGAGAGTACGAGAGAATTTGACTTTCCTATTGCGTATGTGAATCATGTGCTATGCATACCATCAGATTCTACCTCTTGGGTTCGCGTCTAAACGTTGGAGAAGTGGTTTGACTGCCTCAGTTGCCAGGAGAAAGAAGGTCCCAAGTAGGACAATCGCGGCACTTCAGCAGAACCAACAAGGGCATGTATTGAAACAAGTACATCTTTGAATCAGAAACTTATTTGGTTAATTGGTTACCCCTCGCGTTGTGCTGTACAAATATCACGGTACGTCCGTATGGGGCTGGTGGAATGGTGGACGGCTGAATGAATCCCGATCTAGATGAGAAACCAGCCTTCACGTGTGTGTGGCTCGCCAATTCAAAGATCGTCGACCAAGCGCAGAGCCGCCGCTCAGATCGTCAGGTACTTGAAAGTTTGAGACCTCGTGAAAATGGACTGCCGAAATATGATGAGGGCATTCGGGTGTGCCAGGGGAGAAGAGGGTAGAAGATATTCCTCGCTAAGGAAAGGGGAGGCTCGCTTACATTTTCAGGGGCCTCAGGACGTTGCTCGCTAATTTCAGCACATCGGTTCCCTAGCTCCTCCGACTACATTGCTGGCCCTTCACTGCCTGTTGGACCCTCTCATGACTCCCAGTTCTATTTGGCCCTTGATCAGAGGTCCGAGTATTATGCATAAAGCAAGATCTAAGCAAAGTGATCCCCAAGTCGCTTATCGGGCCTTTAAGGTTTCGGTAGAGCAAAAGATTTGACTTCTGCATGGAAGATTCTCCACGAATGCGGGTAGATGCGGGTATCCCCGCGTTCAGTCTTATTCCGCATCTTATGTAGAAGACTTACAAGCCCTATCTCTTCACACGGGCCATACTATGCAGACCAACGGATTCTCTTCGGCTGCTCCCAGAAGCTAAAACGGTTGTCATATCACGAAGTCAAAAGACTTGGTCAAGTAAGTCTGACAAAAGCAAGAGCGAGAAGAGCTGCTAACAAAGTTCACCTTGCAAGCCCCTTTGTCCCGAGAATCGGGTAGCCTTCAGCCACGAATAGCTCAGACCTGAGATAGGGAGCAGTGATCGGCCTTACACGTCTTCTGATCTTTAAGTGGCGATTAAAAAAGCATGGAGAACCATTAATTATTCTTGAACAATATGTTGAAGGACCGAGGTTGGACAGTGGAGCATGAAAAATGTCATTTTAACCCTCCCACATTCCACAACGTCATGAGCTCTATTCTTGGCGTTGTCTACAAAGGACCGAATCTCGGGGTCTGTCAAAGGTGATCGGGATGCCGCCCTGACCAGGCGACGCAGGAATAAGATGACAGGGGCAGCAGAACCCGAAACTTTGTGGCTGCACGAGGATCTGTTAAATGTGTTAAAAGTGCGTGATGTTTAGAATCTACCTGCTAGGCAATCGGGGGAAGGCTTGGTATGACTACCTCTATCTGCCCCCTGTTTTTCTCACTCCGCATATTGGCAAACTCACATTCAGTCTTCTCTCACACATCAGCTTTATCTTCTATCCCCATTCTAGATGTCTAGACACTGGATTCAAAGTCAATATGCAGAGAAAGGAAGGGTATGAGCTGCTTCTCGGTCTTTTTTGAAGTCGTGTGCGGGATCGAGCCACCCCGAAGCAAGAACCCTTGTAGCTACACTCGGTCTCCACATCTTGGGGAAAAGATTTCCCCAGAATAACCTTCAACAACAACATTTCGGTGTTACCACGGAGCCGTCAGTGTCACGCCGATGCACTGAGCGGCTGGTGCCGTCTTTGGTCTTCAGGATCAACGGTGCCTTACTGCCAAGCCCACCAAGGACTTTAGGACCGCCTCGGGACCACATCGAAGACTGCCTCACGCATATTAACAATAAAGCAGAGACGGTACGAAGGTCACGGCATAAAGTGATGGGACTACAGGGCATTTTGACTCGCCTGAGGCGCTCAGTGGACTACGGCGTGCAAATTGAGGGATTAAGCCCAATAATGTCTGGAATTTTGGATACGTGACCCGCTGTAACGTGATCAAAGTGCGGGGAAGCGCGGGGCACCTCCCGCTATTGCCCAATCGGCAACTCTCGGGCCGGGGCTTCAGAAGTCAAAAACAGGCCACTCGAAGCTTAGCTCTGCATTCGTTATGAGAAGGTAAGACCTTGCTTGGAGTGCTCATCATGACTTTCCTGCTGATCTCTAATATACGAATACGCATTTCATGCCAGAAGAGGCGTGGCGGCGCGCGGAGGGCGACGCCAAGGCTCGTAAAGAACGTGTCCCATTTCCACAGTCACGTGTGGTTTCAGGTTCCTCTGAAAACTCTCTCATTCGTTAGAAAATCTACGGTAACGTGACCGTCCAGGCCCTGCAACCCCATCAAAAAAATTATCGACCATCTCAAATTTCGATTAAAATCGTTCCCAAGTATGCATAACGGGCAGATTTCATGGTAGACGCTCTACAAGACCCCAGATACTCGCGTTGGCGGCAAGAATGTGTTGGGCCAGTTGGTGCCGCAATCTGTACGGAGTTGACGATCTGCCCCGCCTTACGTGGCCCCAATGCGTCTAGCCCCAGTCTGCCTTGCGCAGAATTCAGCCTTGTGGAGGCTGAGTGCAGAAGACATCCTGCGATGCCAGCAAGGCAACCCTCTTTTATTCTTTCTCAACATATGTCTTCTCAGCCTACTTTCTCTTGTGTTTAGCATCACCATGAGCTTTGGCTTTAGCGTTGGCGACTTCGTCGCTGTCCTTCAGCTTGCAAACGACGTCCGGAAGCAGTTCGTTGATGCTCCGAGCCAATTCAAGGCAATCTCCGAAGAGTGAGTGAGCTTTTTTATAGTACCCGATGAACATGTGCTTATCTGTTCTAATAGGGTCAAGAGTCTTTCAATTGTGCTTCAAGATATCGACGACATTTTACCTGCACGTGACCTGACAAGCCACCAGCAAACGGAGCTAGGCAATATCGTCAAGCATTGCGAGAGTGTACTTGAAGAGCTCAATAAAATAGTGATCAACTTCAAAGAACTAGATCCTATCGCAAAAAGCTTAGATAAAAAGCCTCGAAGAGTATGGAAAAGATTTAAATGGGATCAAAATGACATTAATGAGTTGCGAACCCGGATTTCATCGAATATTCTGCTATTGAATACGTTCTTAGGACAAGTAAGCAGGTATATTAAAACTGGAATTCTTCTTTAAATAAGCCCATTAAGCTAAATTTGTCTAGTCAAGCCGTATTCGCAATCAGAGACAGTATAGAGCGGTTGCACGAGCGCCAGGATACCCAAGAACGCCAGCAAGAAACTCGAGAGCAACAACAAGAGGATCAGATCATTCTCAATTGGCTCACTCCTGTTGACTTTGTCTCTCAGCAAAATGACTTTATTGCTCGGCGACAAGAAAGAACCGGCACATGGCTCCTTGACTCTACAGAGTACCAGTCTTGGCGACAGGCAAAGAAACAGACGTTGTTTTGTCCAGGAATTCCCGGGGCTGGAAAGACAATTATTACATCAATTGTCGTAGAAGAGCTTACTACTCGCTTCCGCAATGACAACAGCGTTGGAATTGCGTATATCTATTGTAACTTCCGACGTCAAGACGAGCAGAAGATTAATGACTTGCTTGCGAGCTTGCTAAAGCAGCTAGCTGAGGGTCAGCCGTGTCTACCAGTCACGGTGAAAGAGCTCTATGACAGACACAAGAAGAACCGGACACGACCTTCACTGGATGAGATTTTGAAGACTTTAAATTCAGTTATTACTACTTATTCAAGGGTTTACATTGTTGTTGACGCATTAGACGAATGCCAATGCTGGTCGACATTCTTATCGGATATATTTAGCCTTCAAGCTAAGACTGGAGTAAAACTCTTTACGACCTCGCGGCCAATCCCAGATATTGAGGAGATGTTTAAGGAATGCCTTTCACTTGAAATCCTTGCTAGTGACGAAGATATAGGGAAATATTTGAACGGTCACATGTCACAGCTCCCAACATTTGTCTTGAGAAAACCAGAGCTACAAGAGGAAATCGTGACGGAAATCGTACACGCCGTTGAGGGAATGTAGGTATCTTGCTGAATCTAAAGACGCGATTCACTTACTAACTAAGGCCAAGGTTTCTCTTAGCACAGCTCTACCTGGGCTCGCTTGAGGATAAAACAACAGTAAAGGCTATGAAGACTGCATTAATGCAGTTCCAGAAGAACTCTCAAGAGACTAGCCAGAATAAGAAGCTCGAAGTCCTATCTTTAGCATACGAAGAAGCAATGGAGAGAATAAATAGGCAGCAGGCAGGCTTTCAGCTGCTAGCCAAGAATGTGCTATCATGGATCACCTGCGCAAAGAGGCCGCTCACTACTTCAGAACTTCAGCACGCGCTTGCTGTAGAAATTGGCGAGTCCCAACTTGATAAAGACAACCTTCCAGAGGTCGAAAATATGGTCTCTGTTTGTGCAGGCTTAGTCACAATCGATGACGAAAGTAAGATTATTCGATTAGTCCATTATACAACGCAGCAATACTTTGAGCACACGCGAAGCCAATGGTTCCCCGATTCGCTAACTAATATCACGACAATTTGCGTTACACACCTTTTATTTAAGGAGTTTGAAAGTGGAATTTGCCAGAACGACAAGGAGTTCGAGGAACGACTGCGGTTATATCCATTTTATAAATATGCGGCTCAAAATTGGGGAAAACATGCATGTGAAGCTTCCGAGAAATATGCTTGTGAAGCTTCAGAAAAGGTGGTACAGTTGACTATAAATCTTCTTGAGGATGAACAAAAAGCCTTGGCCTCTACCCAGGCGATGGTAGCTCTAGGACCCTTTCCTGACTATAGTCAACAACGAGTGCCAGTGCAAATGACAGGAGTACACCTTGCGGTTTTCTTCGAATTTAACGAAGCAATTTTAGCCTTACTCGGGAAGGGACATCATCCAGATTGCAAAGACAGTTCTGGTCAGACGCCGCTATCGTGGGCTGCAGAGAACGGGCACGAGCTGGTGGCGAGGCTGCTGCTTGAGAAAGGGGCCGAGCTCGAGTCTAAAGATAAAGATAATCAAACGCCGCTATTATGGGCTATAAGGAACGAGCACGAGAAAATGGTAAGACTGCTGCTTGAGAAGGGTGCTAAGCTCGAGTCTAAAGATAAAATGTTATTGTTGGCTGCAAGGAGGGGTCATGAGGCGGTAGTGGGGCTGCTGTTTGAAAAGGGCGCTAAGCTTGAGTCGAAAGATATTAATGGTCAGACACCGCTATCATGGGCTGCAAGGAACGGACGCGAGGCCGTCGTCAAGCTACTGCTGGCTACAGAGAAGGTCGACGTTGACCCGCAGGATAATAACGGTCGGACGCCGATGTCGTATTCTGCTTCGGGGGGGCACAAGGGTGTCGTCAAGCTGCTACTTGAGAAGGGCGCTGATGTCGAGTCGAAGGATGCAAAGTATAGACAGACGCCGTTAGCGTACGCTGCTAAGAACGGGCACGAGGCCGTCGTCGAGCTTCTGCTCGCTGCGGGTCAGGTCGAAGTTGATTCGAAGGATAATAGTAGTCGGACGCCGCTATCGTATGCTGCTTCGAGGGGACACGAGGCCGTCGTCAAGCTGCTACTCGAGAAGGGGGCTGATATCGAGTCGAAGGATAAACACAGCCAGACGCCACTTTCACAAGCCACTTCGAGCGGGCACAATGGTATTATTCGGATGCTACTCGAGTATAAGAGTTGATTATTGTGACGGATTAAGACCCGTGGAGAGACTAGGTGCCTGAGAGCTCTAGGCACCTGCGTTAATCTGACCACAGCTCTGTGCGGAAGACAAATAACCGTACGGAGCCCAGACTTAGCTTCTCTCCTTAGATTATTCTTCTTGTATTTAGGGAAATCATTTACTTGAGCATAGTACTGCCAACCCGTGACAATTATTTACTTTTATGTTATAGATATTGAGAGGTCAAAAGCATATATATTAAGTGTACTATATAGCAGGAGGGCGAAGTACAAAAGTTCTGGTTTTAGACCTATAACGCAACTCTCTACGTGCCGAGCAAATACAATAATTATTAGGCAGGAAAGAGAAGTTGTTGAATGTGCGTTTACTTGCGTTTACCCTTCTATAAAATGTTAATACAATCTATAATACTTATGAGAATTAACTCTAAGAGCCCAGGTTACCTTTCCTAGCTCGTGAAATATTTTTGAGAAGGTATAGCCTTGCTTGGGGTGTTCATTATGAACTTCCTACTGATCTCTAATACACGTATACGTATTTTTATACCAGATACCAGATATATTAAAGAGGCGTGGTGAAGCGCGGAGCGCGACGCCGAGCGACTCGTGAAATACTTTAAGCATCTCACTCACTTCTGCAGCACGTGCCATTGAGATGCACTGCCACGTGACACCCCATTAAAAATTTGACTATCTATCATTGCCATGAGAATTGGCCAAATAAATACTAGGAGATTCTAGTACACCCTGCCTGTCACGTGCTGCGCACAGGCGTATATATAGCTTCTTCACCGCCCTTAGGGCACCATCATTCATACATATATTTAAACAAACACACATTTCCACTTCCACAGCTTGTCCAGGCCGTGACACTGCCTATAAAATTAACCACGATAACCTTTAGCTAACGGTATCGTGGTCATAAACATTATTCGTAGATAGTGCTGGTAGTGGCTTTCGTTTGTCCGATTAGTTATATTCTAGCTCCGTTAAGCGGATCGGATTAAGTATATTCCGGATTGCAAGCGGCAGTGGCTAAAGCGACGGCAGTACACAGGCCCAATAACGAAAGCGTAACCACCAAAATCCGGCCACGGCCATTTCCTCCTCCCGAACGGTGAGAGATGCTCTCGGCCATCACTGCCAAACTGCATGACTCTCACTTAGCACACGAAATTCAACCTCTGCTTTACTTTCACACTGCTCTGCGCCCTGCCCAGAACGCTGCAAGGGCACGGTATGAATCAGGCACGCCAGCAGGAGCGCCTTGCGCGAGTACTTGACTGGCTCTGTCCATCTTAGCCTACCGTGGTGATGGTGTTGTGAAGGGGACGAGTGATACTCTCCCCCCCCCGGTTTTAAAGGTTAGCGTGCGGGTCCGAAAGACTTCCTCTGATTTGCTTTCGAGAAGATTCCAGCTCTCTGATTAGCTGGATCACCCTTGTTTGCCACTGTGGGTCTGCCCTTTAAACCGGGGGGGGGGGATAGTAGCGCAAGAATCTCATGTATTGAAAATACTAAGCTAGAGAGCAAAGAAAGGAGGAATGCCTCGACCTTTAGTAGTGCTGTGCCCATACCTTCTGGCTTAGTTCCCTGTTTCAGACCTGTTTCCTAATTCCCATTCCAGGCAGACCCTACAGTTATGCCAGCCGTCACAGCGTGATTAAAACGATCGACAGCATAATCAACCGCAGTCTTTTTCTTGTTGCTAAAGTGTATCCTTAGGGAGAAATAGTTAAAGAAAGTGACATATTAATAATAACTCCGTAGACTTGCCAAGAAAGAATTTGTGATACCTAAACTATAAATTCGTCTCGTGACAGGGTGCGTCTCTCGACGCAGGGACAGACGTTATTCGTGATTTAGTCGAATATTCAGTTGTACTACGGGACTTTCGCCTCACAGGGATGTCGGTTAAAGGTAAGAAAATATGGAAATCCCAGATTTCTAGGAGTGCTGGGTAACTCGCCCCAGATGTAAATCGGTCCTCACTGAGAACATGAGAAAGGAGAGCCATAGAAATTCAAGTTCGTATATTTGAACTTTCTTGAACCAGCAGCTGCTTCGGTGTCGGGCTCTTCGGCAGAGCGTCTCATATAGAGAGCTGAAAGCTTCGCAAGCAACTCCTCGTCCATCTCCTGAGAGAGCACTGCCCATGGCGGGTTGGAGCACCAAGCATGCACGCTATCTCTCGATTGCTCACTGCGGTCTACTCCTGCGAAAGCGAAGTTGTGTCAGGTCCGTTATCCCCCCATGCCGCTACTTCCCCTCGCTTCACCCCTCGACCACAAAGTGTCCGCCCATTATTAGTGATGTCACCCCCAAGAAAGGTATCTTGTATATTAAATCTGACTCTGTAATTTATATAATCCGTCATTGCTTGTTCTCGATATACGAACCCGAATCTTAGCGGGCGTCGGAGCCCGACAAGTTTTTTTTAGCCGCTTTGCCCTATATCGCCCTCTTAGTATATTATATGGGGTATATTTGAAGGGCCATACCTATTCCTCCTCTCTTAATAAGGAGGCGCTTATCCGCTAAGTAATGGCTCCCTCGTAATATATCCAAGTCTTTCAAGAACCGGCTCCTATTATTCGATATTTATAAACGAATCCGCAAACTGGCTCGCTTTACGCTCGTATACATTTATAAGTAACTGCATAGTAGAGGCTAGCCTCGATCCATATAATACAAGCGTCTCAAATACTGTCTCGAACCCTGTAAACAAGACAGTATTACGATCGGAATAAAAGTATATTATTTCCTACCCTATAATGCGAGGCCGGTAAACCGATAAGACTACCTGGCAAGATTCTTTAGAAATCCGTAGTGCCACTATAGGATTATTATCCTCGTAAGAAAATTTAATATTAAGAACCTCTGGAGATTTGTTATTATCCTTTCGTCCGGTGAGACATGTCCAGCGCTAGCAAGGGGGCGTTTTCGCACTTGTTTGGCACATTGCTATTGCGCAAAACGAAACCCCTTGTGACGGCGGGATCGAGGCAATGGCCAGGGCTCAAAGATCCAAGAATCTCATGTATTGAAAATACTAAGCTAAAGAGAAGAAGGAGAGAGAGAGAGAAGGAAAGGGGATAAAAGGAGGGAAATACTAGCTAAAACCACTGAAACGCCGGCTAGCTAGGTGAAACCAGTCATGTGACAGCCACCCCCCTTTGGCCCCCAGCCAGCGCCGTCACACCCCTCAAAGAACACAAGTCAACCCCCAAATTTCCGAGATTTTTTATTCGGTATCAATTGACTTATCTGCAAATTGGATGGACATTTGGGAGAACCGGAACGAGAAAAAGGCGTTTGGTTTAGCTAGGAGTTGGAATTATATAAGAAAGTAACGATACGTAATATTTGGCTCAAAACTACTTCGTCGCTCTCAAGTCTCCACTAAAGTACGCCGGGAAGAAGCAGGCTTGGCAAAAATTCCTGAGGCATTGATACCGGTATCGATAGTAGAGGTATTTTTCAGGTATCGCAAGGAATCGATAGTATCGATACCAGAATCGATTCTTACCCCAAAAATTAACTCTTTCTTTTATTATTTAAATTATATAATAATTTTTTATTACATAATTCCTTTAATTTCTAGTCTTTCTATTAAAAGAAATACTTACTATTATTAATTAAAGTTAATAATATCTTAAATTTAAAATAGCCCTCATATTCTGAGAATTAAGCCCCGTATTCGTATTTCTTATCAAGACGCTAAATATATAAGCGAGCCTCACGAAAATCTCAAAAGCTCAAAAGCTCATTTTTACTTAAAATAGCCGCATTGAGATGAGTTTTAGTCTAAAATATAAGATAAGTAGCTAAATAGAAAGCCTAAATTAAGTAGAGTATTTGCGCTACTAAAAATTTTCTTATAAGAAAAGTGGTTCTAAAGTTAATTGCAATCAAAGGGGGGAATTGGGTTCGGGGAATCGATTCCAGAATCGATAGTATCGATACCTGACGATTCTGGCATCGATACCTATCGATACCGGAAATTAAGGAATTTTTGCCAAGCCTGGGAAGAAGTGTCAAAGAGGCAATCTTACAAAGAACCTAAGTCTCAACTAAGGAGATTCTCAGCCATATTTATAACAAAGGAGAATTCCCGATCCTGCATATGCCTTCCAAGTCTGAGTAGTAAGAGATTCAAGCAAATCTTGTTTCAGCGGTGCTATTAGAGAATTTGGGTTGATTCTCCCCACATAGATCGTCACACAATCAAGGAAAGGGGCTTGAGCACAAACTTCTATCAAAAGGCTTATTAGCAAAAGATACATCTAGGGAGCCATCCTCTTACAATGCAGATTCCACAATTGAGGGCGATGCGAGTGGTGTTTGCGGGTATAACTGTGTTACAGAGCGAGAGGGGACAGGACAGTTAATTGGCGTGAAAGGAGATTTGAGTGTGAAGGTTGTGCGAAATTGACGAAGGAGAATGCCATGAGGGGTTTCGGATTTGTTATAAGATGTGTGATCCGAGAGCGTATTTGTACTCAATTTGGTACCACCTCCCCCTCTCTTTAAGCCTCTTGTGTGAAGTCTCCTTTTCATTGAGCGCCATCTTCATCGCTAACCGGTTCGCTCTCTGCTTCAGATGTTTGATCGTATATCAACTCAATCCAGTTTTGAATTTGCCCAATTGCTGAGTGGCAAGGCCCTTTCATGTCCCGAATTTCCTGCATTGCCCGCTTGTAAAGTGCCATGGCATCGGAGTATTGCTCCAACTTTTTGTAGCATGCTCCTAGACGAGGACAGTAGTAGATGCATCTGTCGTAGTTCCATCCCTCTGTTCCGTGAATTTTGGCTATGTTATGTTCATAGAGGGTCGCTGCTGCGCGGTATTGCCCATGCTTCTGGTAGCACTCTGCAATCTGAGCTGTGATCCACCTTAACAAGTCTTGATGTCCCGCCGCCTTCTTCCCAATCTCTTGCAACGCTTTTTCAAGCCAAAAATTTGCCTCCTCGTAAATATTGGACTCCATAATAACATCCCCAAGCTCAGTCATTGCGAAAATGGCGAACAATTCCTCGTCTTGGCCAAACATGCTTGCTTTCGCCAAAATGTCTCTGTACACAACTTCACTTTCTGAGCTCAACCCAAGTCCACGAAGACATCTAGCCAATACCAACTCATTGTGCCGCGTGGTGCAGTGTTCACTTCCTATAAGCTCCTCGGCCAGTTCCACCGACCGTCGTGCAATTGCCACACTTTCTTTGTAGTGTTTTTGCCCCAGTAGTGCTAATGCGAGGTTTCTGAATCCGATACATATTCCTAAGTTAGATGCCTGCTTGCATCGTTCTTGAAGCTGCAGCATCAGGCAGAGAATTCTTATAGATTCATCAAAATTACCCCGAGCTATTAAACTCTCAGCGGCCCAGTTCATGGCTTGCAGCGAGTCCCTATCATAAGGACCAACAGTGGTTAAATTCAACTGTACCAGTTGATGAGAATAGTCCGCCACCTCCTCGTCAGAACCCATTGCCTGTGCTATTCTGGTCTGCGTGATCAGAGATTCATATGCTAGAGAATCACCTGCAATTAGAGAAGCGTTTCGCCTGGTATCATGATGCAACTGCTCGTACAACTCTTTTGCTTCATTGTGTCTTCCTCGGAAAAGAATCACTCTTATTAGCTGTTGGTAATCAAAGAGGCTGTTGGAAGAATAGTCCTCTTTTGTCCTTTGGCTGATTGTAATGACTCGTCTCAACCAGTATTCTGCAAGTTTCCAATTACTCAACCCCACGAACGCAGATGCAATACCCCGCAAAATTGCGAGCATAGCGGGATGCGTCTCGGTGAACAGTCCTTGGAGCTTCGACAATCTTTCTTTGAGCTCAAGAATATCGTAATTGGCGACGGCTACCTGCGTCAAGCGTGGGAGTTTTTGAGTGTGTTGTGAAGCCAATCTGCTCGGCTCAAATGATGAATACCAACAGATTTTGTTGAAAGGTGTCGCTGAAGCAGATTGCAAAGCAGCAATGTTCAACATTTGGCGGTCAGGTTGACGCAACACTATTTCCTGGCCTGTTTCGTTGTTGGGACTGCTAGACAGGTCGTTATATTGGTCCGATGATATATAGTGAGGTAGGGCATAATCTGCAGCCTCGGGTGTCGGGAAATGCATGGCGTAGGAATGCACGTCAGCCGGAGGTTCAATAGACAGGACTGAAAAGAGACTGGATAATAAGGCAGGGCCCGGATCTACTGAATCGGAGGAGAATGGGTACGGATTGGTATTGTTTTCAAGGCTTCGGAGCAAGACATCTGCTACTAGAGTGTCTTCCCCAAAGGTAGGCGGTTCTGGGGGCTGAGAGTGAGACATCTCGGCTGGCAGGGTGGAGTCATTGTTGAATGTGCCTGCCAAAAGATTAGTTATCTTTTAAGAGCAGAGTAACCTTTGCTTACCTGATGCTTGATTCGAGTGGCTGCTACTATGTCTTAGATCTGTCTGCTTCGTAGCTCTCCTCTTCCAGCGCTCAATCTTGGCAGCTGTAACTTTGATACCGGTTATTGTACGGAGCGATTCATCTGGAGGTGCAGATATGTTTTGGAGAAAGGCCGTTCTCTCCTCCGCGCTTGTGTTCTTTCTGAAGTTCCATTGTTTCAATTTTCGATTGACTTGTCTCTTACTATTATTTGTTAGGACGAGGCGCCAGAGAGCCAGATGGCATAAAAGCAAGCAATAGAGAAAACTTACGTGAGAGCGAAGCCCTGCTTCCGAAGCAAATCAACCACATGCTGCAACTTTCTATCCTCTTGGATAAAGAGCCGCCAGATCGTCGGCTTAAGCTCCATCCACTCTTCTCGCGATAGTTGATCCCGCTTGTTTGCATTGTCGACACTGAGACGTTTCTGATCGAGAGACATGATGATATTCTCCGTGTGGCACGGTAACACAGACAACACTGAAGATTCGGGACGATTGCACTCAAACTCGAGGGGAAGAAAGATGTGCATGAAGCTTCAATACTGAGAAATAGCGATAAGCCAAGAAATGAGTAGAGACGTTCTCTGTCCTTGACTTGAGAGATAATTGTAAAAAACCAATACGGTTGTGATATTAGTAAAAAGCGGGGCTTAGCGATTGGACCTGACAAAGTTACCGTGCATGAAGTGTGGCTGACACGCAGCTAATTAGAACCTCTGTAAAAGTTACCATGCATTGGCCAAGGGAGAGTACAGCAACGATGGATGGCGTAACTAGACAGTTGCTCTGTGGTTGCCTAAGAAAGATGCACAAAACTCAAAATTTCCCTGCATATCTCCAAGGCACCAGATTGGTCAGAGAAGTGAAGATATCGAGAGTTTCAGATGACACTCTTTCAGAAAGCCTATTGCTGGCCATTTTTTAATTTTTTTATATATATTCAGAAAATAATATATCTTGGACCCCCCAAAACGCTTTTGGAACAGGTGGGAATACCATGCGTGAAAGTTGCTGGCTTTGCGCTGTAGGAGCTGAGCCGGTAGTGAGTGGGTGCACAGGATTGGTAGCAGCACTGGATGAGTTGAGCGTGGTTGGCGAGCCTTCACAATTTCTAAGCATACTTTTTGGTAGCACTGTGCACAGGATTGATTGGGCACAGTAGTGGTTACACATCGGCAGCGACACGCAAAGAAAAGCCACACAATGCAAATTTAGCACCACAGATACTACAAGGATCAGAAAGTGACTCTAAGTCATACTTACCAGCCAGCCAGTAAGCGCAAGTTTAGGGCGGGGCGCGACTTATAATAATAGGTCCTGAGCGAAAACCCTTGCACAATCGAGGTTTAAATTTCAACTTTCGGCGGTTTTGCACTCAGGGTTGATTAAGATACATGCAGACTATATCATTCCTTCTAAAAGAAGAGAAATTCGTGCACCTTAAAATAAGGATACATAGAATAAGACAAAGAATAGGTAAGGCGACGCGAAGACAGTTTAAAAACGAAATAGTTATCCGATCCGCAAACGAATCCCCTCGGAAAACAGAGGGCCAAACCTCAAGTTTCCGAGGTATTCCGTTTAGTATCGATCCAAATAGATGCAAATGGCATCGATCCACAGTATTCGAGGTCAGTCCTCATGTCGAAGAGGGTAACGCAGCCGCTAAATTTTGAGTGGCTAGAAGCTTCGCGTTATTTGATGGTTGCGTATTGGAGGAATTGATACTGATCGCGACTAGGTCTTCTGCGGAGACCCAAGTATAGGACAGTGCCTCAGAGGTGGGAACGTGCAGATACCAGAGAAGACTTCTCGGTCAAGGAGTATGCGGATATCTGATGAAAATGCATCGGGAAGCAAGCTCAACAGCCTTATCTCTTCTTTCCCGAGAGGAAGATATTGGTAAGGACGCATTTCCGATGAGGGAAAGATGCAGAAATGAAAGAGATTCGGAAGGTGTATGTTCAGGCTGCATCGGTTGAAGATCACCGGATCACTTTTAAGGGGGGTTCGGTCACATGACTAGAACATAGCGCTCCCTAGATAGCAGCACGTTTGGTCCAAATTCATAATTTCTCTAAGCACATCCAAGACTTCGTACTCTATCTTGTTATGATGCCTCTGGAGAAAATGAGAAGCAAACAAATTGTCCTTTTCACGAGGCTCCAGAACTCTGCCCCACAATAATAAGCCTAGCGCATATCATAGCCCCTGGCCTGGACCTCAACCTCACGTTCTTATCGTCATCATCAACACAATCACACGCGCACACTTACAACGCGCCAGCCATCGAGCCAGATCCTTCCCCTAGCAGATAATTGCAATCCTCTCCACGATCCCTCCAAATCTCTAACAACGACGTGGCAATCGCAAACGAAACCGCGGAGAAGAGGCCACGAGATGGATTCCCTCCCCGCCGAACTCCTCAACCTCATCCTCCTATGGGACATCCGCATGTGCCGTTGCGAAAAGAACTCGATACTACCATTGCGGCTAGTTTGCAAAGCCTTCGATGAGATCCTAAAACCATACGTGTTCAAGACAATACAGCTCGAATTCTCTCGGTTCCTGAGGCAGAGGAGAGGCGCGATTGAGGCAAAGGATTGGGATGAAGAGGGGAAGATTGCGAAAGAGCTGCAGGGACACGGGAGCGGATTGGATGTAGTATGGGGACATGAGGCAATTTGGAAGCTAACGATGGATAGGGAGGGGCTGAAAAGAGTGGGTGGATGTTGTGAGGCTCTGTATTTGGATTTAATGGTTGTGAGGGATGAGGGTAGGTTCTCCAGTTTCTTTCAACGTTTCTAGGTTTTTTTCATTTTTTTGCATCGTGCCCATCACTCGGAAGTTTATTTGGGTCAGTATGGCATCTGCTAACTGGGCTCGCAGAGGAAATAACTCGTCTTACGAACGTCTTCCAGGGCCTGATACCCAAGGTTCCGGAGTTGGTACCACTGCTCGCCTCCCTTCGGAAATATTGTATGAATGAAAGCACATTTGACGAGACTGATTTCAAGGAGCTTGTGGAAGTATGCTGGAAGAATTGTCTTGGAAGCACAGCTGCTGACTGATCGTCCCCCTAGAATGTCCTTGATGCCACACCGAACATGCGAAGACTAAAGTTGAATTTGCCATTCCAAGTCGTTGGTCAACAAAGTCGAACAGCTACTCTCCTCCTAGCTACAACAATGGCAGCTCTCACAAAACGACCCGAAGAAGCCAAAGGGCTCGATACTCTAGTCCTTGACCATGTCAGCGATACAACGATCATCGATATCTGCAACAATCCCATGGATCTAGGGAATGCCATACAGGCCTTCTCGGGGCTCAAGCATCTGGTGCTATCTATGAAAAGACAAGAAGCACGGGACGCTCGACAAGTCGTTTTTACCAAACATCTATGGTTTCTGATTCGGAAAGCCATTGATTTAGAAAGCCTATGCTTGATCGGATGGAACGTCAAGAGAGACATTGCCACAAGAACGCATTTACATGGCGTTTCAGCCAATGTTTGGAACATGCGATCTCTACCATTTCACGTAGATGAATCTCGTACTTCATCTCGCCTTCGATTCTTAGAGCTGAAGCGTGTCGACATCGATCCGCGTTCCCTGCTCAACCTGGTGGCGGAGTCTGCTAGATCACTGAAAGAGCTATATTTAAACGAAGTGTACCTAAAGGTTGGAGATCACAATGCTTCCAGCGGCACTTCTCTATGGTTGGGGCATGGCGACCTTCGAAAAACAGATGATGTCGTCTGGGTTGCTCAAGATTTACGCAAAATCGAAGGCTTGGAGCTGGATGTTCTCCGAGCGACTGGACTCGGATACGATGAATTTGACCCAGAGACGAATCCAATGCACCCGAACTACGATCTCGTTGATTATTCTGGTCGGAATCGACCATTCGATCAACGATTTGTCGAGGCGGTCCTTTACTTCGAGGATGTCATCGCGGACGATACTCCCAAGCCAAAAGTCTGTTCAGGGTCAAGCGGTCAAGATTTGCCACAAATTGCCACCGTCATCCCCGAACTCACAAACCTCACCAGCGTCCTCCCACCAGAGTATCCGGAAGAGAGTCCTGGACCCATCTTCGGTGAACTACCTCAGTCCGAACAACTACCACTTGCTCTCCCTCCCCTCCTTCAATCGGAACCCGCAACACCAGCACCGGTGCATCAGGTACAGTTCAACCAGACAAACGCTGGAGGTCTCTACGTCGAGTCATCTCAGCCTGAACAGCACACTCTCCCTCCTCTCAACCACTTGCGGAAAGAAAAAGAATACGATGCCGAGACATTCCAGAGATCTCACAACACTACTTCGCATTTCAAGAGATGCATTGATGGGTATTTCTTCAATCATAATGAGCAGGCCTTGAAAGAGCTACAGAATATCATTACCGTTGCGGATCGAGGGATGACGCTCCTTTCGGAAGAAATTGACAGAGCGAGGCATGGAACGGGGATTTTGCCTCCTCTTCCTCTTTGAGAACACTCATGGTGGATTTTGGCCTATGATGGTGACCTTTTTGGAAGACATGCTTCAGATCGTACTTGTGATGAAACAAAGTCGGCCTGCCGTCTCGTCTAAGCAAATTTAACATGGGTTCAAATGTCCAGAGAACCAAGAACACAACACCTTACCGACGCTGTTCCAGTCTTGGTCTCTTGAACGCAAATCAAGCTCCATCACTACGAAGTCGTACGGATGAAATAAGATGAGTAGTGCTCACACCCATGACTTGAGTCTTTCTATTGACTCTGTGTCCGAACCCGGAACACTCGAAGTTGACTTCGGCATTGTGGTCTTCGAAAGTCCAGTCCCTTAGCCCGGTGCTTTTCTCACTCTCACTTCACTCAAATTTGAGCACTTGACTCTTTTCGGACTACCCCTGAATTAGCCGAGCTTGTCTCCAACCTACAGCTTACATCAGAATAATTCCAATGTCCCTGCCCGGGTCGTGCAATGCTTTACGTTGAGAGAGACTTCATTGAAAGATATAGCATCCCACACATCGGGCCGCGTGCTAGGTACTGCTTCCACGCTTCCCCTCATTTCTACTACTCTTCAGCAAAGATGGCAAAAGAAACAATGGCCTCGACGAATCTGTTCTTAGGAGCAACGCTATGATTCTCACAGAAAATTACATTTTCTATCATGACTGTTGTCGGAGTGGCTGTCTTGACGTGGGCGGTGCGATTCATTCGATTTCGACAATCGTACAGGAAGCTTGTGAGTTTCTCTTCCTTTGCTCGAAGTTCTTAACTCATTCTTAACTAGGCTCCGTTGTTGCCATCCCCACCCTTCAACACCCTTCTTGGCAGCATAAAAGCTTTGGCTGAAACATACGCACATGCACCAACCGATACGCACATACATGGGATCTTTACTATGATGCAAAGGAAGTACAAATTGAAGGGAATGTGATTTATGGACACCTGGCCAGTGAGCCCACAGCGTCAACTTGTAGTTGCGGACCCGGTATGCCATTGTCCCTAATCCAGTCTGAAGAATTTCGTTAAATTTTGACCACATGGAAGGGTCTAGCTACACAGATCACTCAGGTTAACAATCTCCCCAAATCTCCGTCAATGAGCCAGTTTGCTAGGCACCTCACGGAGCCCAAGAATGTTTCTCACTGAAGGCGCCTTGTGGAAGAAATCGAGGTCGATATTCAATTCCGGCTTCTCGCTCCCACATCTCATGACTTTAGTTCCTGCCATAGTCGATGATGTTCTCATTTACCGCAGGACCATCGGCGAGCACACTGACCTCGGGGACGTGAGGCCCATCGAGAAAGCATTAGCTTATTTGACGATTGGCATCATGTGCCACGTTGTTCTCGCCTTCGACTTCGAGTCGCAGACCGAGAAGAACGGGTTCGTAGAGGTATTTCGCAGCCAGATATCGTGGACGGCGAGCGCTGTATCAATTAACCCAATCATCAATCTCAGCCCATTACGGCCTTTCATGCATAGGTACTACACTCGAAAGATGAACGCGTATCTTGGCAAAGTTTTGGATGATCGATTCGCCGACTCGAACCATGAATCAGGTAACTCTCGCCGCAAGCCAGCGATCGACCTGGCACTCGACGAATACACACAACAGCAAAAGGAAGAGAACGTTGCGAGAAGTGCACAGGGAATCGACAAGGCCTTTAAGACAAATGCCAGCGACCAGATGAAGACATTCATCTTTGCCGGCCATGACACCGCGTCGAGCACGACGGCCTACACTTACTTGCTCCTCGGCCAACACCCCGCAGAATTAGCAAAAGCGCGTGCAGAGCTTGACAGCGTCTTTGGAACAGATCCTAGCCAGACAGGAGATCTGATCAAGCAGAATCCGAACCTAGTAAACGGCCTAACGTTTATCACTGGCGTTGTCAGGGAAACAATGAGGCTTTTCGCACCTGTGATGACTGTACGTGAAGGGCAGGGCACGATTACTTACGGAAATGTCACGTATGATATAGGCGGCTATACGGTATCCATGGGAGTGCACTGCATCCATCAGAATGAGAAGTACTTCCCCTGTCCCGATGAGTTCATACCTGATCGATGGGTCCCTGGCTCAGACAGCTTTCAGGAGATACCGAAAGATGGGTACAGACCTTTTGAGAAAGGTCCGAGGGATTGTATTTGCCAGCGGCTTGCGATGTTGAAAATGAGAATTATTCTCGCGTTGACGTTGAGGAACTTTGATTTCGAGGAGGATTATGAGACGTGGGACAAGAATTTAGGGAGGACGAGCCCCGGAAGTTTGTTGGAGGGGAGGAGAGGGATGTTTGGCAAGTGAAAATTCCTTCCTGGAACTTGGTGACGCTTTCTGATAGGACACGTAGTTCAACGTGCATACCAATAGCTGATTGCGAGTGCGAAACCTGCCGACGGATTACCGGGGAGGTTTATAAGAAGAAAACAAAAGAGACGCGTTTGATGGATGGCTTGCTAAGCTCAAGCATCAACAAATCCTTCTGGTTGCTGGCCCCCTTACTGAAATGGATGTGTTGAAACGTCTGGCATGATGTAAGGTACATCCAGTATCACGAACTCAGAAATGAATCAAATATGAAACCTTTTGGTAAGTATAGACTCAGGGATCTCATTTCCCATGTGAGACCAGGAAGTGGGCTCAAATAATTTCAAGTGAGTCCCTGCCCAGTTTAGCAACCTCGACTTACTCTACCAGCGAAGCTCCCGCTTGATCCCCAAACCAAGGAGCATACCAAGAAGCAGAAACGAGGAAATCTACACTGACATTGGGCCAGAAGACACTGAAGAATCAAACCCGCCCGTTCTGATGCCCCTAGCCGATTCATGAGCAGAGGTTGGTTGCGTGTCTTCGAAGAGGTGCTTCGCAAGCAGCTTCTGATACCTATGCCATGCATATAGTACCAATAAAGTCAGAGGAATAGAGATGACCCAGATCAACCAAAAGTAAGGGGACATGCCAAGCGACTTCTTATCGTTATCATGGAGGTAAAAGAAGGGCGTGCTGAAGATTGTCTGAAACGGGATTAGGACGGGCTGTTCCAAAAAAATTGTTTTGACAAAAACGCATCACTTACCGCCACTGCAGTGCAAGGGAGGAAAACGAGAGTCATCGCAGCGATTATTTTCATGGAGCCACTTTCGGCTTTCATGATTGTCGAATCTGCCTGGGTCACAAGGTTGAAAGACTGTAAATTCAGGTCAGTCACCGAGTGTATTTGCCTGCAGCTACTAACATACCAAATTAATCATGTTCTGAGTTCTTTTCTCCAAACTTTTGAGCCGAAGATAGGTTGACTTGAACAGTGTTCCACGGTGCCGGAATCTCGCACGCGTCTCACAAACGATGGGTGTTTCTGAGGTTGAGGCTCTGGTGATCCGGTCATGGTGCTCTTTTACCGATTCCAGTGTCGCCGTTACCGCTTCAGTGGCCTCCACAAGATATATTTGGTGCTTTGACAGCATGTGCAGCCCCACAAAATCCAGGCCCGCTGCTGCAAGTACTGGATGAGATGCGGACCTCAAAATTTTCTGGGCTTTATGTAAGCGCTTGACCTCACTATCGTTGATTGTAACTCACCTCCTCTTCTTTGCTGTATACCGTTGCTAGATCCCAGGCTAAGTTGTCGATTCGAGAATAGAGGACTTCGAACACGATATTTAATAGACAGTACGGATCTTCTAAAATATCTTGACACGGAGTACTACTAGCCAGGACATCGAGCTTCTCCCAAAGTAGCTTTTCTCCTCCGAAAACCATCAAAGTAGCCTCGGAACAGCTTGATGTTTTCATTCCCGGCTTGGTTTTCAGACAATATGCCGAGCGGACCCAAGTAAAGTCGGCTTGGCGGAGACCGTCAGCTCTGTTCCCGACATACTTAACTCCGTTGATTTCTTCAACTGGAACATTCTTGCACACAAAATGGAACCAGCAATCTGGACTGTCAGTCTGTACATACTCACAAATGTTAGATAATATGATGGCTTACAATTGTATCCTTCAGTTTCTTCAACGGTTCCGAACGAGTGGGAGACATTGTGCAATCGCTCTGAAATGAAGGCGTCAGGGATTGAATGGAGCTTATATAACGCAATCAAATCTCCCACTGTCTGCGGATTGGGGACGTCAAGAGGCGCGAATCAGGAATCATTGTAAGTATCTAAAAAGGCCGACCAGAAAAAGAACCACTAACATGATTTCCAACGGACTTGAAGACCGCTGAGCCAAGTCTAAGACGGTATGATTTGAAAATCTCGTCCCCGTAGCCCGTGCTAACTGTTTATCAGTGCATACCACGAGGGTTCTCAAAGAAGAACCAACCTTCCCGCCATTCAAACCCGCCAAACTTCACGGCAGGATACGAAGCCTTCGAATCCCTATTGGCGTCGTTCTCGAATTTCTTGATAGCAGATTCCATTCTTCTTCATGGGTCATTTGCATTATATCCCGGCATGTGACTTTTGGAACTGAGGTTGAATTTGAAACATCGGGATCAATCACTGGGCAAGAACTTGACAAGGTTTTAGAAACCCCTTCTTAGTCATTTCCAACCGAGGCGGACAACACGGCAAGTGTGTTTGGTGGCTTCCTTAGCGAACTGCCCACTCCTGTCGTGATCCGTCATGCATACTTTCAGCTCTCATGTATTGGAATCCATCCCGGAAATCCCAAAGTGTCCATCGATCCAATCGCACGGCGCATCGTTTTCGCAGCCCCGAAACCTGCATGAGAACTTACACTTTGACTTTACCATCACATGCAGTGCACCCACTTTGCTGCTTTAGATTGCCAGGATTCTTTCTTGGCGGTGGGGGCGAATGTCACCTCACGAGGCTGCGAAGACCTCCCACCTCAGGTGAGGATCGAGGAGAGATTTGGAACCAAACAAGTTTCCTGCAAGATTTTGCCTGAAGAAATGCCCTCTTACGATCCTCCGCCACACAGATTGCGGCATTACTTGAGAAGAATTGGTTCTTTTTGATTCATGAAAGTCTTTCATGCCCATCTTGACGGCGACCCATTGAGCTTGGATGGTATGCTGTGCGCGAGTTATTGGCCGCTACGTGGCATGCCCACCCTGCATGGTTATTCAGTTTTCAGACCCCAATATGCACTCCGCGGCGGCTATCCCGTCAATTCGGAGGAGGGGGCCTTTTGAGAGGAAAAGGCTCGCGGCCAATATGAGGATAGGTCAAAAGTTCCACCTCACACATCCTCTTCGCGCGGAACCCAATAAGATACCGCCATTAACTTCGAAGGATGCAAATCCATGCCTCTTTGGCTCATATGTTCCCCCCTCTCTGCATCTCGCTGAGGAATGTTACAGCTGATGAGGCTATTCGAAACTTGCTTTGAGCGGCATGGTTCCAATCCGTCCTTTGCTGCCCGCATCGCCGAAGGCACTTGGACAAACATATAAGTGCATTGATGTTACCACAGCCTAACGCTTCTACAAAGCTTTGTAGGTTTTGTGCAGGTTTTCAGAGTCAATCTTGTCGCAAACTGGCAGAACTTCACCTCCCAACAACAGTACCAAGACCTGAGGGATCAAATCTATCCTATTGAGCCCTTGGATTAAGAATGGTAAGTGGCCAGATGCTTAGCCTCGTCTCCTGCCAGAGTCAGCCACTCATGTCTCACAAGTCTTCTCATAGAGGCTCCTCCACTCCACAAGGAGGCCCCAGCAGACCCGCACATGGAGGCAATGTTGACCCTTTCGCCCTGTCATTTGACGGATCGGATGGAGTACCAGTAAGCTCACCATCGGCTATTCTTAAAGTCATAGACTTATTTCAAAGACACAAGCTAGGCACGACACGCGCGATAGGTTATCAGGGACCCCCAGTCACTCCACTCAGTCGTCCCCTTATCACCCAGCTCCCAACAGACCCCAGGGCAGACCCGCACATGGAGGCAGCATTGACCCCTTCGCCCTATCATTTGACGGATCGGATGGGGTACCAGTAAGCTCCCTGCCAGCTAGTCTCAACATTATAGACTTATTTCAAAGACACAAGCAAGGCGCGATACTCAATCGGGGGTATCGATGCACTCAACTCAGTCGTCCCCTTCAACACCATCTCAAAGTGCGAATCAGACAAATGGTGTGCAAGCAGGAGCACGAGTGTCTCCATCCTGGTGCGCGACTACTTCGACGTCATATAGAATGTCAGATCATATATCCCGCGAGCAACAAGAAGCTTCGACATATCCACCACAGCCTCCTCCTTCAACACCCGCCAGAAGTGTGAATACGATATCACGCGTGCCAGTTGGAGGGAAAACGAACTCTCAACCTAAAGTTCACGCATCTGTGTCTGTTGCTGAGGTATGTCGAGGGAATCCACCTTTCATTGATCCTGGGCTAAGTGTTTTTAGGTGCGGTCACCAGCACCAACTTACACTGGTTATTATGAACCAGTATCCAAGGTAAGTGGTGCCAAAAGGGTGGCTGGGTTTTTCCGAGATATCTTAAATTGATAAATGTGTAAAGAGTCAGAGTTATGACATGCTGGACGTCGACTTGGAGGTTGCTCAGGAGAAGGATAATGCCCATGATGTATGTAGCACAGCTTTCAGTTCTTCCTAATGACTTCTTCAAAAAGCAAAATCTCTCTATCTTGATAAAAATATACTGATGAACAGTGCTACAAGTCTTTCGTGTCCAAAGCTCCTCTCCGGGGTTACCTTGGAAACTTCTTCACCAAGACCTCAAAGTATCGAGCAATTCAGTCACCGCACTCAGTCCAGGAGGCAGGCTGGCCTAGCAACTCTGAATCGACTTTCAGGCACCAAGACAGCCTTGGAAGGCTTTACAAAGGTCCCTCAGATGACAGATTCCTCAATCCCGTTGATGGCAGTGTAAAAGAACTCGTTGTGCAGTGCACGGATGTATTGTATTGGGGGCCTAAGAACACTACATACAAACGAACCTTCATCCGAAATGTCTCCCCCATCACGCTACAGCTTGCTAATTGGCCAACGTCCCATCTCAACGATGGACCTAAAAGTAAATCTGCAGATCGTAAGGCAAAGCTCTTTCTGGCTGTGAAATGGCCAGTCACTTGCTATGCCCTGAATCACTTGGTAAGTCAAGCATCCCTAAAATGATCCTTGCTGAGGTATTTATGTGGGGCTTCGTTAACGACCTCGCTTATAGATCGGTATCCCAGGCCTCACCTCTACCGGGACGGTACTCAACCACGGCAACTATGATCCTTTCCCATATCGGTATTGGGGATACTGCAAAGTAACCCGAAATACGGTGGAGGAAGGCACTACTCCCTCCGGTGCATCTCCTCAGGATATCAATATTCCAGCAGCTCGCAGCAATCGCATCCTGGAGCCCATAACCCTCTGCATCATTAAGGAGGACGAGCCGTATGGTCGTCCAACGCTTGTCTCAGGTTGGAAGAATGACATCGAGAATCAACATCACCATGGCAAATGCCCAGAGTACCTTTTCATTGCTTACACCGCAGAGCAGTTCAAGCACAGTAACGCACACGACGTAGCAGCGTTGCATTCCCTTGCAACGAGGGCAACCAGAGATGCTGGCCTGACAGCTTACTGGGTGGGACTTTCCTGCATGCAGCCAGACAATGTCGAAGACGACGTATTCCGCATCAGTGACATTGTGAGAGGAGCCCATTCCATGGCCGTAATAATCGGGCCAGGAACGAGAGATGCCCAGGGCCAACCTTCAGTCAAGTCCATGTTACGGGAGTGGGGAGAGAGGCTCTGGACACTTCCCGAAGCTCTGCTGATCGCGTCCAATAAGCCAATTTCGGTGTATCGAAGAGGCTATCAGGGGCCACTTTTGATTCCCAAAAACCAGTTTGCTGGAATGGCTTGGGCCGACTCTGTCACGGCTAGGGACCTCATAGATCATTATGAGGGAAACTTGACTCTCAGTCGGCTCGAACTTGTGACTATTGCAATGCAAGCTCTCTTCGCGAGGAAAAGAGGCGAATACCTACCCGTAAGTTCCGTGTATCCCCTCTGGAGCGATGTAAGATTACCCTGACATTACCGCAGGGAGATCATTCCTATGCGCTCATGGGCTTACTACGCTCAAGGCCTAAGATCGACAGCACCGACACGTCGTTCCAGGCCTTTGCACGCCTCTCGCTCGCAAACGATAGCGACATGCTGATCGAACGGCTGATGTGCCTCTTGCCTCAGAGCCCAACACAACATTGGTCCTCTGTCTCGGACGCCTACGGGGTCAACGTCTGGGATATCTATCCCACATGCCAGATCGCTGGCGTTTGTAGCAACGACACTGTTCTCGTTGATGGTGCCTTCGGCGCTACCATCCACTGGGATAAGTTCAGAAAGGTAGCAAACACTCGACGAGTGAGGTCTTGGAAAAGGCTGGCGGTACAGACGATGCTCCATGGTGCGCCGTACTTTTTCCTCATTGGAATGCTCTTTTTCCAGAGTGCCTGGAATACGGTTAGTGTATTACGCGGCGTCATAAGAATTATCGATGAAATCAATAACATCTGGGATACTATTGTTAAATATACTCCATTCACAACCGCAGAGGCCGCCCCTCATCACTTGGACAGTGGTCCCGCTGCACGGAGACTCTTGCATTGGGCGTTACTTTTGGGAAGTGTTGGATTCATTCTTGTTGGCACCGCGTGTGTTGTCTTCGTGTCCTCTCCATATCTCACTCGACTTCTGTATGGCGGCAAGTTTTGTAAGTTCCCTTCTCATCTTTGACTATAACAATGTTCGAGAACAACCCACTGATAGGCTGTTTCAGGGGGCACACAGGCATGGCTCTTCGGCTTTGAAGGGTATCTCGACATCGAAACCATCGAGTCCCAGATCTTTGGTTCCAAAATGCGTCGCCTCCGCTGGTCTCTCTACGGCTCATCCCTCTCACGCCACCGCAAGAACGAGTTCGAAGAAAGTGTTGGCGTGGACCCAACAACAGATCCAGTGGTTCGTCAAAAGGTGGATGATGCAATCATGAATACCAGGCCAGATGCTATGCGCATTTTCACGCTGGTGGATACGAATACTATGACTGTGACGATGTTCGAAGCAGTAAAACCGCCAGTGGCAGTGCTGCTTTGTGGAGCCGAGGGGGGCATGCAGCGAGCTGTTGCTTGTTCTTATGAGTGGAGTACTGGGATTTGCTATCGTGAGACGGTGCTGAGGATGGAGACACCAGTTCTCGAAAAGATGTCGAGGGTGTCAAGGTTCAGGTTCGGTATGAGTAGGGGTTCGTAGTAGTGGTGACTAGGACTACCTTAGCTTTTTATAGGCGGGTGAGCATGGCCCTTCGATTACGGAACAGTCTCCAGACCTAGCTATCTTGTTTACGCGCATCCATTCCCCATCATGCTCAGCCCCTCTGTCCAGACGCCCCCCTTGTCCCCCTTCAAGCTCGCCACAATCTCAAACTCCGGCACCACATACGCCCCATCCAACTCCGCTTTATACCTCTCTAACCCCACCTCAACCCTTCCCACCACCCCCCGCATGCTCCCCATAACCTGGCCCCTCACCCCCTCATCTCTACACTCCCCAGCAAACCCATCCCACATCACCACCTGCACATTTCTCAAACTCGTACACTTCACCAGCCACTTCCCTAACATCTCCCACGCCACGCTCTCCTCTGACTCCCACGCAGACCTCGCGACCGCGAAACAACCGATATCAATTACCATCTTCTCGATTTTCGGTGCCCAGTCTTGGAGGCGGTAATCGTTGCTCATTGCATCCTGGAACGCGTGCTTGTCTGTCAGGTCCCTGAGGTTTTTGATGAATAGCCTTTCGAGGGGTGAGATGTGAAGGCGACCATATACGCCTGGTCCTAGGGGCAGACAAATTGAGAATCTCTCCAGATAGTAAGCCCGGGATTCTTGACATAAGGCGAGGAGAGAGATGGCGCGGGTTGGTGCGGTGAGGAGCTTGGGAGGGGGAGGGGATAAAGACTGCGCTCTTGGGACGGGATGGAGGAAGAGGAGGTAGAGCCCGAAGCGGGAGTCGGAGATTAGGATTTTGGCGTCGAGCGTGAGAGCCGCTTGGGGCCCTAGCGGTGGGAGGGCAAAACTGTAGATTTTATGGCGGAGTTCGGCGGGGAGGGTTGGGAAGAAGGTGAAGCGTGGCTGGTGGGTTGGGGAAACGGCCGGGGGGGCAGGGAGACTGAGGTTGGAGAAAGAGGCGATGAGGGTGTCTGTTGCGTCCATGTCTGTATTTCGTTGCTTGGATATAGGGGCCGGGGGCCGAGTGTTGATGGACAGGCGAAGGTGTGGTGGTGGATTTCGCTGTTAAAGTGGGGAGGATGCGCAGCAATGCGTTCTGTATATGGCTCTCAAGGTCGAATGAGGTTCGCAATGGACTTCGAACATTTTCTCTGGAAAGTGTTGATGGTGGATTTGAGAGTGGAGTGTATGATCCTCTCATGATGAGGTGAGAGATGAAGGATTTGGGAGCACAAATCCCTCGTGCTAGCCCGACTAGGCAGCCATATTATTTGGTGCAAATCACTTGATCTGTCTTAGTTTCGCTTTCGCTAACTGTAATGACATTCAACCTTTGAAACGAGGAGTGTGAGTCTGAAGCCGGTAGAACATGGACGGACGAGTGTTGGAAGTCAGGTATTTGTCGGTTCGAGAATGTCACGTGATGCTCCTTTCTCCACCACAGACCGGAAATCGATGCGAGTTCCAGACCACATCTGAGGTTCTGATGGGTTTCCATGAGCGAAAGAACGACAGTATCTCACCAGACTTATTGAAAAGAGTGCCATGTAGTATGATCCCGATCCCAAGTCTCACGAGAAGGATGTCAAAGTCGCTCAAGATAGAATCACCGGGACCGATTATTGCAACTTCCAAGGCAGCACAAAGAACACTAGCTCGATGTCATAAACTCAAAATCAATATTTCCTCCAGATAACGGGCTGAAAGTACTACGGCACGGCCGCTCCTCTCACCCGCGGTTAGCGCAAGAAAAGTTTGTTTTGAGAACATGAAACCTGAAAGATAAGGATAGAACTGATGCTCGTCTGATCACTTGATCAATCTTCGCGCTTCTGTATCTCAAAATAGGTTTCCTGGAGACTCCCGTCAGGGCGGGTGATCGCATGAATATCGAAATGCACGCTAGGGCCCAGGGGCAAACGAAGGGAAGGGGGTGTGAGATTGAACCCCTAGCCTTGCCCCGATATCACGTGGTGTGGGGTCCTGGGCAGTGGCTATTCCAAGAGCTGTGAGCCGCCAAGTTGCACGGTGAGAGAGCGAGAACCCTTTATTCCGTTACACGTACGTACGGTGTGTGTGTTCTAGATGTGCGGTAAAGGACCCTCACCGATGGCTTAGGTTCCAAGATTCAAAGACAGTCTTGCGTGCGAGTGAGGAATGTTTCTCGTAAGCACATCACCTGAAACTAGAACGAGGGGAACTCTGAGCTTGATCGAGCTGCCAAAGAGCACCCCTGAGCTGTCAGGGTGGAAGCTTCACCGATCTACCAAAGAATCGTCCGAGCTGCCCCTTGGTTCCTGGACGCTAGCCGCACATAGCGTTCGTACATTGGACGCAACCATGCCGTGAAATCATAAATATGCGGCCTGCGCAATCTTGGTGTGAGAAATTGGAATCTCTTGGTTTTTGGCCAATCGTCGAAGCGGACATCCTTCGCCGTGGCTTGAACTAGGCTTGGGAGCTGGAGAGTGCGGGACGGATGGAGGGGCGACGCCCCATCATTGATGGAGAAACATCCAATTGCGCTTGTGACTTGCGCACTTGCTTCCTGATGTGGGTGGGGGAGGAGCAGAGCTCCAGTGGTGAAGGGAGAATCTGGGATGCTACTTGCTGGCGTGTTGGGGACAGCCGTAGCTCGCAGCCCGCAGCACGTTTCGATCCTCCTGCACGCGGATGTCTTGTCGTGACTGATGGCCGAGGACCTGAGAAAGTAGAGGAGCCATGCATGCCATGTGGTCAAGAATCAGTAGTCTGTGCAGCACAAATATATAGAAAAGACGCCCCCGCGGATAGGATGTTGGAAAAGCACTCCCACACGCTCGTTCGTTCTTCTTTCTTTGCTGCCGGGAGGAGCCATCCATCATGTATCGTCCTCCCACTCGCAGAGCCTTCTTATCGCCAGGAGACGCCTTGGAGGTCCGCACCCGCGTTAGTGTGGCCGACTGTAGGGATGTCGCTCCCGACCAGCTCAGGTACGAGAAACTACAGTACTGTACTGTTCATTTCTGCTGTTCGTTGAAGTTGTATCTTTCTCCAGGCTTCACTTACCGCCTTTTCCCTCCAGCATCCCCTCTCTTCAGCATCCCCTCTCATCCCCTCTCGATCCTTGCCCCCACCCCCGTCTTTCAATACTGTACTCTCCGTCTCTCCGTCTCCCCTTTCTTGTCCCGTCCGATTAATCAGCGAGCCTCGTCTGTCTTATTGGCGGCGTTCCAGCTCCCCTGCAGTGCGGCTTTCAACTGTTGCCGCAAAGGGTCCTAGCGCCGATCAGCCTCGTGCTACGTGCCGCTTGTGGGCTCCTTTCCTCACTTTCTGTTTCCTCCCTAGCCGCTCTGCCTTCATCTCAATTTCCACAGCACACGCGCTCAGGCGTAGCAGAGCGGCCCCTTTGAGCGCGCGTAGGGGGTCCCAACTCGGCGTTCAGCTGTTGGCATGGGATTCCCAAAGCGGTCAGCACGGAGGCCACTCTTACTGTACTGCCTCGAGAGAATAAGACGAACATGTTCCGGCACTGACGCAATGGCGCGGACTCCACAGGCTTCTCTCTTCTTCCTCCACTGCGACTCTGACTCCATCTTACCTGCCATCTTCAAGAGAGTTCTGGCCCATCATCTCTGAGGAGGAGCACGAGTTACGAGGTGGTGGACCGGTGCAGGCAGGCCTTCGGAGATTCAGCGAGCAGGACATCAAAACCCGCAGTGCACGCGCCTCCCTTCTCCCTGCAGCTCGGAAACATAAATCCACCGTCTCGGAACCCCTTCTTTCAGTCTTCTCTTCGTGCCTTGCCTCCCGTCCATACGGAAGGCCCGACGAGATGGGTTTCACAAAGGAGATGGAACCCCCTCGACTGCACAGTCACCGAAGGCCCTCCTCACCCACGAGCAGCATCTCCACCCGATCGAGCTTCGAATCAAGGCAGAAGAGCCCCTTGAGCATCAGCTCCTCGATAGACTACGAATCCAGCCGCACAAGCGACGACTCGTCGTATTCGGGCAGCAATGGCAAGCGCGACTTCCTTGCTTCGCGATCCCCAATCCCTCCGACCCCAACTCCTGGAATTCGACGGATGGTCACAGAACCAGTTGTGCCTACGTTTACACGATATGGAGCTGGCGGAGAGGGGAGACAACAGATGCAGCAGACCACGCTGGTGATACCGCCAAGGTTGGGAAAGGGTCCTTCCGGTCCGCCATCGCCGAAGAGAAAAGTGTATGCTCCGCGTATGCTAGGTGACGGCTTCAAAAAATTACCGGAGGAGATTCTGCTCGTTGTCTTGGCTGAACTGAAGAAGTTGCACCTGGATACTGGGAGTCTTAGTTGCTCGACTTGTTGGATGAGAGATCTGACGAATCTGGGGCTTTGTTGCCAGAAATGGTGGCGAGCATCAAGAATTGCATTGTATGAGGATATACAACTCACTGGTTGTGATTCGACCTTTCATATCAAGAAGAAATTCAAGATTAAGTATGGGACGAGACTAATACTGCTGAGGCGGACTTTGCGGGCGCGCCCAGACTTCGCGAGTTACACCAAGTCATTGAAAGTCCCCGCGATGCCAGATGTAGCAAAGAGCAAGAAAGAGCAGGACGAATATCTTGACCTTGTGGCATCGATCATCATGGCTTGTCCAAATTTGGAACGCCTCCCAGGATTCTACCCAACCTATAATCACGAATTTTCTCGATTTGTCAATTCCTTGTCGACAAGGAAGAAATTGGTCGAAAGGGTCTGGGTTATCAATGCCAGCCCATTCCAGCGGCAACATCGGTTCAAGCCTTCGGACAAAAGCCAAGACGTAATTCCGACCCTTGCCCCAGGGCCACTTATGCCCGAACAGTGTATTGATCTTATCACATATCATCGAAATTGGATGCATCTCCAAACACTTGTTGTTCATTGCAACCCTGGGGGAACTGTAGATTCTCCGCTCTTTACGGACATCTTTTGGTCACTGCCTGCTTTGGAGAATCTGCATATATCCAACTTTCCAGCATCGTCTTTTAACGATACAACTCTCCTGTCACTACCGCCTCTCAAATTTCTTCGGCTAGAAAATCTTCCTGGAATAACGGACGATGGACTTTCGAGCTACGCCGCCCCGAGGCGGACTGATGCACTGACATCGCTAACCCTCATTTCAATCCCTCTGAACTCACTGCAAGCACTGTCACGGCTCTTCTCCCATCTCAAGTCGCTCACTTATTTCACAATTTTTCAACCATACTCGCCAATACTTCCAGAAGCAGACGAAATATTCCTTCATCCATATTTGGCGAATCGCAAGCTCGAGTATCTCCACTGGGAGTTCTTGAACCCAGATGACAACCAAGCCACTGACATGATGGCGAAATCCATCCTGTTCGGCGGCTTCCCATCTCTGAAGACCATCCGAGCACCAACCGACCACGAAGGCGCCTTGCAGCGACTTTGCCGACCAAGGGAGAAAATCGAACTCCCAGGAGATCGTTACAGAAACATGGGCATGCCAGGTTCCCGCCCTTCATTACCACACTCCCAAAGCATACCAAGCATGCCGTCTCCCACTCGTTCCACCTTTTCTCTCGGCCATGGACCTAACGGCTCCATCAGCTCAAACTACGTCAAATCTCCTACCCGCTCCACCTTCTCCCTCAACCTCGACCACTCATCCCGAACCTCCGACGATGCAAACTACCGCGACAAAGGCATGTCCCTCTCCACCGCCCGACGCATGGCCCAACAGCGCGCCGACTTTGCTGCCACACAGCCGCAATTCCATATCATCATCTGGGATGAATTCGGACTCTTCGTTGAGCGGTTCGCGGTCGGTGGCTTCATCGGGCAGATTCAGAGTAAGATTCATTATAGTCTGAAGCCGGACGTTGATGGGATGGATGAGGCGATTTTTGGAATTGAAGGGTTGCTGGATGGAGGCGAAGAGGTTAATGGTAAGGATGGGTGTACGGGGAGTTGGAATCTGATGGCGGGGGTGCAGGAGAAGGGGAAAGGGGGTGGGAAGGATGAGAAGAAGGGGAAGGATAGGTGGTGGCATACGGAGAGGGGAAGATGGAGAGAGGTACCGCTTGAGAAGCTTTTCTAGGAGATGTAAATTGTCTGATGGGGCGATGGATGGGATATGATACCCTGAGAGATGAATGAATACTACATACTGAAATGAAGCATGATGAATTAGAATTGTGTAGACCTTGCTACAGCCTTGATTGTTGGCAAGTGCCTCCTCTCATTCCTGATTTTTGCTCTCTGCCTTGCACACTTGACGCACTTCCTTAGCACCACTTGTCTGCTCCTCTTGAAGGTCTATTTTCCCTACCCATGCCCGCCCTACTTATCGCGGCTCGCTGCTATAAGATAGGAATGAAGTGCTGGTCGAAACGACCATCCACGAATATCCAGCAAACAATACGATGTATGTTGACCGACTTCTGTTGAGTAGACAATCGGCGTCGGCAGAGCCCTCTCATGTAACTCTCGAGGGGGGGAGAAGGGAGGTAAGCGAGACTGCATTTGCAAGTCACCCATAGCTAGTGGCGAATGTCCTGAAGAGCCTGTTGTGAGAAGTCGACCCAGGAATTCCTAGACAATGTCTCTTACCGTCCGCAAATACCTCCCCCGGCTATGCTATCGCTTGGGAAAAGTCGTCACTCGACAACCAGCTCTCTCTCGCACTGCTCTTTCTCCATGTCTGCACAAGGTCCATCGCGAACTACAACGTTCCAGGCGACTCCAACTTTGTTGCCGGAGATGCCAGTGATTATCTCCCTTGAACCTTGATTGAAAATTTGGGTCGCTTCCTGCCTTATATCAATTAATATTCGGCATGTCTGCGATGCTCAGGACCTGCTTGTGGCACTTGCAAGCGCAACAGAGCCCTCAGGGCTTTGCCTGCTTCTTAAATGACCTTCTGCTGCTGAACAAAGAACCATGGTGAGAGGCTGGCCTTGCCTATACAGCTCCCTAGGAAATTCGCCACCATTATTCAAACTCTCTGCTACGCAGTATGACCTCTTTGTATTCTCCTCAAAATACTCCCTCACCGCCCATTCCCAATGGCACCAGACACCTTCATGACAACAAAACAAAATCTCTTCTTGATATAACACAACTCCATCTTACTCCAGCCAACAAAGCCAACAAAGCCACACCTATCTGGGCAAAAGCGTTGTCTTGATAGAAAGTTTGAAAGACGGTGCGGTCGTGTTATATATCCGAGGAGACTCAGTTTGAGGTATGGATTCGGTATCATCTCGAGTCGAATTTGGGGTTAGCATCTTCCTCTTTCTTGAGCAACCTCATCAGCATACTATCCCTTTCTCGTGCATTCCGTCCGAGCTACGCTTAAGATCCGCCTTCGACTTGCAGTATATTCTCCTCTCTGTTGTGTGCATGGTTCCAATTTGAGCCTTTCTATGTATTAGAAACTGGACATCTGAGGTGGGAGGGGCCACGAAAAGTTAAACTTACAATGGGGTAAAGGAGTGGTGTCAAAGATGGTGAGTCTTTGCCAAATGGCTATCTAAAGCCTTCCTTGCTTCCTTTATTTAGAAACTCATCGCCTGGCTTGTGGATCAAATGGACTCATAGGCTTGCTTTATGCCGGCCTGTCCACATTCACCCCCCGGAATTCGGCATCACAAGTGGACGCTTTATCGATACTCCCCTCTTTCCCCGTGACTTAGCGTCTTTTTGATTCCATCTCATCCCGATATCGCGAAATATATTCTCGCCTGCTTCGCCTCAACCTCCTTTCCTCCTTCCATCGACCACCATCGCACACCACCAGCATCGTCTTGCTCGCTTTGCAATAAAGGCGGTCTTGCGAGTGTGCACCTCTTCACAACTCCCACCTGTACGATATCTTTGCAGGAGATACTGGGCTGTTCAGCAATAATAAAGTGTCCCGGACGCGTCGGAGGTAGATTGAAGGAATTTGCTAAGGCAGATTCAACCGCGAAGATGTCTACCGACGAGAAGATGTCAGTTATAGCACTTACTCTCAGATTTATCGTACTGACGCGATGTAGGGACGGCTTCGAGTTCCCTACTATTGGCAGCGCCAAGATGTAAGTCATGCAAGCCGAGTGCAGATCGGTCTTTCTAAATCGTTGTAGGGACGCTAGGTTTGACGCACAAAGAGCAAGCTTTCCTCCTAAACGCCGAGTTGTCTTCGCAGGCTTCCTAGAGAAGCTTTGTCAAAACTTCCTCCTGGTCGTTATGGTGGTTCTCGTTAGCTACTCTGTCGTTACCTGTGCCTTGGTCCTTCTCGGGCACCCTACCCCAACACCTCTTGGCCAACCCCGTGTTCACCTCGACCCTGCCCTCAAATTCAATGCTACCATCATCTCCACGGCCGAGCAGCTCACTAGTCTTCAAGACCGGCTCTCCGTCCGCATGGATCAGCACAATGTCATTATGAGCAAGAACCTCGACAACTTCACTTCCACCCTTGAAACCATCACTGCAGATGCCGAAGTAGCCATTGATTACCTCCGATTCGTGGAAAAGTACCTCTTTGTCGGTGCTTCCCGCACACCTGAGGAATGGCGGGAGGGTGCAGAGGTGCTCGAGGATGAGATCCAGAAGTTGCACAACATCGCTGTCTCTCAAGACATCCGCATGGAGATCGAGGCTGTCACACAAATTGCTGGTGCCATTGCTACCGAGATGACCGACATGGAACTCTTCATGCAGGAAATCAGCAGCGCCTCCAACACCTTGCTCAATCGCTTGGGTAAAGTCTTTGAAGAGCAAGCTGAGTGTAACGGTACCGATCATCTTGCTCCCAGAAGCCAACCTCAACAACCGATCTACGATGCTCCTGCCTCCGATGCCGGTCAATCGCTCAATGAGGCTCAACCTGGTCGGACTCTCCAGTGGCGCTGGGATGAAATCCACAAGGGAGGCTATGTTCGCAGCAATATGGGGGACTTCGCCCCGATCCAACAGGCGATCATTGAGAGTATGTTCCCTGGCCCAACCTCCTTCCAACCCACACTCTCCCCTCCTCTTCCCCCTCTTCCCCTTATCCAAACACAGCACACGAAGCTAACACCCGCCAGCATTCCTCCTCTCAATGAACGCCACTGGCAACATCACCAGCGTCCCCACCACCATCCGCTACGGCATCGGCCTTCCGGACACCCACCCAACCGACCTTGGCACTCTCGGCTACGAGCACCCTCTGATCATCCAAGGCTTCTCCATTCCCACTCCCGATCCCGACTCCCCTGGTCAAAACTACAATTGTGATATCGTCGCCCATTTCGCTCAGATGAGCAAGGACGCAATCGTCCAGGTCAAGGTCGCACCAGGTCTTCGTAAAGAGGTGGTTGTGCGACAGCTCGTTGGCTTGCAAAGCATGGAGTGTGGGGCTGAAGGCGAGGAGAAGAAGGATGTTGTTCGATACAAGGAGAAAGGCGAGGATGAGAAGAAGCAATGGCAGATTCTCCTTCGCGTCGGATGAGATGAGTTGATTGTCTCTTTCCTTCTCTTTTCTTTGATTTGTCATGTTGAGGAAAGGCGGCTGCATTAATATAGCTCATGGATGGTTCTGTTTGACTACGGCTTTTACTGCATACGAAACGAGACGAATTGAGGAACGAACGAACGGATAGCGAGGAAGAGAGATTGTATTTGGGGAGTGGAAGGAACTTTGAATGGGGTTGTACTTCTGATTATGAAGAGAACTTTTAATGATTTTCCCGCTGGCTTGAAAGGTGATTCCTCTCATTCATTTAATATTTTACAACATCCTCCTCCACTGTGATAGGGATCCCCACCGTATTCACAACAAAGAACTCCTCAACCTCGCGCCCAACTAATCTCTCCTTCAAGCCACGCCCCGTAAATCCACCCCATATGCAGCAGAGTAAAATCCTCGCGCTCCCATACTGCCTTATCAAGTTCGACTCGGCTTGCAATCCCGGGTTTGCAGGTCTCTGCGCAGCTAGCATTGTAGCGGACTCATTGCCCAATTGTCTTGGACCTCGATGAATTCCTTTGTTGAAGCCTCGAAGGCCCTACATCCGGCATCTATTCCAATTCGAGCACCAAAAACGGCGAGAAGAGAATTCCTTACGAAAAGGCTGGAGACGTCCGTTTGGTGATCAAGGGAAAGGTTGAAGACACTTGGATAGGAGCAAGGTGACGTGCGTGACGTACTAGGTAGAAAGATGTACTAAATACTGAGGGTGGCCAAGAGCGGCTGTTCTTAGGTAGGTGGAGGTGGGTTTTGACCGGAGTGGCAATGTTATTTCGCCGCGAAGGCCCCTGAATGGATTGGAGCACATTGCAATGGCAGATGTGTAGGTAGGGTCCCTTGATTTGGAAGCTGCTAAGCAGCCTGCCCCTTCATCGCATGCCCATAACTCGGCAACTGCTCCTCCACTTGCGGCACCACACTCCCACTTCCCCCTTCATACGCCGGCAGTCCCCCCTGCTGCTCGATCCCCAACTGCGCCGTCCCACTCTCAATAGCCTTAATAGCCTCCTCAACACCCCCCTCCATCTTCACCGGATACAAAAACACATGCGGCCACTTAACCTTAAAGCTACTCGTCTCCCCAAGACACTCGACATCGATCTTCAACTCAAGCCCATAATTCCTCCTCACAGCCCAAGCATCAAATGTTGGCGGCGCATAGATCCTATCTTTAGGGAACATCCCGGTAATGCGGAGCGATTTGTTGAGCAGGATAGGGATGTTGAGCGTCCCGTGGTTGATTTCGATGTGGTCTTCAAGTAACTGTTGGTGATCACTGAATAGACCGGGGACGCGGATGTCGGTTCTAGATTTTAGGATGAGGGCCCAAGCCTTGAGCTTAAAATCGGGCATGATGTTGCCTGTTGCTTCGTCGGGAGAGGCGAGCGTGAGGTCTATTGTGTAGGGCCGCCCTATCACGATTGCTATGGGCGCAACGGCGTTGAGGGTGAAGTTGACGGTGTTGGTTGCGGCATTGTGTTTGAATGTTTCTTTCAATGATTCTCGAGTCGTCAGAGTTCTGCAGGTCCCGTCGTCCGTGAGGCGGTAGTGGCGGTGATATGTCGAGGCATTGTTCTCATTTGCCTTCAGGAGAGGATTTGGATCAGGCACTGTTCGGGGAGGGCTGAAGTTCAGGTGGTATTTATCTTCCCAGTCGGAAAAGGTCTTGGGGACTCGGGCCGTAAGGCGGTAGTAGATCTCACACTCATGGCGGCCATACGGGCCTAAACACGTGGGTGGTAACGGCTTAGTCCCCATCGTGGAGTACTCTGGAGACCAATTCTGGTCGCTGAAATCGCCGGCCGTGTAGGTAAAACTCTCAGGGAGCTGGAACGCGAAGGGGTATTCGTAAGTGTCGGCGCGCATCTTGAAAGGTCCTTTGAACAAGAGCCGCCGGTCGGTGTAGAATTCTAGTTCGTATCTATGCGTGTGCCTATTTTGGCCACTGCCTCGGACAATTTTGGTTTTGCATTTGCCTTTAAGATCGATGATAATATTTTCGACGGTCTCGTCTTCTGTGAGGGTGAGGACGACTTTGCCTACTACTCTGTCGCCGGGAATGAAGAGCCGAGGCTGGAGCTTCTCTCCATCAGAACGTTGCTCAACGAAAACTCTAAGACTATAAACCATTGCAGCGAAATAGAGATAGATATCGAATGGGCTGGAAACTTTCGAAAAGAAGCATCGGCTTGGAATGGATTGAAGGAAATGAATCTTGATAAGATGGAGGGGAAGCCATGTTGGAATTAGGTCAGGGTGGTCAGCCTGCTCCGTTGTGGCGCAGCATCCTTTTGCTCCTGCGTGCTTCGCCCCACTCTCGTAGGGCTTTTACGTTAATGGCTCCAGTAGGCAAGGATCTCCGTATTGATTATAGCAACCAGCGCTGATTCGCGAGTAGATCTTCCTCATTAGACAACCAACATCATCGACACATTCAAAGTAATCGAAATTATGTATGGTACGTAGGTAAGCTTCAACAATTGAACCAGTCATAAATTGCAGATACTAGCAAAATTCAAGTTGGCAAGTGAGGAAATTGCATTGTCGGGAGTGCGGATCCAGAGCTTGGAAGATAATGACGGACTTGGGGAAAGGATAGCATAACTCAAAAACTCCGCCAATGAGAGAACATCTGCTAAACTTCTCTAAACCTGACACTTGTCAATGGCTGTGTAGGGGTTTTCAGGCTGGAGGTGGAGCAGACGGCGCGAAAGTTGGTATCTCAAATTGGAAACAGCTATTGTACAAGTCTATTGAGAAGCTTCCTCTGACTTTAGCCTCTTGGGGACCGGCTCCTCGACTGGGCCACCATTTTCGTCTTCATTTTTTCGCTTAATAGGGCTCGACGGTGGTTCGGTTCTGGGCTCTGCTCCATTCGTTGAAGGCGCATCTGGGCTGCTTGCTGCCATGCTACTACCGTCTGATCCTCTTCTTCTAGTCCGGTCCAAGTCGTCTCCAGAGGACGCCGATTCCCCATATGGATTCTCCGTACGCTTCAATGGATTATCACTCCAGAACTCTGACAAGACTGCGACCGCTCGAACAATCTTGCCTGGCTCTCCACCCAACAACTCCCACCATGGATGTCCATTCTCATCATCTGGTATGGTATCACCCAAGAACTTCGCCGCAAAGTAGATAGCCCCAATCGCAATATCTTTCGCCGGCAGACGCAGAGAGAGTGTCGTTAAGCAACTGTCGTTGAGGAATGCCCAAGCAACGTTTCGCAGAGGTTTGTTGTCTTCGATTTGTAGCTTTTGTAGTTGGTCGTAGAGAATGGTGTATGGTGATTGTAGGACAACGTCGAATGTGAGGAGTTCAAGCATAATTTCTTCGTAGAGGAGGATGCTATCACGCCAGCGCCAGTATTCCTTCGACTGATCGTCAATTATGAGGGAGGCGTTCTTCTGGGCGACCTTAGCGACTGCGATGACGATTTCCTTTGTCTTCCGGCAGTTTTCTTCAGTCTTAGTTGCGAGAAAGAGGGCAGTGGCGGCAATGTTCTGTTCCAAAGAGATATAAGTCAGTAAGTCGTCCGCGGCTTTGAGATTTGCGTGGAATTTTGAGCGGGGCAGTATCCAGCGCGTGGGTGGGGGCAGGGAGGAGGGGTTGGAGGATGGGGAACGTACGTAATGGTGTACACCCATTTTCTCCGGGACCATGCTTTTGCGCATGTAGAAGCGTTGGAAGAAGACAGCAGCGGTAGCCAGCGTCAACTGTGGCAGTTTGAGCAGAATGCCGGCTTGTATGATGAAGTTGACGCCCTTCGCCCTGCGGCAGCGTTCTTCCTGTGGAGAAAGACCGTCCATGATCGAGGGCGCGCTGAGGACTTCTTCTTCGGTAAAAAGCCACTGACTTGACTCTTCAGCGGCCATCTTGAAGGTAGGTGAAGGCTCTGTTATGATATGGGGTTTGCGCGGTGGAGAAGTGGTTGTGTAGAGGCGTGGTGGTGAAGGTACGGCTGGCGGAATGCTTCTGGCTATGGAGTTGGAGGAGGAATGAGGTCTTCGTGGACTTGAGGGCGCATCTGAATGAAGATCAAGCTGCGGGGGACGGTATCGCTCAACAGTTGTCATGGATGGAGACAGAAGATCGGAGGAAGAGGGGGAAAATTGTCGAGGGGTTTGGAGTTTGTCGGTATAGAGACAATAGCTTGTTGTCGGGTATTGTCCTGCGTCACTCGGCAGCAAATCGCGAAACGGAATGGTCTGGCTTACTAAGCAATGAGACCTCACTCCTTCGGAACGTCTCCCTCCAAATTCGTACATCACTTCAAACATGCCAATCGAATGTCTCAATGTACTTGGTTCAAATCAAATCAATTTCCGCAAATTATCTGCATAAGACTCTTCCTAGAAGCCCTCTCTTCAACAGCACGAGCGATGAAAGCAATGCAAGCACGTGGAAGCCCAAGAACTCCCCGGGAGTGTGGGTATGTATTCTTGAAGGAAAATGCTAGTTGAGGCAGTTGCTTGCCTATTATGTTTTATCTACTTCGGATATTCACAGCACGGTCCCAGAGACATGGGAAACCCCTCTTCACAGCTTCCGGCAAGGCCTGACCTGAACGTATCTGGATCACTTGAGAGAGACTCATGCTCGAGAATTCGAAGGAGCATGCCCTGCTGGATTGTTCTTTCCAGGTTTGGGAAATGTCACACTGGAAAGGACCTTGTTCAAAGAAATTCATTCATTCGTTGTTTAACTCCAGCTATGCATCAAGACATCTGGTTTCAAGTCCTAGGACTTGTTCTTTTCCCAGATCTCTCTTTTGTTCAAAGGAAAGTAATCGTTTGCCGCCCAACTCCAGCTATGCGCGAAGAATTCTAGGTGCAAGTACTCAAGTCTTGTCCATTTCCCAGGTCTCTCATCTATTCTAAGGCAGTTATTCATCGCAGCTTTCTGATCCATCCAGGGTTATCTGCTCAAACACCTTGGTTCCTATAACTCCAAACACAATGCACTTTCAACCCTGATTGCCTTCAATCCAAATACCAACCAGACCTCAACGTCACGACCATTCAATATCTCTGATCCCTATGGGCTTCTCTCAATCCTGCAATCGCGATACGCATCTGCCAGTCCTTTTTTGTAACGGGATTGAGACCGACTGGATGAACTCGCCTGACGAAGTGTGCTTTCTTCTTTGCACTCTTGTCCGTGATTTGCATGTACGAGCATCCGACGCCATCAAGCATCTCGGTGCAAGAACGATAGATGTGGGCTTGGATGCATCTCAGGTTTGAGCATCCAGGGCCATTCTCGTCATTGAAGTCCTCACAGACAGGCTGCAGGCGACAGTGGATAAGAGGGCAAGGTCCTGGGGTGGAAAGGGAGTTGGGGCAGACACCGAAGTAATGTGCTGGCAACTTGACGATGACCTCCTTGACAGCTTTGTCGGCGGGTTTGACTTGTAGTTCAATGAATACGTCGGCTTCGTTGGTGGGTGTGGCTTCTTCGTCGACTTTTTCGGGCTCAGCGCTTGCAACTGGCTTTGTGGGAGTACTCGATATCTGACCGTTTGGCCCCGATGGCTGGGCAGGACTTTGGGGGACGAAAGCTTGCTAATCACAAGTCAGTAGAATTACTTTCGCCGCAGACCGAACCTACAGCATGTGGATCCAGCTTGGTCTCTGAGCTGTCCTTACTGCCCACAGTGCTCGCATAGGATTGATCAGACGACGGCTCGGAGGCCTCAGAAACCGGCGCCATCGGGCCCGTCCTCAAGCGCCAAAAGCCATCTTCCCCAATAGGTGGGCCAGTCTCGCCATTCTGCAATCTCTCAATGAACTTCCAGAGGATGACCTGCTTGGCGCTCTGAAGGCCACAGATATGCTCCATCTTGTCAAGCTTGTCTCTTGCGACCCGGTAGTCGAGTTTTGTGCTCTCCCAGCTCTCACTAAGGCCCTTATTCTCGAGCTCCAGGGTGTTGCGCTCAGCCCTCAAGGTAGCGTTCTCGGCTCTCAGTTTGTTGTTTGCTTTTTTCAACTCATCCCGCTCCTCTACAAGAGCTTGAATGGAGTCATACATTTGATTCGGATCGTGGTTGGCCGCCATTTGGAGGGATGAAGGATCAATGATGTAAGGAAGTTGAGGGTTCAGGGGTAGTTGGATTCGGTACGGTTCGATAAACGGTTGCTGTGCGGGTGTTGGTGGCGGGAGTGGAAGGGGAAGAGCAGGGACCTGGCCAAAATCTAGAGAAAAGTGAGTTGAAATTGATCAAATTCGCATGAGGTGCGTACGGTTCGTGATCCGGGGGAAGGGCTGGGGGATGTAGGAGCCAGGAACGTATGGAAACGTTGGCAAGGCCGAGGAAGCTCGCTGACGAGCGTAGGCTAGCTGCTGAGTAGGAGGTATGTTGCGCTGTTGAGGAGGCGTGTGAGGCATTTTGACTATCACATGGCATCAGTTTGATCTGATTGCATCGACACGGCATCACTGCGACATCACTCAACATCCCCGCCAAAAGTAGACAAAGCGCGATCGACAGGAGGGAACTCACCAGGTATTCGTTCAGACAGTGAGGCCCAAGAGCGTCTGCATGCACCGCGTGCATCGAAATTAAAAAGCGCGGTGCAGGAGGTTTGTTTGAGTGGGTGGATACAGGAATGATTCAATAACCAGCTATCGATCTATTGACGCTACAACTCCTTAAGCGAAGTCACGGGATACAGCATGGCATCTGATTGTCGCCGTTGCATTCACGCACGATAGTTCATGCAATCCGGTAGTCCTGGCACTTACTTTACTCTTTGTCAGGAGTTCACTGAATCCTTCAAAAGCCAACAGGGCTGCTGCGTTGTATCTGAGGGTCAACTTGGGGGATTGAACTGGGCATTTTGTCATTTGGATTACATGTGCAATGTATCTCTTGCCTAGAACGCTCTTGGTATGACTACAGTTCATTTTCGCCCTTTTCAAACCCATAATCACTTGTTCTTTTTGCAATTATTGATTTGTTGTGAGTTGCAGTTGCGGAGTCTACTCATTGCTTCGGAATACCTCGGATGCGATGACGTACCTAGAATAAAGGTTTCGAGTGAATTAATATCGGGTCCAAGGGCATAGGTGTCTAGACATGGTTGATGATCATGGTCGGTCTAAGAGACAATGAGGTTGCTCTTGAGTGGATGTCTCCTTTCTTTAAAGCGAAGCGAGGAAAAGTGGATCAAGAAAGGGGTGAATCATCTGTACCGAGGCCTCTAGCCCCTATACTGCCAAAACCCCGATTTTTGTCCATTTGCGAATCGACCAATTCGCGATTGGGCCGGAACAGATCATTTAACAAGGATAGAAATCAGCTCCTCGTTCTGCTTTTACCAGACCTTTATTGTTGAGCTGCTGTACCATGAAATATCCTACCTTTTAGTCTTGCTGAGTCTTGTTGTCAAAAGTTTCCTTGCTGTTATATTGGGCTTCTCATTCAATAGTAATTTGCATCTTATCTTGGACTGGAGGTAGTGTCTTAATGGCCTCGATTGCGTGACTAGAATCCCGGCGAAGAATAATTCATGTTTACCACCAGTCTCTATCAAAAGTAGACCATATAGAGTCATAACGCATGGCGTTTAAATAGAGATCGTATTGGCCGGCATACCCCACAACATTTGGCATCCGAGGTTATTAAATAGAAACGTCGATTGGCACCTACTTCATTACCCATGCTAATTTAATTTCTCCTTCCCTCCTTCCTCACATGACCACTTTTACCTAACATTATAGAGGCTGTCCGAAGATGTAGGGATTGCCTCCAGCGAGTAGAGATTGTGAAAAAGTGGAAGGTGGAGTATAAAGGAATCTTAGAGTTAAGCATTCAGTCTATGATATACCTTCAAGGTCATCGTGTGCCCAAATTTCATCACAGAGATCTGTACTTGAAGAGGATCGCAAATACAAGTCGGAGAGGGCCTCAACCCTGCGAACGAGACGACCACGTTAAGGATTCTAATCTAGCCGGGGGAGGTTGCGGTGTCACAAGCCTGGTAGGGCAATCTGGGAGAAGAGACATGTTGAATGTTACTGATCTGATGTTCTGTTGTCATTTGGTTGGCTGTTGTCAAGTTTATGTGGGGGCATTCCTTTCATTTTCTGTCGGCTCTGGAGTGAACCTATATATCTAGCTGAGAGGTCGCCTTTAGGTCGGTAATAAAAATGCGACAATAGTATAAAACTAAACAAAGGCGATACCAATTTCCGAGACCCTTAGCGTTTCCTATCACCGTCGTGCAGTGCATGTCGAAACCTATTCAATGAGCAAAAAGTGGGTTTGAAAAGCAAAGTCGATTGCTAAATCATTCTTGAGTGACCCGCAACTACAAATAAAGCAGTGCGTCAATCTGGCACGACGATCAACCAACCTGCTCAATCTTCCTCTGCCCCTCAACCCCAATGTTAATCTCCTCCTCCACACCCTTAACATCAATCTGCTCCCGCCCCTTCCGTACCATCTCCACATCCGGCACACTACTATGCTTTTCGCCCTCAAACAGCGCATCGATCTCCTCGAGCGTTTTCCCCTTCGTCTCAACCCACCAGTAAACCTATTTCTGTTAGCCATAGACCACAATCGAGCGCAGTGAGGGCCAAAACTTACAATCATGCCAAGAATAATGATATCCCAGCTCCCGTTCACAAAGTACATCTTCCAAGTGATGTTCGCCAGGCCGATAGGCATAATGAAAACAAACACAAGCGCAAAAGCATTCAAAGCAAAACTCGTCCCAGCAACACCGTTGGCGCGGATAGAGAAATTGAGCACCTCCGGCGGATAAAGCGTAAGCAGCGGCGTCCACCCAATACTATAGAAGCCCTGAAACAGAAACATGACCGCCACATCGCCATAAACAAGCGCCTTGCTCGCCCGATCCGGGTTATCAGCATACATTTTCGACAGCCCACCTATAATAAATAGACAAATAATGAGCAAGGCTTGGGAGAGAATCGCTGTTGGTTTTCGCCCCCAAAAAGCCGTCAGGTACGTTCCTCCTAACGCGCAGCCGAGACACCAGACGTTGAGTACGACGTTCGCTTTGAGTTGTTGGATTGGGTCTTTTATCCCAGCAGTAGTGAGCTCTGCGCCAAGGTAGTAAGAAGCGATGATGTTGCCCGCGATGCAGGAGAATATCCCGGGGGAGATTCCGATGAGAAACCGTTTTCGCGAGACAGGGGTCTTGAAGATTTCTTTGGGGGAGAGGGTGCGTCCTTCTTCTTTTTCCCAGCGGAGAGTGTCGATGATCTCTTTATAGACGGCGAGGACGACAGGGTGGGAGAGGTCGCCGTTTGCGTTTGTTTGGGCGACGACGAGGCGCGCTTCTTCGTAGCAGCCTTGGTGGACGAGCCAACGTGGGGATTCGGGGCTGAGAGGTCAGTCTTGAGGAGTATTGGAGGGGGGGTGGAAGGGGGACTCACATGAATGGCAAAACGACGATGCAGAGAACTGAGAAAATCCCTTGGAAAAGTGAGGGAGCTCGCCATGCCCAGGTAGACTGCCAGGTTCCTGTGCCGAGAGTGATTCCGGCAGCAATCAAAGCCCCAACACTGCACTCAATCAGTCTCAGATCCAGGAAGGGGATTTTCAACACTCACTAGTAAAAGTTATTCAGCATCCCAACACCCCACGCACGCCATTGACTCGGGAAAGTTTCGCTCAAGTAAACACCTCCCGCAATGCCCGACAACGCAGCACCAAAACCCAGCACAATTCTCGCAATAACAAACATGGCAATATCTTGCGCCGCGGTCTGGAGCAGCACACCTACCAACGTTATCACAGATCCCCAGAATATCGCAGGCCTGCGGCCCAAACGGTCAGCAACAATTCCTGATACGAGTGGCCCGAAGAATCCGCCGATGAAGATGGAGGCTGTGTTCAGACCCGTGGTTGCGGGGTTTAGGACGAAGTAGTCGGTATATGAGGGGAGGATGTTGAGTCCGTTCATCATGGAGCCGTCGTAGCCTGCTGTCTGAAGGGTGTGAGCAAGGTTAAGGCGGGGAACGGGCGGCACGCACGGCGGATTGAACCATTGAGCAGAACATGAGGAGGAAGGAGAGGAAGAGCGTGGATTCTGGGATCCAGGCGGGCATCCAGGTCGCTGTTGGGGACTTGGTGAGCATCTTGCAAGCCCTCTCAACCGTAAATCAGGTATATCCTCAAAATTCCAAGTACCGACGCATGTGTTCTGCACCCCAAGCTCGGCGCAAATCCAACAATATAACAAAAACGGATAGACACAACCGAAAGCTTATATATAATCGTATTGATACCCTCCCCGGTGCAACGTCACACTTGCTATCTCTTTATCTTTCACTTGAATAATCGGACGGCCGCTCGCTGGGGAGCTCGAGGCTTATTTATGTTTGGCTGCACTGGCACCGCAGATCCGCATGATAAGCTTCCCATGCTCTTACCGCATCTCTGGATAGTGGGAGTGGATGCCCGCCTCCCCAACGCGATATGTTGGTGCGACCCATCACTTCAGTGATAGCTTGATAAACTTCCCGACGAGGGTCAGCAATTAGCTTCAGTATCTGGAAAGGGGAGGTGCTCAGGGGGTCCCAAGAATGGGATGGTCACGTGAGCACCCTTTCACTTTCCCCTTCTCCCTCTAAGTGCTCTTAAGCCAGTCTATTTCCAGCATCAATCCCGCCATCGCGATGGGAGGTGGACCTACACGGCGCCCAGTCATTGCAATTGCAGGGCTGGCCTGTGAGACATCAACGTTCTCGCCATCCAAAACCCTGGCACCAGCATTCCATCCCAAGCGCGGACAAGATATCATCCAAAAATACCCATTCCTCCACCCCGGAACTCCGCTCTCCTCTCTCGCCGAGTGGAAAGGCGCTCTTATTGGACATGCGCTCCCTGGCGGGATCGTGACCCGGGAGGCTTTCGAGGAGTTGACTGGCGAAATCGTGTCAAGACTTCAAGAGACAGTGGCGACGTCGGCCGCGCTCGATGGCCTGTGGTTCGACATCCATGGCGCGATGTGCGTTGAGGGTCTCGATGATGTCGAAGCCGAGCTTTTGAGACGTGTGAGAGAAGCGGTTGGGAAGGATGTGATTGTGAGTGCGAGTATGGATTTGCATGGGAATGTTTCGAGGGAGTTAGCTCATGGATGTGATCTGATCACGTGCTATCGGATGGCGCCGCATGAGGATACGATGGAGACCAAGGAGAGGGCCTGTCGGAATCTGGTGGAGTTGTTGGTGCAAAAAGAGAGGAGGAGACCGATTAAGGCGTGGATTCCTGTTCCGATTTTGCTGCCCGGTGAGCAGACAAGTACGAGGGTGGAGCCAGCGAAGCATATTTATGCTGCTGTTCCGGAAGTTGAAACAATTGGGGGTGTTATTGATGCGGCGATATGGGTTGGGTATGCATGGGCTGATGAGCCGAGGAATCGAGGAGCTGTTGTTGTCACAGGATGGGATGAGAAGGTGGTGGTCGAAAGTGCGGAGAAGCTTGCAAAGCTCTTTTGGGATGCTCGCAAGGACTTTGTGTTTGTTGCTCCTCATGGCTCTTTTAAAGAGTGTCTTGATGCAGCACTCTCTTCCAAATCTCGACCTTACTTTATCTCAGACTCGGGCGATAACCCAACAGCTGGAGGATCAGGAGACATGACCTGGGGACTCACCAAACTACTTGCTCGACCGGAATTCAAGGACGCGTCTGGTCCAACTGTCATATACGCCAGTGTCCCAGGACCGAAAGCTGTACACACGGCAATAGAAGCGGGAATCGGCGCCATTATCACCGTCACTGCTGGAGCTGAAGTTGACAACATTCATTCCGGGCCCCTCACTATGACAGGGCGGGTCCACTCCATCAAGCACGGCGACAAAGATGCCCTGATCGAAGTTGTTCTCCAAGTCGGCAGCGTCTTTGCAATCCTCACTGAACTCCGGAAGCCATACCATCACGAGAAAGACTTCACCAATCTCAACCTGCGTCCCCGATCTGCAGATATCGTGATTGTGAAGATCGGGTACCTAGAGCCAGAACTGTATGATATGGCAAAGGACTGGATGCTTGCCCTAACTCCTGGTGGTGTTGATCAGGATCTGGAACGACTTGGTCATCATAGGATTCGGAGGCCAATTTGGCCATTCAATAAAACTTTCGAGAAATCACCAGATTTGAGTGCGAGGATCATAGCGATGTCGAATAAGCCTCTCACTGGGCCAGATGAGTAAAGAAAGGCATTGTGCACGAGTACATAAACTCTATACAGTACCATAGGACCATGACCTAACGTTCCGTGAAACGATGAATCAACACCGTGCTATATATACCCTTAGGAAGTTGTCTCGTATGCCGCAAATCCCACAAATTGTGTCTTCCCTCCAGTCAATGGCTTAGGAACCCACACGACTCGACCTACTTGTACTTGCACCTCCCAGGGTTTGAACAACAAATCATCGATATTTGCCACTCACAGTTTCAAGCAATTCTGGTTCCCAGCCAGAATGCAGTACATTCGGGATTAACTTCAATGGATTTTAAATATAAGAAGAATAAAACTTAATTAATTTCCTAGGAAGAGAAAAGGAGAGCAAGGTAATGTATTTGCGGACTGTTTACTTCGGACGTCACATGACCAAGCCACGTGACTAGTAGAACTGAAACCCTTACTATAATACTTATATATAAAGATAAGTAAAGCGAGTTAAGGAGCAATACTAGCTATTAAGCCTATTATGGTAAGGCGGGGTCTAAATTAGGGTAGAGGAAACCTTATTTTTACGCCTTAACGCCTGCGCCATCTGGACAGTCACGTGGAATACCACGTGACTAATTAATTTAATTAAGTAGTTAATTAATTATAATTTAATTACTCGGGTTCTGACTTGTTTTCTTTAATTACTGGCCAATAATTATAATTAATTAAATTATTTGACATACTCTTTATATAGCACATTTGCTGTCAAGTGCTGCTGTTGTTGGATGTTTTGGCTGTCATAACCGTAATATATAATATCCCCAAAATCAAGTCTTTTAGGAGCGGGTCTTTTTGAATAAAAGTATTTGAAGCTGGGAAGAATAACAAAACACTCCACAGTTGTCGCGAGTATCAAATGGGAATAAGAGTGTAACTTCCGTAGTTCCTCCTTGAGTCAGGCTCATTAGGGATGAAGTTTTTGAGGCTGAGGCGAGTCGACCGACCGCCGGCAACCAGCGACAGGGGAAATTGTTTTATTATTTTCTGATTCAAGGATACTCGCTCTTGTGTTGCAGTTCACGCTAGTATCCTAGTGTTTGACCGTAATAATTAGCTTTGTACTCCTCCCAAGCTAGTACTGGGCCCGTGATTCACACCCCCTTACATCGGCACTTGTGCGAAACCTATTAAATTCTGCGATAGCCTTGACCACACCACAAGTAAGAATGCCATAGGTTGTCAACACAGCTGAACTGAATCACTAACGCCCAGGGCGATTTGGTATTAACGATATCGTTCAAATACTGCTGTAGGGAGGGCCTGCAGAAAGAAAACCTTTTATCCACAGCTTTGACGAAAAGGAAGCTATTCATCTGGGTGGAATTAATTTGAAACCCCAGCTCCCCTCGTCTCTGGGAAACTGGTTTGGTAAGTCGGCAACTTGGATGCGCTTCGTGAATTAAACTCTGATAGATAGGTAGTAGGTAAGGTTAATAAACCGTCACATAAAGGAGTGCCACATTCTAAGTAAAGATAACATTAATCCCATGGTAGTGTAACGCCAAACGCAGGCCGTTAGAGATACCCTCAATTCCATACCAGGTATCGTGAGATTGAGTAATCTAAGAACATTCTGCCACGATATGAAAAAACCCCCTTTTCATAACTAGAGAGCACGAAACAACACCCACAAGGCCACCAGATTGGAATCGGCCTCGACAGTAGCCGTGACAAAAAAGCTCACTCAAGATCGCAATCGTCGACTGCTGTCAGAAATCGGTTGATTGCTCTGATAGATAGGAAGGGGACCGTCCATCTCATCGTATGAGACAGTCTATTTCACGGAGAAATATCAGTAACGGCCATGATACGGGGACACACTTGTATTACTTACAACATCATTCTTGACTCTGATGGCACGTATGTCGTCCGGCTTGACAATCTCTTCTTGCGAATCGGTAGCGTTCGATTGCCACTCATTGGCGCGTTTCTTATCATTCGCGAACGAATCAAGTGGGATGCTTGTTCTGCGAAGTTTGCCGTTGCTGTTGACTTTGTCCCTGCTCCTGCTTGAATAGCCGTGGTTGCTGCGCGTGGCGGAGCGGTTGGCGATGAGGGACTTAAATGCTGGAAGGCAGCCTACTATCACAGCTGGATGCGATATAATTATTAGATGTGGGGGTTCCTCTACAATTTGATGTGGAATTAAGCAACATGATGAATAGAGCGTGGGGACTCACATATCGAAGAGGCGAGGGTAGACCAGACCTCAAGAAGGACGAGATTCACAAAATACTGCTCGACGAGAATCTGTTTTGCTCGAATGATTGCGAAAATGATCATGACAAAGCACAGGCTGAACACACACACCAGGCCTGCCTTTTGTTTCAAGGATATCTGCAGATTGTAGATCAACTTGATAGGCATGGCCATCACTGGCGATATTGTCAACACCCTTCTCAACTCAGTTCGCAAGTGCACTTACTGCATAAATCGGTGAAGATGTCGATAGCAGTGCTGTAGTAGACACTCAATCTCGAGGCCCAAATATCCTTTGCAGTATTGCATTGATTGAACTTGAAGAAGTTCGTAATAGGATGGCATGAAGTGGCAAGCGTGATCCAGCATCCTACATAGGCAAGGAGTGTAAATGCGGCGAGGATATACCACAAGCGGCGATAAATCTGAAGCTCTCGGAAGAGTTTGTAATAAAGCGCCAGAAAGCTCGCTTTGACACACCAGAGAACCGTCCAGAATAGTAACATAATCGCAAACTCGAACCTCAAATAGGCTTCGACGGAAGATATCAGGTCGGCGGATATCGGAATCACGCCAGCTATAGTGGCCAACATAAAATAAACATTCGGCAGCTGAATCGTCTGAAGGATGCAGCTCGTGAGGAGTGTCGCCAGAGCGAGGAATATCCAGTAGTCCTCCATGGTCAGTCGTGCCATAAACTTGAGGCGGATGGCCGTCCGCAGGATGACGAGGAGGCATGCGACACTGAAACTTGTCCACACCAAGGCCAGGAGGGACTCGCGCGGTAGAGAGCCTACAGACTCGAGATTTGCCATGTTTGTGATTTTCTCAGTATCGTTGCTTTTGAGATGTATGTAGCGTCTTTTGTCGATGAGATGCGAAGGTGGCTGTCCGTGCCCGTATATCAATAAATTCTTAGATTGAGACACGGGGTATGAAGTTGTGGAGAGTCAACAGCTTAAAGCTGGCTGGATCATCGTTGAGAGGAGACTTGGATCATGCATAGCACGATACTTGTACCCCACTGGTTGTATTTATTAGCGCAGTCACGTCCTCCTAGCTTGATAGAGCATCCCTTTGCCGGAGATTTCCAGTTGTTGGGGATTGACGGGGGGGAGATGGCGTGGTTCAAACCTGTTTAGGAAAGGTTCCCATAGGGGGCCAAAAAGGGGCCGTGGAGGGGAGGGGTGTTTATGGATTCCCCCCCGTATCACTCTCCGGGGACTGAAGCCGCCAAGTGCCAAGACGAACTTCATAGGCCATCGATTTGGGAGAACCCTCCACTCAGGAACCAACTCGGCTTTTTGGAACACCACTGCATCGCAGCACCAAGCTAAGCAAGGGGCAAGTACCAGTGGCGTAGGAAGGGTGCGGGGGTCGGCGCGTGCTTTGCGGGATGGCAACGGCGGGAGTCTCGGGCGGCTTGACTAACTACGGGTATTAAGAGGAATCTCAGGGAGCTATGAAGTGGATAAAGTAGAAAACAAGCATAAATTATCAAAGCCTCAAAGTGTTTGACAGAGCGGTGGCCAACATTGTTCTGCTAGGTATGCCGCAGCACTGCTGCCTTTCCTTTAACACGCCATTGAAAAGGGGTTGAGTGAATGAGTGAACGAGTGAATGACTGCGAAAGGCCTCGATTTCCACCATGCCATGGCTACCTGAGGCTCTGTAGCCTATGGGATGACAAAAACCCAATGTGATAATGAGGGTGTTTGATTCACATTCTCATTGGCGCATCAACACGGGGTTCCCATGTACATCCAGAAGCGGAACCAATGACACCCCGGATGACAGCACTGCTGAAATTTTCAGGAACCAATCCACGGAAGAAGAGCCAATCGTCCTCACCTGCATAATTTGCTTCACTTTTCAGCAACTGGCTTTCAGGCACGGCACATATCTTGAGCCACTGAAGGCACGGTCCGTAATCGGGAGCCTTTGTCTCGCTAAGGTTATATTTAATAATCGCAACATCACAGAATATGAACACGTCTGACTCTATTGTTCTCGCAGCTTATCAACTTAAGGCCCGGAGCGTGCCCGAAAAGGTCATCAAGCACTCTGGTGACTTTACACAACTCTCGATCCAGCAACTTGGCGCAACGAAGATAATCAAAGAAAACCAGCTACCATCTCGGGAAATTATGCAAAGCTTTGGATGTGAATCACTTGGAGGTGACTAGTTGAGTTCCAGACGAGTTCCACATCAATTATGAGGGCTACTGGCTAACTACCACGATTGCATTGCGTCCGAAGTGTTCTGTCAGCTGAGTGGCTGTAGCCGAGGCATCTTCACGTGACCTAAAGTCACGTGAACCATTAGTGATGCAAGCGATATGACCTCGTTGCATGAGTTCAAACCCTCCTTCTCTCTTGCATTGTTCTTTACTCTGTCTCGCAACTTCATGGCCCATCGACCAAGGTTGTTGCTGTGCATGAGGCTGAAGGCTGGCACTGACCCTTGCTGAGTAAGACAAGAATTAGCCGAGGGTCCCGGATACATGGACACGGACAGGCCGCATGCGAGACACGTCACTGTACTAATTCATATCAGCCTTGCTTTCGAAGTTCGATCCGGGCGGTGTGCAACTGGTGGGCTGTGCGGGGTTGATCCAAGTATTTGGAGATCGTCCCTATCGATGGCTGGGGTTGAAGTGACATCGAACGATCAAGTTCAGTAAAAACGTTGTTGCGGTGAGGCGTGCTCAGGCGCCATGGACGCCATGGACGCCCTGCATGTACAGTACATGAGCAAGATCCATCTTGGGTTTCTGGGCCGCCCGAACGCCAGCCCAGATTGGACCAGCAGTCCACTTGTTCATCATCTTGCGGCATGGCAAAATCCGTCCGTTGTCGAGCCGCCACGTTGCTGTCATTGACGCAATATTCAATATTTCAGAGATATCTGATAACGATCGCTGGTCCTGCATAACAAGGCGCCGCCTGCCATTCTTTTGTGTTTTGGGAAGACTTTCTCATTGTTGCAAAGTCTTGTCTGTACTGCTAGAAATACTGTGAATTCCAGCCATGTACTTGTTTGACTTGAGTGTTGTGTGCGTCTGTCTAGCTTGTCTGATACCATCAACACGGAGTCTGCCGTGGAAGGTTGAACCTGGGAAACATCATGAGCAACGAAATTGGGAGCAGCGCAACTTCGATACAGTCAGAAAAATCTACGATCTCACAATCTATCCCAATCAACTCCCAATATTGCAACAAGGAGCCGCAGGGGTCCCCCCAGGCCTCTTCAACGAGGAAGCTACTGGTCGAGTCGATCCGGTGGGCAATTTCTCCGGCTTCGAGGATTCGATCGAGTACTTCTTCGCTCTCGCACCGGTCCCCTCAACGAACGCGGCCTCGACAGCTATTTCAAGGATTCAGATTACTGAGTTCAGCTCTGCTTGCCCAGATGTTGCAGCTTCAGTGGTCTACCTGTTCTGCAATGTTGAGGATCAGAGTGCAGACAATGGAAAAGCCCTTGCGCCGTTAAAAGAGGTGAGTAATGAAATCAATTTTCAGCACATGCGCGCGATCATCCCATTAATAAGGCCCTTGCCTTCCAGGTAGCATTTTGGAAGTTCGACAGACACGGAGCGGTTCTGAAATATGACGCCTGGATCCCGAACCTCAACGACTGGATCGAGGCTGGTCTGGGCATCCAAATAAACAATCCTCAGGTCGCCGCGCAATCAATCCAACAACTCTGCGGTGGCACCCAGCAGAGGTGCACAGGGGCAAATCAGCAGTGGGACACCGTCGAGGAATGCATAGCTACCTTATCTGGGAAACAATACGGGAACTATGACGAGGCATGGGGCGACAATATCGTCTGCCGGACTATTCATCTTGTACTCACCCAAGTGCGGCCGGAGGTAAGATCTCTTGCCCATCAGATTCGTGTCTCGTGATCAAAGGTAGATACTAAATTGTTTTCAAACAGATCCATTGCCCTCACGTTGGACCCACTGGAGGCGGCAAATGTGTGGACTATGCATATCCGCTTCAATACTTCTCCGATGAAGCCCTTTACGGTGATAAACTCGGTGAGACGTTCAGCTGCCATGATCACCATTGATTTCTCGGTTGGCTCGACCGCACCTTCGGATTTAGTGTTGATTCCACTTGCGAGCCGTTGAAAAAAATCTCTCAAATGATCCTCTTATCTTGTATATTCGTCGGCCGTCAGCTTTGCTGAGCTCATTGGGACTTCTATCCCCTACACTTGCTCTAGATCCCTCCAGTGTCTAAATATAATGTAATACAACTAACGAAGGGGAAAAACACAAACCTCTTTCTAGAAGTAGCTAAGCAGTGACACTACCCCTCTCTCTCAACATCCTCACACCCAACTACTCAACCCTCTCCTTACTCTCCTTTCCCGCCTTCTCCTTCCCAGGCCTCGAAAACACCGCGCCAAAGAACGAAAATATACTACTCGACCTCAACACCGTGAAATAAAACAACGTCAAGCCCGTAACCACAACCTCATCCCTAACTTCCTCCCTCTCCGCCGCCACCCCCAGCAACTCAATAACCCCAACGTTCTTCGCAGCCCACAAATTCACCTGAAACCGCGCAACAGGCATCCGGTTCCTATCCAAACACACAAATCCACACGTCTTCATTCCCGTGTCACAAACCCAAGTCATGGGCACCGGCTCCCCATTTTCGGTGTCGGAGAATAGAGTGGAGAAGTACTCGTACTCGATCTTAAACCGTTTTTGTGCTTTCAGCTTGATGTCCTGGCCGCGGACCAAGCACTCTGCGTCGATGGAGATAGGGTGCAGGGTCCCGGTGCCGAGGATTGAATCATCGACGGCGGATTTGAAGAGGAGCTGTGATTTCATGGTCTTGAATTCGATGATGTAGAGCGGTTTCGAGGGCGTGGAGTCTGAGTTTTTGGAGGTGACGAATAATTTGAATTTCTTCCAGGAGAAGTCTACTTCTAGTGTTTGGGGTTGAGATGAGTTGATGGTTTTTTGAGGGCTTCCTAACTCGTAGGAGGGTTCCATTTTGTTGGTAAGATTATGAATTTACGTGACAAGAGTGCAAGGAGGAGTAGTGATTTTTGCTTGAGATATATGGTTGCGATTTGAGTATTCTTATATTTTGTGAGGGGAAAGGGTTCCAGTGCCCGATTGTTGATCGCATGTAAAGGATCGGCAACCGTCGGCCTATCAATTTTTGTTTTACGCGTATATGCAGCTCAGCTCAGCATAGCCCCACTATTGCCAAGCACAGAGAGGCAGTGATATGCTTGATCGTTTTGTCTATTTCTGGACTTTGTGGAATGGAAAGAAGAATGAAGAAGTCTTGGAGGCAGATGGATCGGAAAGAAATAGTGAGTTGAGATTGGTCAAACGAGCAAGCATGAAGGCTTCATCACGTGACCATGGTCACCCCTATTTCGCACCTTTGAGGAAGGAGGGAGTAAATCAACGTTTTTGCTTTGCGAATATATACACCTCGTGCTCTACCCTAGCGCAGGCTAATCCTCGGCGAAGTGCAAATCCTTTTCCCCATCCGCAAAGGTGAAGCTATTCACAACACCTTCCGATATACTAATATGAATTGTTAACAGCCTCGCTTCTACTTGTTGAAGGACACCCACTCAATAAGATTATTGTGAACAATCATCCCACAACACACCCTTTTATTTTCTTTATTCCACCAACTTCCCACAGACAATCATCCAGTCACCTTCACATTTTTTGGAATGGAGATTTGTTGACAATAGCAGCTGGCCCTCCAAATCAAGGACTTGGGGGCATATATATACATGGTAGCTTGATTTGTCAGGTAATGCCCATATGACAAATCAGCTGACGTGGCGGCCATCGGCAACTTCCTGTTCATTCGACTACACTCCCTGAAACAATCGGCGGGCAAAGTCGAACTCACACCTCCTCGCGGTGCCTGCTAGGGACTCTGTATGGAATTCTATACAGATAACTAAGGTCTACTGTAAGCTTAGCTTGCACAATGATCAGAGTCGCAATGGTAGTGTTATTTAGGGCCGGGGCAAGGACTGGACGATTGCATAGGGGCGACTCGACTCTCTGACAGAGGATTTGGCCAGATCTCACTGTGCAACAACTGTCGGCAATGAGCTTCTCGACTTGTTATCGCATGCGGATCGAGACGACAATACTACCCTCTACCCTCTACAAGAGGCCGGGCAAGAGCCATAGCAAGCACTTTGGATCATGCCACTTCTCCTCCTCGAATATTGTCACGTGCTGCGCACAGGCGTACATATAGCTTCTTCACCGCCCTTAGGGCACCATGATTCATTACAAACATACTAAAACACACTACATTCCACTTCCACAGCTTGTCCAGGCCGTGACAAATATCCTCAGCCAACGACTATACCTTGTCCTCGATGCGGCTGTCGGGCCACTACTCGTGTCGGCGAGCAAGCACGAACGATCTCTCCAACTCGAGGTAAGACACAGCGTGGATACTAGGGAAGGGAAGGGCACACATGCAGAGACTAGATATACAGAGATTCTCGACTGCTAGTCGCGATTTATAAGGAACCTTCGGGGACTAGTTAAATATACACCAGATTTTTGCAAGGTTTTCTCCTCGAGAGGTAGTATACGATGGTGTAAAGGAAACTAGGCTGTCCCTGTAGCTATGGTACTATCGTGAATACGTCTTGGTATAGATAATTACGGCCTTCAGTGGCACGCATGGGTCGAAAGGCCTGGAACGTCCACTTTAAAAATAATTGAACTCATCATCATCATCATCACCCTGAAACAATCGAGGTTTCCACGGGCGATATCACCTTTGACACGAGAAAAGGGGCTGCAAGCGAAATTACGAGGGGTGGCACAAGCAAACAAAAAACTGACGGACCGTGGCGTTTCGGGAGTCTACAGTGCAGCTGGTTTTTTGTATGGTCCCATCGGGTGAGATTACAGGGGTTTGGATTGAAGTAATCCAATTTCGAAGTAAATTAACTAGATGAATTCACGTCAGGCATCAACTTCCCATTTATAGCACAGCAAAGAGGACACAGCAAAGCTGTGTCCTGTTTGCTGTACATTAACTATATCTTTATAGTAAGTAACCCAAATACTGTTTTCTAACTGTGTCTAACTGGTGTAAACCATTTCTAGAGCGATCCCAAGCAGGTGCCTCCTACCGACCCCTGACCCCTGGCAAACCTTAACTACCGATAACCGGAACCCTAACTCATAACCCTGAGCCCCCTCGCAGGCTCGGGACTAACCGTAACCCCTAACTAATGCGTTTCTAGACCGTGTCAAAACTGTTATAAAAGTATTATAGACCTGTGCTCTGTCTTGAACATAAAAAGTCGATTTTCTTTCAGTCAAAAGCCAGGCAGAAATAACCTGGTACGTCCTCATTCGCACCCCTGTAACTTACCTGGTGGGGCACGCAGGTTAAGCCGGTGCGCTGCTTACCGGCATTCCGGAAGCACTATTCAAAAGTAAGTCGTAATTGATTGGCTCTTATTTGACAAACACGCTCATTTACCGTCACAATTTGATCGGAAGAAGGCTCTTTTATGCAAAAGCTTCTAGCTGGTGGCAAAGTTGCCAGCGATCCAGGTCGCTTTAATTGTCAAGCCAAGCGAGCCAATTAAGAGCCTTCCCAATTTCATACCGCGGCCTTCCTAATACATGAAAGCGGCCCCAACGTTATTCCCTGCCAGGTGCGAGCCACGCCAGGCTGCCATTCAACCCATTCAATCCATTCATTACCTAAGAATAGCTCTTAAGAGAGCTAAACAGTTTCAGGCCACTAGCGCGAGTTTAGCGTTAATAAGCTAATAATTCAATAACGGTGTTTTATCGCCTGCGTGCCCTACTTTTTCTTCCTAATTAAATACCAACGATCGCAGATTGAGTTCATGCACGCGCGCGCATGTCGCCCAAGATTCCGCACGACGGGATCGGACAACACGGAGACGTAAGGTAATGGGTACGCGCGCATTTCTATCCCATCCTGTCATCACTAAATAACGCCTTCTTATGTTAATAAAGGCTAATAAGCGTTTCGCATCAGGCAGTCACGCTCTGGGCTCATTTTCAAGGCACGCTTTCCACGTCGTTTCGTCCCTCCGCCGAGTGATTGCGCCGACGACAACACCGTACCTCGATTTATCCTAATGTGTTCTTCATCATCACTACACCTCTGATTATGGGAAGCATCCAGGAAATGCCTACCATGGAGATGACGTCTGAGTCGAGAGACGTTGAGATGCGAGATGGTGAAGATGACGTTCCCTTGAATGCGACCGGGGCCGCTTCACAGGCAGAGCAGGCCAACGGAATTAGCGATGCGCACGACCCAAAGAAATTTCATCACGTGTCGAACGGTCACCTGACCTATGCCACCCAAGGAGCAAGCAATTCACCTGAGAATGACAATCATGTCGACCAGCCTCTTCCCTCCGTTGAGAAAGATGAAGACCACTCACCTTCAACTGCGGCTGCTAAGTATGAGAAGACACCTGAAAGAGAACGACGAGAAGCCGAATCTTCCCCAACCCAGTCCAGACATCAAAACTCAGCTTCAGCTTCAGCCTCGGCCAACTTTCAGACCTCCGCCGAGTCTATCAAACTCGAAAAGGAGATTGCACGTCTTAATAAGGTTCTCGACGAGACATCTGCTCAAGCAGCCCAAAAGGTTCTTCACGATAAATGGCGATTCTTCCTCTTCGACCAATACGACGAGTCTCATATCTCATTCATCCTTCGTGCTGGTTTCAAGAACGCAAACCCCACCGTTACTGAGAAAGTCCTCCAGGATAAATCTCTTTTTAAGGAGAAGCTCATCGACGTTGCGAGCAGGAAAGCCGCCGTGATTGAGAAGGTGATCACAAATGCAACGGTGCCACAACTCGTTCACGCTTGCCCCCAGAGAGTCCTCGATGAAGTTCTGGCTGAACGATTGAAGACAGTCTCTGCGAAACAGCTTATCGCATGGCTTGCCCGGGCTGACAGGCTTGGATATAAGATGGACGACATCATCGATGAAGACGACGAGTCGGTTGTCCCCAGAGCTGCCAGCGTTGACGCCGATATGACCGAGGTCTTCGAAGTCGAGCCTGCCCCACGATTTGCATCATCTTACCGCGATCCTCTTCTTGCAGAGCAAGAAAAAAACCTTGAAGCACAGCGCATTGAGAAGCTTAAGGCAGATGTTGTTCGTCAACAACAGCAGCACCAGCAGCACCAGCAGCACCAGCAACAGCAGCACCAGCAACAACAGCTACCTCACCAGACTCAAGCTGGCCAGAAGCTGAGCTGTCCCGACTGTCGTGTTGTGTTTCCGACTACGTCTGGATACACATATCATACCACCAAGAAACCTTGCAAGAAAATCCCGCCGGTGCTTAGTTCTAAATGGTGGTGTGAAAATTGTATCCAAGGCTTTACGACCAAGCAGGGCATGGACTATCACAAACTAAAGGGAGTTTGTACCGCCGAAGACATTGCTCCTGCTACCTCTCCGTCTAATCAACTTCTGCAAGAGGCTGCTTCCCAGGCCCAGCGTCCCCCTCCAGCACCAACTCCATCGCAGGTCCATGTTCCCTCTATCCCTCGCCCGCCATTTACGAGCCACCCCCCACCAACTCAATCGACGCCTGCCACATCACACATCTCTTCAACACAAGTGGTACCGAGTCAAAAGTCAAACCCTCAAGTGACTATTCAGCGACCTCCGCTCCGCACGCCTTCCGCTCCCACACCCCCAGTCTCCACACCAGGTCCGCGAAAGCAAGCCCCTCCCTCAGACGTTCGCCAATCCCCTTCCGAACTGCCAGCAGAGCGTTTGGCGGCTCTTAATAGGGAGCTTCAGGACGCAGATGACCGGTACCAACAACAGATCGATGAGATCCCCGCTACCTATACCGAAGCAGAGCGAACTACACGCCTGGTTTCATTAAAGAATGGCAACGCCTCTCGTAAGAGCCAGATCCGAAAGGCTTATGGCGTCAGTCTACGGTTGCGAGAGAAGGATAAGCTAGCTAGAAAGGCTGCGAGAGTTACACCGCCAGGCACAGCAGCTTCTGAACACAGATCCATTACATCAACGACTTCACAAGCCACGCCTACGAGCACACCTCCAATCTCCTCATTCGCCCCGATTAATACTCCTCCGCGTATTGGCCCTAGCCCAAGTGACGATAGCCGCCCAGGCAATCCTCCGCATCCATTTAAACCGTCACGCTATAATCCCCTTCCTGTACCAAGCAATGCACAACCTCCAAGACCATCCTATAGCGCAGCCGCAAACGCAGCCCATATAGCCGCACCATCTTCCTACCGCCCACCACCCTCCAACGCTTCCGTTCGCGTGCAGAGCCCCTATATGGCGCACGACCCTAACACCCTATCTCACGCTCTCGAACGACCTGGTTCTAAGCCTTCCGGTTTCGGCGTCCTGCGCGTACAGGATTTAGTTTCGAACCCTGCCCCACTTACCAATAATCCCAATAAGAGACGACGAAGCCCCGAGGACGAAGGCCGTCCCGTTCCGCCGCGCACTTCTGCTGGTCCTTCGGCTTCGAAGAGCTACTTTGCTCCTAGCCTGTTTGATCAGAATCAGCCCGCGAGACAAGGTCAGGGAGAGGTGCAGGTGGTTATTGGTGGTCGGGCTGAAGATGCTATTCGGAGGAAGTCCCAACAAAATCAAAATCAAGCTTCTTTGTCGAATGGGGGCGAGAGAGAAACAGCCATGACTGACGCTCCTGCCCAACCTACGAAGACGACGAACACGCAGGCTACAGCAATCGAGATCCTCTCTTCCTCTGAGTCGGGCTCAGACTCTCCTGCACCGGGAGCCAAGTTTACCTCCAACTCCTCGCATCCTGCTCTCCGTCAATCCACTCAACCCACCTCTCCCACTCCCAATACCCAAACCCCCAAAGAAACCGAGAGCGAGAACGAGACGAATGGCGAGGCTGTGAAGGAAAAGGAGAACGGAGGAGATCCAACAGAGTCCGAGTCCTCGGACCGCGAATCCGCAAAGAAACACAACCACACGCGCTCTATGGGTGGCAGTGGAAGAAAAGGATTCATGGCGAAGCGGGGCGGCAAACATTGATTCCCCTTTCTTCTCACTTTCCCACGAAACAGAACAAAACGAAGTTTCAATATCGGATATTGGCCCTGTATAATGAATCGATGGATGGGTGGATGGCGGGGAGGTTGCGTGGCGTTTGGCGTGGATTTCCTTTTCCTTTGATTTTCAAATGCATGGAGGATGGGGAGTTTTCATTCGACGGGGCGGACCTGGTACAATGCAGTGCATTTGATGGGTGGAGGTGGGACAATAAATGAATGGCTTTGGAGGGAGTTAGAGGGAGGCGAGACAGAAATAAAGCGAGTGTACATAGAATAGAAGACGAGGGGAGACGAAATAATCAAAGTGTTGATCTTAAGTTTTCAGACCAGAAGCGGGTAAACTTTGGGATTACATCGGACGGATTATGTGAATGTACGGATATAGAAGGGAGATTGAGATCTATTGTACGAGTGAGAGATGGACATTGAGATTTTGCTTTTGGGGATGTTCGAGAAAAAGAGGGAGAATGGGGAAGAGGTGGTCACGTGCGCACAGGAGGAACGGAATGGGATTTCGTTTTTCCGAGATCAGGTGGCAGATTTGTACGGAGCGGTTCGGACATTGAGGACTTGCAAGCTAGGCACAACGTGGCGCTGCGGTACGTGAGAGGTTGGAAGGTAATAGAGGTGAGTAGGTAGTAGAGGTATGTCTTATTCTTATTTCCTTGGTGATGAGGGGCTGATGGCAGTAGATGATGCGATTTGAGGTCCACGACCCTGCTCTTGATCGTGCTGCGAATACCTTCCGAGTCGATGATATTAGATGCTGTGGATCTGCTGAGTGGTTCAGATTGGGGTTTCGATGCTATAGAGAGATTAAGGGATAGGGAATGTGAGGGGAGGGTGTGGTGCGGAGAAGGGTGGGCGAGATCGAAGGGAACACATCGACGCGTCGGCTTGATGGCTACGGATACGTGATCGATCTGCTGCAACAAGCTCATTAGAGCTTTGAGCTCTTGTCGCATCATGGCAAATCTTGTCTTCAGGATTCCGCCATCCTCTGCAGGGCACTTCTGACGCGGAGATTGCGCTGCAGCCTTCGTGGAGTTCAGTGTCAGCCTCCTGGATTTCAGAACGTGCGAGTATCTTGTGGGCATATCGTGGGTAGGCCTGTGTTATGAGGATATCTCTGGAGTATTTGGTGCCATCTCTTCGGGAGATCTTCGTGGAGCAGTGCTTCAAGTCCTCACAGTACGGACTCAGATTCCTGGATGGATATTCATGTGCTTTTGCTGCAAGTGCTGGCGACTGGCTGGATAATAATGTAGCATAAGTCGATTTCCTTCTCATATTCTTGTGATACTGGAAGAGAGGTCGTTCAGAGTACTTCCATATGGCGATGTCGCAGTGGATCTGCTGGATTGCATGGTTGACAGGCAATGAAATGATCAATACCAAGTGGCTCACCTGAGGATGGCTTATCAATCCACTTGGTGAACACTGAATCAGTAAGGTCGATGGACGTGGCCACAGGATGATGGGATTCTGTCTAATTTTGTGCCATCAGGTCGATCGAGCATCATCATGAGCCTGGTGCGGAACAAGTTGATAATACAATCATTTCTTAACCGTCCGACATTTCGTTCCGATTCTACAGACTCCGACCTCGTGCCCAAGTAGATCTACAATTCAATCTTAGCATGTCTTCTCTCATCTTCACTCTCATACGGGGTTTCCAAACTCCTTCACTCTGGCGTAAGACGAGCTTGAATTTGAGGGTGTGGGTGTCACCTCGCTTTGAAGCCTCAAATTGACGAGAGTTCCCCTGGCGGTCCTCGAGCACAATCTCACCTCGACGCCTACTCATCTCACGATTCGCCATATCAAATACTGCTAATTTCACATCGCAACTGCTGAAATTTGGTACTCAAATTCCATTTATTACTGTGGCGATCACACTTTGAATCACTTTTCGTCGCTCTACATGCCAGAACTATCTCCATGAGAATTATATATAGAGAGAGCTTTACCTCCTCCGTTTGCTTTCCTCACCACCATTCGCCACTTCCATAAACATTTCAGCAAGCTATCCTCAGATCTTTCCTTAAAACCTCTTGCCCTTTCTCAACGCGAAAAACAAAAACATCACAAACTTATACAACCATGCAAATCATCAGTACCCTCACCATCGCTCTCGCGATTATCCCTCTGGCTTTTACTGCACCACATCCTGTCGAAGAAACGGGAGCTATCACTGCTGAAGTAAGTTTTCTGTTCGTGTTCTTGCTGCCTTGGTGACTAATTTGAAGCAGGCTCAGAACGCAGTCGCTGCTGCGCTCCCTGCCGGTGGTCTTCGTTTCCCTCACCGGTTTTTGCATCGACATCACCGCCCAAAGAAGGCCCGCCCTGCCCCTAAGGCTCCTGTCTCTGCCCGGAATGCACTTCCCGTGGAAGAAATCCGGGCCATTAAAGCCGAAGTAAGCTTCTCTTCCTATTCCTCGTACTATTAGGATTAAGTTGAAATAGGCCAACACCAATGCGGAATCTGCTGCGACTGCCGTCAGTGGTGCTGATCCTCTTGATGGTCTTTTTGATCTTGGTTCTACTATTGGTGATTTTGGTGATCTTCTCAAGGCTCGAAATGCGCTTCCTGTTGAAGAAACGGGGGCTGCTATAGATGAAGTAAGTTTCTTATTAGTGTTTTCATACGTTGGCGCTAATTTGAAGCAGGCCAAAACTGATGCGGAAACTGCCTTCAAAATCCCTCGTAGAATTCGTAAGGGTGGTAGACGAGGTGGCAGAAAGGGTGGTAGAAAGGGTGGCAGAAAAGGTGGACCCCGTGGCAAGAAGGGTGGTAAAAAGGGAGGACTTCTCGATTCTCTTGGTCTTTAGTCGTTTGAGACAGGTAATCTGTAAGTCCATCACTTCTGCCCGAGCCAACAAGGAAAGCTCTGCCTAACTCTGGTATAGCGGCACAAGGGCATTCCCGCCGAAGGAACTCGGCCAATGCTCAGTGCTCTTTGATGGGTATTGGATTGAGGTCTTTGTGCTGAAGATACCCTGTACTTGACGGTCCTTTGGATCCGGAATAAGGTTGTTTGTTAGGACGAGCAGAATTCGGTTTTCTTTATTGACGAATCTTTCCCGGCAGAATATCAGTTCCCTTCTTTTGCGAATATTCTCCTGTCTTTTGAACTGTGATGCACTGGTGCTAGAATGTTTGATCCTAATACCTTGAAGGTATGGTTTTGGAAGGCAGTTTGTGGAAAGTGTTGGCCAATACTGGGCTCGTGAATACATGTCCAAGTGGGCCTGTCTGATTCGAGTCAGACGTGTACTTGGCCAACCTGGCTGCTGATGACCTGGGCTCAAAAATTCCTCTACTTTACGTTTTGACTTTGTTTATGTTCTTCTTAGCTACTTGATTGGGGGAAGTTGGTTTAACAAAACAACTGGATTTCTAAAAGGCCTTCTAAGAATAGTTGGTCTCGTTCTGCGCCGAATTCGCTTACAAAGCAGGCCGAACAAACTGCCAAGGCTGAGAGATTCCCAGCGTTAGGCGTTCCCATAACCTTTAAGTCCGGCTTCACGATGCCAGCGTTCAAAATTGCAACGTCGAGTCCGGCGAGGTCCGTCTCAAACATGCGCGCAAAGGTCATGATGCAATCTTAGGACGTCTTCTCAAGCGACCACACCTCGATCTTGGCGACCGGGAACTGGACACGCAACTTAAGGGCCGCGGCTTCGCCGTTGCTGGTGGGTCGTACCGCCATGATGAGGTGGGAGAGCTCGTGGGCGAGAAAGTGCACGCAGCTGTGGAAGTCGATGCCAGTGGTGGAGCCAGTGATGATAGCGGTTTGGCCTGGGAGACCGAAGTGAGATAGGGTAGGAGCTTGCCGAATAATTGCGATTTCATGGGGAAGCGCCATTGAGAGAGATTTTGGAGGGGCCATAGCGGATGTGTGCTTGCGCTTGCACGCCTTTGGATAGGAGCGAGCGAGAGCGACGCGAGTGAGTGAGGATGTGAATTCGAAAACAACAATAAAAAATCCTGAGCATCGCCGTGCCTTTATGCAACGGGCTCGGGGGAATCTTGGTATGGACCTTTCATGACGGACATCAAGGACAAGCAGGAGGCGAAGCCTCCTCAATCTCTCATCCCCGTTAGGAAATGAATCGAGTCTTGGCATTTCTGTTCAGGGATTGCCCCCCTGGACTCTCACGTGGCGGACTTTCGACTGTACTGTATCCGACCGGCAAGAGAAGGCATATACAACAGGGAAGAAGGACGGAGTCGGCTTCATAGCTTTGGAGGATGGACCTTAGCCCCTTCAACAAATAGAACGTGGGTGCTAACTGTGACTCCGAAGGTTGTCCACCTGGTTCCTGTTTGGGTCTAGTGCGCAGGTCCCCTATTGTTCACGCGAGATGGAGGGGTTGATAAATCGCGGGGTCTCGACTTCCTTCAACTTTCAATTTCCCACCTTTCTGCTCATAACAAAAAGGTTCCACGGTCTTGACCACGATGCCAAAATGATATCGAGTTGATACCGAGGTTGTGGGCGGGGCTGGGGTTCAAGAAGCCAGCCCCAAAGATAAAAGACATCAAGCCTGAAGCCTGAGGGTGGCAGAGACATCGAAATGGCATCAGACAAGGCTTTCCCAGGTGCCTACACCCCTCTCTTCCAGCATTCAATCAGAACGTCAAATATTGAGGAGCCCCGGATGGATTTACTACGCTATCCTTTGGCATTGATACATCCTTCCCCACCTGAACGACTTCCCTACATCGCCGGGATGGTCCAATTTGGGAATTCCCCGCGATTCGTGGGAATTGAACAATCCATCGATGCCGACAACACAGCGGACTACGATTTGGCAATGGGAGATGATGCGCGAGAGGATGTCGAAGCAACTGCAGGTCGGGTGGATGCAATCTGCTCGCTGTATGCGGGTGCGTTCTCGACCGTTAATCCTGTCAACATATTCAAATGTTCAATTGCGGAAGAACTTGCAAGAATCACTGGGATCGACGCTGGCTTAGTCTATTCTGCATGGCGATTGACAAATTCGCTTGACTTGAAGGGCGACTTCGAACTACCTGTCACAAATCTAGTTGAAGCGGTTCCAAACCCATTCTCCCTAACCCAATTTCTTCAAACGTTCCCCTCACTCAGTCATATACGCTGAACTTTCATCTCTGAGCTCGCACCATTTCTCAATCTGTTTCATAACCGTCTAATCTCCCTCACCTCGTCAAGGAAGTCTATCAGCCTGACCATGTTATCACAAGCCATCATTTCCTTCCTCCGCTCCTTCGTTAGTAGCGTGCTCCCACACTGCGTCCTATCACTCCCGACCATCTCGCTCAGATGATGCACCACAAGCTTAAAAGGAATGGGCTTCTTTACAGCCTCGCTCATGAATCTCTCCACAACATCCCAACTGCAGCCGTCTCCTCCCTTGAACAGCCCTGGATTTTGGAGTAAGCCCCGAGCAGCCATAACACCATCAACCTTCGTTGCCTGAACATGCCTTTCCACGTCCTCCAACGAGAACACATCTCCGTTGCAGATAGTTGGGACGGAACAATGCTCAGCTACCAGTTTGATTGCTTCAAGATTGACAGGTTGTGAGCTGGGAGTACTCCTCATCCGTCCATGAATCGTGATAAAATCCACACCTGCCTCCTGCACCGTGCGGACAAAATCCACCGTTTCTCGAAGATCTTTGTGAATCCTGATCTTCACAGACACCGTTTTGTTGTGGTGATTTAATGAGTGGAGCGCTTGTTTGGCAGAGGTGACGAGCGAGGCAACGAGATCTCTTTTGTGCATTAGTGCTGCGCCGAGGGTTTCAGCGCACGCCCAGGATTGGGGACAGCCGCAGTTGATGTCGATGCCGTTTACGTAGGGCGAGAGGAGAAGCGTGGTGCGGGAGATTTCGAGGGGACTGTTAACACCGAGTTGAACGATTGTTGGAGGGGAGTTGGGTGAGAGTGTGAAATCTAGTCATTTTATTTAGCTTGATTGCTCTGGTGAGATAAAGAATGTGGTTGAGAAGACGGGTAAGGAATTTCATTGCTTACCACTGTCACGTGCTGCGAGACTGCGGTTGAATTCTTTGGCTAGAATCTGCATTGCAGCTATCAGCTTCCTCCCTAAAACAAAATAATCCAAAAAGATCCAGACTCACCATCGGCGTCCAAGTCAAATCAACACCATACTGCGCAACGGTCTCTCGAAATGCAAGCTGTTACGTCCTCCAATTCAGCTTTATTCTCCAGGGATGGGGAGGAGAGATCCCACCTTGCTATACCTCACCATCGGCGCTGCAGCATATAGTGGTCTACCTTGAGACTTCGCGATATCGAAGAGTTTCAGGGGACTGAGATGTTGTCAGCGGGGTTAGGGAAAGTAGTGGGAGAGGGAAAGACGGACTTGATGTCAGGGGGTGAAGGGAGGGGGTCTTCTCTGCGTTGAGAAAGTGGAGGATAGCCATTTCGAGGGACATCGAATAAGCGGTCGAACATTGTTTCGTTGTCAAGAGAGGAGGATCTGGGGAGGCATTTTGAGATTGATGTTGATGAACAAAGCCTCGTTCAGGCTTTGGAATGCCGTTAACTAACGTTAAAGGGTCCTCCGAAGGTTTTTTGACTCTGCCACGTAGGGGAGGTCACGTTTTCGGGTCTGACCGCGTTTTTGCCAAGCCGCACGTGATATGGTGCTATTCTTTTTGGGATTTCGCGACGCAATTGGCTAGATCTTTAGCTCGCGTTATTTCTTAAAAGAGAGAGTAAAATAAATTATTATTTATTTATATTATAGAACTATATTAAATAAATTAAATAAATTAAATAAATTAATAAAACTAATATTATATTTATATTTATTAATAATATTATAAATATATAAAATATAAAGTATTTATAAAATTTATAAAATTATTTCTTATATATAATATAAGAATAATTAAGCCGAGAGTTAACTTTTTAATATTATAGAAGCTTATTTATAAAACTAATATATAAATTATTAAATTATTTAAAATAGTTATATTTTTATATATATAAATAATATAATAAAATTTTATTTATTTATTAATACAATTATTTTAGGATAATATTTCTTTATAAAACAGAAAATATAAAGAATATTAAACCAGAAATAATTAGAGATAAATATATATATAATATATAAAAATTATAAAATAGAAAGTTATATTAAAATAATAAAATAATTAATTAAACTAATTAAAAAAGAATTCAAATAAAATATAAAGTTTTAAAATATAATATTTTATTTTATTTATTTTATCTAATTAGAGAGCTTTAAAATAATAAAAATTATTTAATATATAAGTTTTAAAGAACTATATTAATATTTTAAACTAAATAGGCTTAATATATATTATTTCTCTAAATTACTAAATTTCAGGAAATATTTATATAAAACTTATCTTTTTACTAATACTAGAACCTCTAATTAAATTGCTTTTCTTTAATATTTTTCTAAAACTCTTTTTCTAAACTTTTAATTATTATAAATATAGTTTATACTAGTTTTATCTTTTTTTATACTATTATTAAATTAATTTTGGCTTATAAATTCAAGATATTTTTAACTCAAAATATATTCTTGTTTTATTTTTTACTAACTTTAAATAATATTAAATAGCTTATAAATCTATTATAAATATAGCTTTTAATTATTAATATAAAGCTTATATTTAATAAAATATCGAGATTTAGATTCTTACTAAGTTATTTAATACTTCTAGTATTTCTTTACTAAAGATTAAAAAGAATATAAAGAAATCTTATATTTCTTGTTTTATTTATATTAGACTAAAAGAAATTTCTTATATAAGTTATTATAAGTTCTTTATATTATTTTAGAGCTTGTTTTTAATTTAATATAATCTCTTTTACTTTAAAGAATAAAAGTAATAATTCTTATTATAATACTATTAGTAAAGGTATTTATTATTAGAAATATATTTCTAGTTATTTCTATATTATTATTTCGAATTCTTATATTTTTATTATATAGCTTTTTTTTTTTTACTAAACTTCTAATTATTAAAGATATTATAAGCTTTTTTTCTTAATTCTCTTTATAAATTCTGACTTTTTAAAGCATTTATTTGCTTTTAGGTATTTTATTTATATTATACTTAAGATTACTAAATTTAATAAAAAGAATAATAATAAAAGCTTTTTTACTAAAGCTTAAAAAGCTACTAAAAAGAATAAAAAGTAATTTAATTAAGTAAAAAGCCTTTTATATAAGCTTATTAATATTATAATAAAATACTTTTAAATCTTTTATTATTAGCTTTTAAGCTCTATTATTTTAATAGATTTTATAAATAAAAAATATAAATAAAAGCCTTTTTTTATACTATTTAATTATTTTAATCTTTATTCTAATATCTTAAAGGTTTAATAAAGCTTTAAAATTCTTAAATTAAAATTAAAATAAACTTTTTATAAGTTTATTTATAAATATATTACTTATTTAAAGATATATAATTTAAAAAACGCCTTTATTATACTTTTAATATAGCTATATATTTTAGATATTAATATAATAAAGCTTTATAATAATTCTTTTATTCTTTTTAATAATTAGTTAAATAATTTATTTATTATTATAAAATATAATTTAAAGCTTTTTAAGATCTAAATATAAATCCCTAAAAAGCCTTTAGAAAACTATAATTTCTTTTATTATATAAATAACTATAATAAGTCGAGACCCGATTTATATATATAACTAAAAGCCTATATTAGATTATATAATAGAAGCTAAAGTTTTTATTATATAATATGCTTTCTTGAATTAATAAAGTAATTATATATTATTTAGAAAGCTTAAATATTTTAAAGAATATAATTCTATTTCTTTTATTTTTATTTTTATTTTTTCTTTAAAGAATTTTAATTAATTAATTAAACTATTAGTCTTTTTTATATAAAGGCCTAGCCCGTAATATTAGAATTCTTTTTATTTTATTTTTATTAACTAGAGATTATATATATTATAAGAGGGAAACTATAATAAAACAAAAACTTATATAAAGTATATTAGAGTATAAAACGTGACTTAATAGCAAAATAATAAGATTAAAAGTATAAATAGTAAAGTATAAATAGTATATAGTATATAAAAGCTTAATTAATTAAATATAGAAGAGGGATTATTATCTAGAACTATAGAAAAACCAGCTTTCTTATGTGATTTCCGCAAGTCACGTGCAAAAGGCCCCAGCCTTTGCCATGTAACCAAAATATTAAAACCGTTAAAACAAAGCGATTTTAATAGAATACGGCTTGCCGTACTATAATATATGAAATTAAAAATAAGAAATACCTGAATTTATATATAGAAAACAAAGTTCGAAATAAATAAAGCTAGAAATAAACTTAATTCGAAATTATTTATAAAGCTAATATTCTAATAAAACTTTGAAATATATAAAAGCTAATAATAAATAATATTCAAAATTATATATAGAAGCCAGAATACTAATTTAATTAATTAATATTAGGAATTATTTGGGTTTTCTTAAGCCCGGTTTAAGAAAAGAAAACTATTAGATTTTTTTATTATATAAAGATTTAGAAATAAAACTTCTAATAATTAATTAAATAAATAAATAGCTATATAAAGCCAAAATAATAAATAAAGTCCCTTAATAGCTATAAGAAGCTTTTATAATATAGTTCTAATAGTTATTAAAACTAGCTATATAATAAATAAACTTAATAGTAAATCTAGTTATATAAATTAAATTAATTAATAAATATATAATAATCCCGAATTTCTTATAAATATAAATATTTCCTTAATTTTCTTTTATAAAATAACTAAAAGCTTGCCTTTTAAACTCTAATAAATTTAATAGAAATAACTTGGTCCTATATTTCTAATTTAAAGAACTTTTATAAATAAAGCTAGAAATTAATAAAAAGGTAATTAATAAAAAGAAAAAGAGAATTTAATATAGGTTTAAATACTTATTTAAAAGAATAATAAATCAAATATATTTATAGCTAAAATATATCTAAAAAAAAATTATAATTAAAGAATTATTTAAATAAATAAATCTGACTTTTCGTAACTTATAAAAGTAATAAAAGGCCTTAAAAGAATTAAACCAAATTTAGTAAAGATTAATTTCCTTAGGCAAATTCTTAAATAATTTTAATTACTTAATTTTAGTAGTAAAGAAATAGAAATAATAAAAAAAAATTTAAATTTTTTTTTAAAACTATTATTATAACTGAATTTATAAAAGAAATAATAGAAATAAAAGAAAAAGAATTATATAAGAAATACTATTTCTAGTTATAAATAATTAATAATTAGATAGCTAAAATCAAGAATATAAAAGCTTATTATTCGAACTAGTTAAATAAAAAGCCCAAAAGCCCTTTTTTATCTAAAGCTATTATATTTATTTAATTAATAAAATAGAAGCTTATTATAAATAATATAAAATAATAATTAAAGAATATTTTTAATTAGGCCTTTTAAAATAAAATTAATTAGTAAAAGAGAAAAAGACTTTACTTTTAATATAATTAAAATAATTATTTTATATATAACTATTAAATAAAGCTATATTTTAATTCCTTTTTTCGAATTAGTAAATAAAGGAAATAAAAGAAGAAAAAATAATTAAAAATAAAAGTAAAAAATATTAAAATATTAAAAATAATCTTAAAAAAGATAAAAATAACTAAAAAAAAAGAATAATAATATTTTAAATAAAAATAGAAATAAATAAAAAAAATTAAATTTATTTAATTTAGAAAAAAACTAGCTTCTAATAAAAATTACTATTAAAAATATATAAAAATAAAATTAGATTAATAAACTTAAAATTAATTTCGAAAAAATATAATTAAATTTTCTTTTTTTATATTAGTAATAATTAATAAAGAGTATTTTATATATATTATATAAAATAATTAATTTTCGCTTTATTAATTAATATAACCTCTAATATATATTAATTACTTCTAAATAAATAAAGGCTTTTAATAAGATAATAGATATAATTAGAGAAATAGTAATATTTAATATAAATATTAATAGCTATTATAAATCTTATATTTTTCTTTATATAATTCCTATTATAATTTTATATTTATCTAAACTTAATATCTAGTATTTAATATCTAAGCTTAGTATTTAATATTTGAAGTTATATAATAATTATATATAATAAAGCTAAAGAAAGCTATATTCTGAGAAATTTAGAATATTAAGCCCTATTAGACTAAGTTATAAGTAAGGAATTATAAATACTTAAGAAACCTTAATTCGAGACTTCTTTTTCTCTTTAGCTTAGTTTTTTTAATAAATAGTTCTTTTATAAATACCTTATTTATAGACTTCCTTTATAGGGCTATAATATTAAACTAAGCTTTTTCTTTTTATCTAAAAAGGTTTTAGAATATCTTTTCTAAAATAATTATTTATTTCTAAAAAATAACTTTATATATATAAATTATATATATCTAATACTTTAATATAGCCTTTTATACTAATAGTTCTTCTAAAAGTCTTTATTTATATCCTATAATTCTATTTCTTATATCTAGTACTAAGAATACTTCTAGAATAAAACCTTTTATTTCAGAAAATTTTCTTATTCTATCTAATATTTATTCTAATATACTTATATTATAATAAGCCTAAATCAA